TTAAACAGACAACACCATCACAACCCAAAATCGCCCAAGCCGACAACACCGTGACAACCCAAGCGGACCAAGCGGACAACACTATGACAACCCAAAACCGACCAAACAGACAACACCTTGACAACCCAAAACCACCCAAACGGACCAAACGGACAACACTATGACAGCCCAAAACCGACCAAACAGACAACACCACGACAACCCAAAACCACCCAAGCGGACAACACCGTGACAACGAACATCCGACCAAACAGACAACACCGTGACAACCCAAAACCACCCAAGCGGACCAAGCGGACAACACTATGACAATCCAAAACCGACCAAGCAGACAACACCATGACAACCCAAAATCGCCCAAGCGGACCAAGCGAACAACACCGTGACAACCCAAAACCGACCAAGCAGACAACACCATGAGAGCCCAAAACCGCCCAAGCGGACAACACCATGATAGCCCAAAACCGACCAAGTAGACAAATTCGTGACAACCCAAAACCACCCAAGCGGACAACACCATGACACCCCAAACGACGAAGCGGACAACACTGTGACAACCCAAAACCGCCCAAGCGGACAACATCGTGACAACCCAAAACCGACCAAGCAGACAAGACCGTGACAACCCAAAACCACCCAAGCGGACCAAGCGGACAACACTATGACAGCCCAAAACCAACCAAGCGGACAACACCGTGACAGCCCAAAACCACCCAAGCGGATCAGGCGAACAAATTGTGATAGCCCAAAACCGACCAAGCAGACAATACCGTGACAGCCCGAAACCGCCTAAGCGGACCAAGCGGACAACACCGTGACAACCCAAAACCGACCAAGCGGACAGCACCGTGACAGCCCAAAACCGCCCAAGCAGACAACACCGTGACAGCCCAAAACCGACCAAGCGGACAACACCATGACAACCCAAAACCACCCAAGCGGACCAAACGGACAATACCACAACAACCCAAAACCGACCAAACAGACAACACCATGACAACCCAAAACCACCAAAGCAGACCAAGCGGACAACACCATAACAACCCAAAACCGACCGTGACAGCCCAAAACCGCCCAAGCGGACAACACCGTGACAACGAACATCCGACCAAACAGACAACACCGTGACAACCCAAAACAAACGGACAACACCATGACGGCCCAAAACCGACCAAGCGGACAGCACCGTGACAACCAAAAACCGCCCAAGCGGACAACACCGCGACAGCCCAAAGCCGCCCAAGCGGACAACACCGTGACAGCCCAAAACCGACCAAGCGGACAACACCGTGACAGCCCAAAACCGCCCAAGCGGACAACACCGTGACAGCCGAAAACCGACCAAGCGGACAGCACCGTGACAGCCCAAAACCGCCCAAGCGGACCAAGCGGACAACACCGTGACAGCCCAAAACCGACCAAGCGGACAGCACCGTGACAGCCCAAAACCGCCCAAGCGGACAACACCGTGACAGCCCAAAACCGACCAAGCGGACAGCACCGTGACAGCCCAAAACCGCCCAAGCGGACCAAGCGGACAACGCCGTGACAGCCCAAAACCGACCAAGCGGACAACACCGTGACAGCCAAAAACCACCCAAGCGGACCAAGCGGACAACGCCGTGACAGCCCAAGGAAAGCCCAAACCTCAATCCGGACAATTCCTAAAATTCCGGGAATTTTCAGCTCCGGGGAATTCCCAAAATTCCCGGGATTTTTAGACAATAAGCGTTAAAATTCCCGGAATTTTCAGGATCCCCCTGCAAGGCCCTCACAAGCAGCCAAATGGACCGGAAGAGGAGGCGGGGCATCCGACGGGGCGGCCGCAGAGCGAAAATAGGGGTCGAGCCCGTAGCCTTTTATAGGGATATTTTAATTCCTTCCTTATTGAAATTCAATATTATAATAAAGATTATAACAAAAAGAAATCGAGAATCTAAGAATCCAAATCAAGAATCTCTTATATTTTTAATGCCAAATATTTAATTCCATCCTTTTTGAAATTCAATATCTCCATAAAGATTTCAAGAAAAAGAGTTCTTCAATCTTTCAATCAAGATAATAAGTAAGAGTATTCCTCCCTCCCCCTCCTTATCATTCCATTCCAATATATTCTCTGATTATATTTTTAAAGATTTATTTAAGGTTTATCTTGAAACCTTATCGATTAAAAGATTAAGATTCAAGGATTAAGATTTGAAAAAGACGATCCGAAATTCTATAGGATTTAAGATTTTTGAATCATCTTTTCCAATCGTGTATCAAAGATCATACCAAAACAACCATTCTTTTGTCTTTCTGAGATATCTCATAATTGGGGGTGGTGGTGGGTTTTTACGCACGTCGAGGCGTCTTGGAGAGTTCGAAATTCTTCTTGTTTTCTTGGGTGGGGATTCCCTTTCATCTGTTGCTGGTTTACGAACTCTCGTGTAATGCGCAAACGCAGCACAGACATCTTCTTTTTGACTTCTGGCTCCTCTGAGCGAGAGGTTTCTCAGATATGAACAGCGTGTGAAGCGCAGAACCAGATCTTTTGCTTTGCAACAGACGATCGCAAGATCATCACAAGGGACTCAGTTTCAGCACAAGGGTTCTCGAGTTCAACAAGTGTCTTCACCCCCACTGAAATCCTTTTGACTTCAGTTGTAGATGTCATCAATGTCCGCCACAAAGACCATGGCTGCAGCGTTCAGGGTTTTTCATTTGGGTCTGATTCACCACTTGCCTCAAAGCCTGAGTAGATCACATGTCCTGCCGCGCAATTGAAACCACTGGCACCGGCACCCCAGACCCACATCAGGAAGTGCAAGGCTGGCAGGAGCTCGTTCGCCATCACAGCGGCAGCCAGCACGGCCACGCAGCAAGTCTCCAGATCCATGGGAATGATCGAATTGCCTCAGCTGTGCAGCTGTGGTGCCTTGGCACTTGCAGTAGCTGGCTGGTGGATTAAAACAACATATGCAACTTTGCGTCTATGTATCTTTGTAGTTCATGGCTTCAGAAAGCTGCCAAAAGGGATGTGATGGGGAGCTCCTGCTTAAGCTTGTGCCCCATCTGTTACCTGGACCTAAGGTAGGGGGGGCTGGTATGATCGGATCGAAGGGGCTGGGCATGAGGCTCATGTGCTCATCAACAGCATAGATCAACATGACGTCCGTCATGTCATTGACAATCTGCTCGATGAACAGGATGAAGAAGTACTCAATGAACACGGTGACGAACAATGCCACGTGAGCGGTGCACTTGACAAAGAACCAGACGATCCAAGTGAAACTACGACCAGGGACCAGGAGAGGAGTCAAGAAGCAAGCCGTCCAAGCATTTAAAGTCAGCGGGTGCTTGTTCTCCAATTCTCCAATCTGTTCGCATACATCCTACCCACTTGAAGGTTGCGCAAGACTCAAATTTTGGGCCAGGGGCTGCGGAAACTTGCTGAGCAACGGAATGATTTGTTGAGTTTCCAATGGTTTGCCTGTCAGCTGAGTCAGTGTTCGTTTTGGGGAGCCCTTTCAATCCACTCCTGGGTTAGTTTTTTGACAAGAGTTTGCTGGCTTCAAAAATTTGATGTACCCACACGAAGCTGAGTAAGCAGGCTGCGTGGAGCGTACGTACCCAAAGCCACACAAATCTGGGTATGCTAAGCTTGCCGCGGGTATGCTAAGCTTGCTGCAAGCCACACGAGGCTAAGGAAACGGAACTTACCCAAAGCCCGACGAACCTCAGCAAGTTGAGCTTTCCCAAAGCCACACGAAGGTTAGCAAGCTGAAACACACAACACGAAGTCGAGGTGCAAAAAAAAGACTTGCCGCAATTTTCCGATGATTTAGAGGATTGCCGCATGCTAAATCACGTGAGATAGCAAGGGGTCTGGTGATTGATTTTTAGGCTGTGCGTTTTGGTTTACCTTGGCGTTTTGCGCGGGACGGTCTTCAGTTTCGGCCCCTTCAGCAAGGACCAGATCTGGTTAACAGGAGATAGAGAGAAGTAGAGGTGCAAAGTCTGTAACATGTCTTTGTTCAGCCAAGCAACGCCCAGATGTCCTCATCTACCTCCGCCTCTTTGAGCGGAGCTGGTGTTCCGGACACCATGGGCACCTCCACCACCTCTTTGGAGCTTCCGTTCGGGGGCGCTTCTGCACTGGCCGGTGCAGAGCCCTCCGCCAACTGCAGCAGGTGCTCTAAGGCTAGCTCGGGAGTCGCGAAGGCCGCCGCAAACTTCTCAAAGCGTTCGCGGAGGTCGCCATGGAGCCGGAGCGCCAACCCATCAGCCACGTCATCGGCCACCTCGGCTACCTCGGCTACCTCCTCGGGCTCCTCTTGTTCTGCCCTTTCAGTATACCGCATGGCCTGCTTGGCTAACCTCGGATCTTCTAGGGCGCATTCTGCCGCCAGAGACCAGAGCTCACGGGACTTTGCCCATGATCCAGACTCAGATCGCAGTTCGTTTTCGTAAAGCTCGGCCGCCCGGGCGTACGCAGTGTGAGGCTCCCATCCATGCGCATCCCATCCAAAGGCACAGCCATGTCTACAGCAGACTTCGTGCTTTAACGGTTCTGGCAGCGTGGTGCCTGCAGATTCCGACGCCTCAACGGCGTACTTCTCAAGACAGCCCGCAGCCAGCGACAGTGTCTTCGAGTTCTTATCTGAATAAACTCCATCGACAAGAAGCCGTGCCAGGGCCCCATGCGCTGACAGCACTCCGAGGTTCGAAGCTGTCTGCAACAAAGCCAAGCACAGTGGCCTCTCTGCTTCGGTGCTATGGACTTGGGGCAGGAAATCCGAGTGGTCCATGTCAGAAGCCAGCCTGGCCAGCGCCAGGAGTGCTTCAGGCAGACCCTGCTTCGCAGCCTCTGCAATGTGAAAGACTGCTGCTTCGAGTTCTGCACGTGTCCGAAGAGAAGCTGTACCAGGGGACAGCCTCCCTTCATCATACATGGCTGCGATTTCCATGTGGCATGCAGCTTCCACATGGAAAAGAGGTAAAGCATGAGATGACTTGGGGTGATCGAAATGCAAGTCCCAACTGGAGGCCCGCAGGTCGATGTCAGGCACGGAACCCAGCTGTATCGCACCGGCAACTGCCATGTTGCTGTTGCCCTGCCCGCTGCGGGATGTTAAATCCCACATCCCAAGACCAGCATTCAGATCCCGGATGCAGGTGCCCTTCTCTGGCACCGGCGTTTCCAGCTCGGAGCGTGCCAAGGCAAAAACAGGCAGCCCAAGAGTCCGATCCACGTCGTTGTACCGATGGCTCCACAGGAAGAGAGCGAAGCCGCGAATTCCGAGGTTCACTGAACTGTCTGCTGTTCGGAAGGACCCGGATGCGTGACAAGGCAGGAAATGTATCACGGGATCCGTGTAAATGTCGTCGATGCCTTGGATATCAACGACCATCAAGCTTCCGCCCGACTTCACGAAGGTGAAGTAGCTGAAGGTCTGCGGCGTCTTCTTCGCGCCCATGGTGCCTGCTCGAATCTCCGAATACACTCCGGGTACTAGGGCCTACTCTCAGCTGGAAACAAGGCAGCTTGAAGAAGCTCCAGACTCCAGAGGTTTCGACTCCATCAATTCCATCCTAGTCCCCCCAAGAAAACATCGCTCTGAAATTCCCCTGAACCACACAGTGACGCCCGGACAGCACTTCGGGTCACCCGAAACACTACCCCCTGGAATTAAGGCCCGATATCTACCCTTTAAGGGAGTAGACCACCCAGACTAGCTCGCTATGAGCTTGCCGTGGTTCCCTGTCCTCCCTGCCTCCAGAGTTGTTGTTGTGCTTGATGTAGTTACCAAACAAGAACGCTTCTGCACCAAAGGTACGACCATCTTCCAGTTCAATCATATGTGTCCTTTGATCTCGTTAGGCTCAGCAATTAGGGGCCTTATTGAAAGCCTCTTAAGGGGCCGGGGGTCGCTGTCCGTGTGCTGTGTTGCTATGTCACATTATGTCACGAAAGCGTGCTGTTTTGCTGACCGGGCAGCAACAGAAAGTCTATCTGGTGTGGAAAATGGCCAGTATCGTCTTCGAGGCTTCTCCTGCACAGGTCTGCACTGCAACTCGAAAGAGTCTCGCCAGTACTGAGCCCACGGTGTAAAACAGATCTGTGCCTAAGGCTGCTGTTGTATAGCTCTGCATAGTGCTTGGCCATGGCTTGGTGCATCACATCGACACCTCGCTGGCAGTATCGCGCCAGGACTTGTTGCTGTGGCATCTCAATCTGGGTGGCTTGCTGCATTCGTGCCGGTGCTTCTCCAAGTCTTCATGACCTTGCATTGCGCGTTTTGCAACCTCGGCAGCTTGTTCGCGAGCAGCTTGTCACTGGGATTTGCTTCTGGTCCTTCCTTGATCCCCACAAGTAGGTGTTAGCAGGGTGAGGCCTGTGAGGATAAACTCATCCCAATGTGCCAGGCCTACGGCACCTACCTGCTGAGCTCCGAACGTAAAGGCGCCTTCGTTCCTTGGCTAAACAAGAAGATGTGGGCAGATTCAGGAGTGAAACCTTTGACAACATGTCACAAGCATCTGACATGTGCGTCATTGTTAGCAGGTCTTGCCGCACGGCCAAGACATGCGTTGCCTGGCGCTTCCACATCAGCCAGCCAAGCTTCTGAGTGGCGCATCTCGAGCAAGCTGCTGGCCACCAGGAAGAACTCGCCAGTTTCGGAGCCCTGTGCGGCAACAGCTACCGCAACACATCGCGTTACAACTCCAAGATAGGGGCACGGAGGATCTCTGACACTCTTACAAAGCCAGCCGAGGTGAATACGTCAAGGCTCGAAGACTTCAACTATGACATGCAGGCGAAGAAGGTTGATGCAGCACGTAACCAAAAAAACCAGCTGCGGGATGATTCCTCCACTCGCTTCGGTGTTCGGCTGCTTGATCAGTGTGCGGCTGATTACCGGATGAAAAGACTCACGGTTTGGGGCCGATATGGTGGCTTCTTAGGGAAGAAATGTTGTGACACCTTCAGATGGATGCCTTCACGTGCGCACAGGTATCAAAAAGTTGATCTGCAAGCGTCAGCTTCGCTTGGCCAAACCAGGAGGCGAAACGACCGAGACGCAGCAGCAAAGCTACACGCAGCTCACCAAACTATCTGGACACTCGGGTGCCAGTTAGCCGTGCCCGCGTGGAACTCCTACGGCTCCAGCTGTAGCATCCAGGAACACATGACTCTCATATCGCCCCGATCCAAGACCGCACACATTGGTCCCCGGGCCAGGACTTTCTTCTGACTCAAACCCTAAACCCCAAACCCTAAGGCAAGTGAGTCATCCGCGGATGTTCCAAGTTTCCAAGTCCTTCAAGCCCGAATGAGCCCTGCAATCCAATCATCCTGTTTACCCTGGCCTCATCCGAGCCGATGGACCTGGCCGCTTTTGCATTTAGCGCGAACTGAAGTCCGACATCCTCCGCTTTACTTGCTCGCCTGGGCCTCCTGACTCCTGCCCAGAGGCATCTAGAACAAGCAGACCATGATCTGGTCTCCTTCTTCCCAACCCTTCCCAGGACCGCTTCCGGGACTTGGGACCTTTGGCTTATTTGGGTTTAGTTGGGCCTTGCGCCCTTTCTTGGGACCCCCCTGACCCGAAGCCTCCGACGCGCTGAGCTCATGAAGCTACACCCCGTTTGCTGAATCACAACACCCAAGGCAGAGACCATGGACCAGTCTACGATCCCAAACCCTAAGCCCTAAAGCCCTAAAGCCCTAAAGCCCTAAAGCCCTAAAGCCCTAAAGCCCTAAAGCCCTAAAGCCCTAAAGCCCTAAAGCCCTAAAGCCCTAAAGCCCTAAAGCCCTAAAGCCCTAAAGCCCTAAAGCCCTAAAGCCCTAAGCCCTAAAGCCCTAAAGCCCTAAAGCCCTAAAGCCCTAACGCCCTAAAGCCCTAAACCCCTAAACCCCTAAACCCCCCCCTAACCCCTAAACCCCTAAACCCCTAAACCCCTAAACCCCTAAACCCCTAAACCCCTAAACCCCTAAACCCCTAAACCCCTAAACACCTAAACCCCTAAACCCCTAAACCCCTAAACCCCTAAACCCCTAAACCCCTAAACCCCTAAACCCCTAAACCCCTAAACCCCTAAACCCGAAACCCTAAGCCCCAAATCCTTAAACCGTCCATGGAGGGCCAGGGCGCCTGCCGCTGGGCGAAGCGTCGCCGAAGCTGATGGGCTCCAGGTCTGCCTTGGGCCTTACCCACACGACACGGGTTGAAAGGCTGGGGCTTGGGGCGTATAGTGTACAGGTTACGATGTATTCCCTGGGTTTTGTTGTTTCTTGTGCTATGTGATGTTGTGTTGCAGTAACTTGTATTGTATTGTATTGTATTCTATTCTGTAATTATCATATCATACATTGTATGCTATACATGGAGACGCAAGGGCCTACTCAAGGGCGCAAAGCTTTGATCCGGGTCTTCGGGCTGCAAAAGAAGCTGCGATTGGAGTTCTCCGTTGCGGGACGTAAAGCCGGTCTGGAACCGAGCACGATATCATATGATACAGTATCATATCCCCTCATACCATATCCTATCATATCATATCATATCAGCCCAGCGAGTGTCCGGATCATGCCACCAGCTGTTTGCAGGCAAGCGTCGACGACGGCACAGAACGCTCCTGCATGTTGACCTGGCACCAACCCTTTCATGCTTCGGCCAGTCCCACCCGCTTTCCTTTCATGTTTTCCTTGATTTCTTTGCGGTACTCCCTTTTCTGGCTATTCCGGGTCCACTCGTTGCCTCCATGGTTTGAGGGCTCAAGCTTCGGTCAAACTTTCGCCATGTGTACTTGACGCGATGTGTCCCTCCCCCTTACACCACACACTGCTGCTGCTAGAACTTCCAATGCCGGAGGTTCATGATGACATGCCCGACATGACCAGTTCCTGCCCCGACTTGAAGCTCCGCACCTCCTTCATGCGGAAGCATTCGCGGATCGCACCCTGCAGGCGGGTAGCCCGACTAGTTGGGCTGGGATGACGTGCGAAACAACATCGGTCTCTCTGAATGGGCCCGTGAAGTTCTAAAGCGGACAAGGGTCCCAACAGTACCTGGGCCTAAAACCCAACACAAAGTGCTCGCAATCCTTTCCTGCCCTTCAGACTCCAGCGCTCGGAACCTGTCCGAAGGCATTTGCATCTAACCTTGGAAGGTGGAGACATGCCCCCAACAACAAGCATCGAGACATCTGCAGACTTGCATGATGAGGGCTTGTCTCTACCAGCACTCTCTCCTCCACCCAGTCGTCCTCCTCAACATCGAAGTAGCCTGGGATAATGACACGCTGCTGCTTACGGGTCAGGAATCAGGAACTATCGGCACGTTTCATGTCCTTCCACCCTCAACCCGATGCCAAAACTGTTCTCGCAAGCTCGGAACCCTGAAATCCCTGCCTGAAACACCCCGAACAGTAAACTCTGAACCCTTAATTCCCCTAAACCCTACAGAACCTTCAACGCCCCTCACAGTTCTTCCGGGCTGCGCTTGGTGCACAGCTGCTTCTCCCCAGGCTGGAAGCTGGACCACACCTCACGGATCCGCCTTCGAGCTTCTTTCGCGTGCCTCGGCGACTTAGATTCAAGGTCTTCCATTTCTTGACTGCACGTATTTAGATTTAACCCTATACCCTAAACCCCAAACCATAGGGTGCAGGATTCAGGGTTCAGGCCAAGCGGAATCTGAAAATTCTCTGAAAGTCTGCTACAGATGCTCCAAGCTGCTCCAGCACAGCCGATGGCTTCAGCTTCTTTCCATGTTCGGAGGCCTGCAAGGCATCAGAGAAGAGCATCCCTTATTAGTGTTGCCGGGAGCAAAAAAAGAAAAGCCCCAAAAACCCTGACAGTGTCCGACAGCTTCCGCCCTCTACTCCGCAGGCCTTCTCGGAGCCGACCGACCCAGCTGATGCCTTGAAGGAGGGGTAGGGCATTAGGGGCGTACAGGGGTGTTTAGGGCTTGGGACAAAAAGCGTTCCTTGAAGGCATACGACGACTTCGCACTCAAGGTTTCGGGGTTGAGGGCTCCGAGGTTTCGCAGGAGTCCAACACATACATGCATCAAAATCGATCATAAACTACGCTCCCAAGTATAAGGTGACCAAAACTCGTCAAACATCACCGAACGCGGGTAATTCAATCAAGTAGCAAGTGTTCATACAACAAGAAACCGCTATCTTCCAACTATGCTCATTGGACTTGCTTCCTTTCACGGCAAGCCAGCTCCGTGCCACAGCCAGCTACGCCGAGCTGGACTCTAAAACTGAAACTCAAAACCTCATGCATCAGACTACCCCGGTCTGCTGCTGCTGTCGTGTCTGTGCTTTGGAACAAAAGATTTCCAACACAGTGAATCTCTCCCGGCATTTTGACACCCTGCACTGAAGCAAAAGGGAATGTTCCTGAACCAAAAACTTGCTCTGACTCCGGAGCTGAAGTGTTGCATAGGACTTCTTTCATGAAGTCATGAGTGCTTGATGCTCACCATACTGACTTCACTGTCTTACGTGACTAAACGCAACGACATACATCTTTCAATAGCTCACATGTGAGGACTTTCCGCTTTGAGATGATTCATTTAGAATACTCGGATATGTTTAAACCATTTACGCTGCCCGAAGTGTTTCAGCCGTAGCCAACCGAATGTAGAATGTATACTGGTTGCGAGAACTGGCGAAAGCTTGCTCTCACAGAACATCATAGCGTTGTGTGCCTCTGTCTCGGCTTGCGTGGCTTTGAGGATCCGGCCGCGTGCTTCAGCAGGGATCGCGTCTGCTCTGATATCTCCTTGGTGCAGCGCGTAAGCAGCAAAAACAAGCACTGCAGCACTCACATGCTGTGGAGAAGCAAAATGCCGCGAAGCTGGAATGTACATCGCAGCTCAAGCAGCCATGCTCCTTGCTGATACTAGTGTTGGTGCTACCCTGGACTGCTTCAAGGATGCGACCAGTCTAAACTTGGTAAACTTAGGTTGTGTTGCTGCATTTGTTGCTGCCGCAGTTGTGATTCTTGGCGTTGTTCTGGGGCGACTGTCACTGCCTTCAATCTCAACATGCATAATGTCATATTCCCGGTGAGCTAGAAGAGCTGCTGCAAAAACATGAACCCCCTAAGCCCGCGCGTGCTGGATCTGGGGGTTGGGAAACACACATATTCGTCGTGTTGCGATCGTCGGGCCACATCGCGGTCCACAACTGTAAAGAGGGTGTAGCTAGGAAACGTGGCATGGAGGCCAGTCATGGCTTCAGTTCGTCAGTAGCGGCAGATCAGGCTGTTCTGCTCCATACCCGTATTGCCATGGCCAGTGAGGATCTTGCAAAAAAAATGGCCCTCGCACCCCACTTCGTGATGCTTGCCCATTAAGCTTTCACATCGTCACGCTTTTTCCTGGACCTAGCCCGCTTTTGCAGGTAAGGCGACGCCGGACCTTCCCGACCTTGGATGCTCCGCCGCTTCTGGTTGCCAGACCCACATGGCATCCCATGCAATGAGCAGTGGCGCGGACGGGCCTGAAGCCACATGCTTGGGTCCGCGCTGCTGCTGGCTGGAACCGGCTTGCCGCAGCGGATTCAACTTCCCACGGGCAACCTTCTTGCAGATCGGTGGCGCTTCAGCATAAGCCCAACACGGACTCAACTGCGCATGGCCTCAGCTCGCAGAATGTTCAGCTCCGATCGTTGGCCTGAAGCGAGACTTCCGGACATTCTGTGGGGGGAAGCGCGGGGGAAGTATATAACGGTGCATGCCTAAACAGGAGGTCCGAACTTCAGGAAGCCATCTTGGGATGCTCCCCCCTATACAAACAGTCCTGAATAGGGATGATAGTACCCCCTATGATGATCCCTAGTAAGGACTGTTAGTATAAGGGGGAACATCCCAAAAGCCAAACATCTGCGAAAGACCCCGAACCCCAAGCCCTAATTCCGAAACCCGAAACCCGAAACCCTAAACCCTAAACCCGGGGCGTCCACGACCAAGCTCCTCCTTGAGCTCCACGATATGGGCGCGCCTTCTCCCAGCTTCGAAGGTTCTAAACGAGGGTCCCCCTCAAGGCCGAATAGTTTAGGGTTTAGGGTTTAGGGTTTAGGGTTTAGGGTTTAAGGTTTAGGGTTTAGGGTTTAGGGTTTAGGGTTTAGGGTTTAGGGTTTAGTCCCTAATGTATGGCAGGGTGCTAAACCATAATCGGGAATCATGACTTACTGCCTCGTACTCACGAGAGCGGGCTTGCCATTTGCAATAACCCTTAAACCCTAAACCCTAAACCCTAAACCCTAAGCCCTAAGCCCTAAGCCCTAAACCTAAACCCTAGACCTGCCGAAAGGATCTAAACCTGGCCTTTAGGGCTCGAGACTGGCATGCACAAAGTTTCGCCAAGTGTCAACAAATGCAAGGCGAAACTTCGAACTCTTAGACAGCTCGCTCTAGATTCTACAGCCTACTAGTGTAGTGCACCCCGCTTCAGGACTCAGACACCTGCCGCAAAAACATCTCCACGTTCACCATATGCTGCAGGGAATCGTGCACTTTCTGGGGCTATCTGTCCCACCCAGCTCAAAACCAAAGACGCTGAAGCCAGAGAAGGCCTGAACTCCCGCCCCTAATCTGTGAGCCAGCGTCAACTCTGCACGACTGGCGGCCCCCTCGCGACGGACTTCCTGACACGGCTGGGGCTCCAAGGCTCCAGTACAATGTCCAAAGGTAGGGAGTAAGGTGGGTAGGGAGTGTGTTGTGTGTGTGCGCCTGTGTGCACATAACCTGCTTCCCAATCCCGAAACAATGGAATCACTTCACCCGCGGGCACAAACGTGTGCTCCATTCTCAGCTGGGCATCCCACCTCCCTGGCAGCCTCTTGACGATGCCTTTCGGCCTCCTGACAAAAAGCTGAGGGCTACATGGCGGCCACTTGGGTGCTTACAGCGTCTTCAGCTTGTGGCTCTGAGAGCACATGAAGGCCTTTGGGGGCTCTCGGCTCACGTGGGCCTTTTCATCTTTCCTCTTGGGGACGAACCGCTTGGGGCTGATTTGGGGGGCTCCGGGGCTCCCGGGTGCGGTGGTACTCGTAGATCAAGACCACGCCAGACACGCCGAAGACGACGGCCTCACCTTCGGCACAAGGCCCCAAAGCCGTTTTCAGAAAACAGGAGACACCTATTCCAGGAAGGGCTTCGGTTCTTTTCGGGCTTAGCAGGTTAATCCCGCTCCCTAAACACAATTTGGTCATGTTTCACATCCTTGCTTGCGGCTGCCTGCAGTTCGCAAGCCCAAAACTGACCCACCCGTGCCGTGACCGATCAGCAACTACTTCTAAATTATTGTGACTAGATGTTCCCAACATGATCAACGAATCAAAGCTATACTTTCCGGGGGCTCGGCCGAGCATCGTACAGCCGGCCTGCCCGCGGACTTGGGATTGAGGGTTCTTCCTCGGGTTTCGGGTTTCGGGTTTCGGGCTTAGGGTTCGGGTTAGCATTCCCCTTCAGGGAGGGTGGGGAAATTGGAATGCAGTAACTACGATGAGGGTTTGGAACTATGGTGAGAACTGTAAGGAGGTTGGGGTTCAGGGTTAATGTTGCACCCGCAATATTCTAGGGGGCCGCTATTATGAAAAGTTTTCCGGCTATTCAGGATCTGGACCCTCTGTTTTGGGGGTCCGCTATAATGAAAAGATTTCGGGCCGGGCCTGTTTTTTTAATGGTTTTTGAGGTCAAGTTCTTAGTTTGAGATCTGGTTCCAAAACCCTGAAGAGAGCTCTGAAGAGAGCTCCCCCCCACCCCCCCCCGACTGTTTGGGGTCTGTTTTTTATTCAGGGTCACGACTGTTGGGGGGGGGGGGGGGGTTACATTATTAAAGCAGGTCCAACATTAAATTCCAGGTTGCACTAGAAAGGCCAAGAGAAAGAGAGCCCGAGAATGATTTTCTTTCAAGGGGTGCCAGCATGTCAACGAGGAATTCAAAAGGCGGTCCCCGCCCCACTCAATCTTGACCCGAATCAACGCACTGGGACCTGGAAAAGGACCAAGCTGATGGCTGAAAGATCTGAAAGCCCGTGTCCACACGTGAGCCGCAACAGCCAAAACTCACCAAAACTCACACAGAACGGACCTTCGCACCGGCCGACCGAACCGCCCCGAGATCCACTGGAATGGCAAACCAAACTCCACTTCCCAGCACGAAACCATCGAACCCCCCAAACCCTGGAACCCGAAACTAAAATTCTACTCCCTAAAACAAAGACCCAAGAACCGTCGAAAGCTCCTTGGCTGATGAAAAAGAAACTTGTGGCCTGAACAGCCTGATCTCGTGGGAGGTTTAACCGCTCCTCCCAGGCAGACACATGAGTCAGCTGACGCCAATTTGTTGCATCATGACAAGGCTTTAGGAGCTTTACGTTGGGATGTTCCCCCTTCTACTAACAGTCCTTACTCGGGATTCGAGTACCCCCAGTTACAATCACTATTCAGGACGGCTAAGTATAAGGGGGAGCATCCCAAGCTTTACGGTTCAGAGTTGATGAACTATTCTGGTTCCTTCGTTGTTGTGTACCTGTTCTTTGGGGAGGTCGAGGGCTTCCGGTTAAGTGCGGAAACAGGGCTTTCCCATTAAAATGCAAAGGCAATGCAATACTACTCGAAGACAGAGGAAATAGAAATTCAAACACAGAGGCCTGAAAAGTTCACTTCTTAAAATATAGGGAAATAGAACCTTGCGCAAAACAATCCACGCATGACAGTTGTGGAAAAGTGCCCTCTTTACAGCTCTTCTTGATAAAGCAACCGGCAAAGCGTTAAAAGAAATAAAACAAATCGAAGGGGTTTGGGGGGGGGCCGCGACGCCTCCATTTGCAAACACATTACTCGCATGATTCCATCCAAAGTATTCGCATGTTTTCTTAATGCACGTCCTCTGTTGTGGCATGATCTGATCTTCTTGGAAATGAACCTTGAACCTAGCAACTCAATACATGTTCGATCCCTGCCCGTGGCATCTCCGTCTGGAGCAGCCGCGAGGCGGACACGCAGCAGTCCTGAAGTGGAGGCAGAAATTTGGTCAGTTCTCCAAGTTCATCCTTTGGCGGCGAGTGCAAGGTCACCTTTTTTCGGGCAACCCCCATCAAGGGAGAAGAATCACGAGGGCTAGGACGGAGGAAGAGCTGACCTGCAAAGAACATCAACCAACGCTACTCAAGCACACGGCAAAGTCACAACAACATCGGAATGGCGCCCGATAAACCCTAACACCCTAACCCCTAAACCCTAAACCCCAAATCCTAAACCCTAAACCCTAAACCCTAAACCCTAAACCCTAAACCCTAAACCTAAACCCTAAACCCGGAACCCGAACCCCCCAGAAGCCCAAAGAGCCTGGAACCTGGGACTTCTCTCCGCCGCAGCCATGGCCAGCTTTGCCACCGGGCGGGCGGCCTGACGCACGCCTCTGCCAAGGGTTTAGGGTTTAGGCTTAAGGGTTTAGGGTTTAGGGTTCACGGTTTAGGGTTAAGGGTTTAGGGTAAAACGAACCAGGGTGGGTAGCGTGTAGGGCTTGAGTTTAAGAAACTAGGGTGGTAGGGTTTGAGGGGTGTTATAGGTGCGTTTGCGGTAGGTATACAGCATAGAGGTGCAAGCGATATCAATTTCGACAGGGGTGAAGTAATTCGCATCTACGACATGGGTGAACAGTCAGGCTCTAAGACTCTAAGACACACACCCAGCAGCATCAGCTTGTTGAAGGGCAGCCGTGACAGCAAGAGGACCTGAGCGGTGAGGTTGACATACCCAACTGGATTGGGCAATCTTCAGCTGCAAAGCCTACACCCTAAACCCTTAACCCTAGACCTGTATGATTGAAGGAGGTCGGGGCCCGGACCATGGCTGGCAGTGCCGGTGCGACCGGCGGCCAGATGAAGCGGCTGCTTGGATGTTTGGGGGGAGCGTTCTCGAAGTCCCGAAAGGTTCGAGGCTTTGGTGAAGATGTCTGACTGCCATTGTTCGTGGGTTGAGGCAATGTTTCAGAGACCTCACATGGCCGTCGCCATGCACACGTTTTCCCGAACCTAAGCATCAAGAGCTTGATAGGGTTGAGCAATGCCACAGCCATCCAATGAATCTAGAGCATATCAGTCATATCATATCAGGCATCTAAGGCCTTCTTTGCGCCTTTGCTGCATGGGCAGTGCCATCGTCTTTGCGCTCAGAGCAGTCTGAAGCAGTGAGCGCGAGAAGCCCCTGACACATCCTGTCGAAGATGGGCCCCAGCTCAGCATACAACAGCGTTAATTACCTGGGCAGGGCAAAGAGTTGGGCTTTCTAGGCCGGCCAAGATCAAGAACGACCTTTCATGCCAACAAAAACACAGTTTTCTTGCTGCGATCACAGCCACTGCACAAAGGTCCCGGGCACCGCCTCCGACAGGGCCCTGAGGCCCTGGGCTTGAAGTGCTTGCGGCCATGCCAATGTTGGCAAGCTGCCGGCGCCAACTAAGGGGCCAAAGACAAAAGCTGATATCTATGCCAGCTGGGCGAAGCTCTGCTTCTCGTCGAGGATATTCAATCTCGGCCATAACAAACATGGCGCAAACAATCTTGCGGCTCGGGGCGCGGCACGACGCGATCTTCGCACCGCTGTCGAGCAAGATGCAGCCAAGCATCTGGTTTGCCACTTCTTTTAACTTCGCATCATGCCTTAGAGGAGACGGCCCTCGGCTTCGTCCCCGGCCGCAGGAACCCCAAAACATCCCAACACCCCCCCCCCCCCCCAAAAAAAAAAAAAAACACACACACCCCAAATTGCTTCAACACTTCGCATCCCGAGATCCCAGTAGCGTAGCATCCCAGGCCCCTTGAGGCAGGGACAGCGGTCCAGTTTGAGCGCTGCGCTCAGCTTGGAGCCAGGCACGATGGAGCAGCAAGTTGTCCTGGAGGCATTTGTGTGACGCGTGTCCTTCGAAACTCAGGGCTTGCACCCTCAGCTTTAAACCCCCCTCAACATCTGTATGAAACCTATACCCTAACCCCTAGATGAACCCTAAACCCTAAACTTTATGCAAGCTTTTGGACCCCTCAACCCAACCTAAACCCTACAGTAACCCTAAACCCTAAACTGCATGAAAGCTTTTGAATCCCTCAACCCTAGCCCTGATTGTCATCCCGGGCACGCGGCGACGCCGAAGTCGGACTTTAAGCGCAGAGCTGGCGATTTGGGCGCTCAGCCTTCTGGCTCGGCTTTTGAGTTTTGGGTTTTAGGGTTAAGGGTTTAGGGTTTGGGGGTTTAGGGTTTAGGATTTGGGGTTTAGGGTTTAGGGGTTTAGGGGTTTCGGGGTTTCAGGGTTTCCGGGTTAGGGCCTTGAACCTGGATATTGCTCTGGTGTCATGAACTTGCGTGGTGCCGCTTTGTCCACATGTTGGCATCGAGGTGCTCGGTATGCGTGGTCCACTAGCTAATGGAAATGAACCACAGAAATGGCTACCAGAATGGAACCCTTCCACCACCCATGATTATTCGCAATAGGGACGTTGAGAAATGGAGCCAGGCTCAGTCTGGCCAGGACGAAGGGCTCAAGGCCCTTAACTTAACGAGAAGCACATGGAGAAGCTGAGGTCCGCACAGAAACAAGCCGGCGGGACCGATCCAGATTTTTCCCAGCTGTGTATCTGGCGGAATCAAGACTGCTTCGAGTTTGGTGTTGCCTGCTTGGGGGTCATACCCCGAAAAATCAAGGTTGGCTCAGCAAGGTCTCTCAGGCCTGCAAGGCCACCGACGTGTTTCAGTGGTGCACAGGAGCACATTACACCACCATCGCCGCCGCAACTGAGGATCGTTAGGAGGTCAATGACTGCCCAGATTGCGTTTTTGAAGATGAATAGGATCCTTGGTACAAATTGCGAAGCAATCATCGACAGTCACCTGACGTGCGCAAGGCAAAGCGCGCACCAACCCCCAAAAACACCTTTAAACCCCCTCGGCCCTTTTCAAGAATCCGCGAGTTGGCGATGTCCACCGTATACCAGTCCTTCAGCTGGCGAGAGCTCCGGAACATGACACGCACCAACCGTTGGCAAAAGGATTGCGCCAAGCGTCAATGTAAATTCGCCAGCACAAGAAGGGGAGCTCCAACAAAAACAGAGAGCGGATGGCGTCCAACAGCTTCGCCCGCTGAAGGAAGCGTTCCAGCTCGGCCTGATCAAGCCGCCCTCTCTCCGGACCAACTCGAGTGGGCCAAGATGTCCCAAACATTCCCACACCCTTGGGTTTATTAGGGTTTAGGGTTTAGGGTTTATAGTTTATAGGGTTTATAGTTTTTTGGGTTTAGGGTTTCGGGTTCCGAGTTCCCACCCGGCCTCCGTGTCGCAAGTCAGCCAGCCCGTGCAGCAGCTCGTGCTTCCCTCCTGCCCAGCAACAGGTCCAAAACAAAGACCCGCCTGATTTCAATTGGGCAGCTGTCTAGATCATGGTCCCTATTGGGGCCCAGAACCTTAGTACAAGGCTCCGTATAGTTGGTGCCCCAAAGTGACAATCATTGGAAACACTGCACACCAAATTGAATAGTTCCTCCAAGCGGTCTTGGTCGGGATAGATGTGCTCCAAAGAGACAACCCCCTCGCGCGGATGTCGCCCATCCGTGAACTTCACCCGGTAAGCCTGCTCATGAGCATGAGATGCTTTCGAACTTCAGGGAGAAGACAGCACAATCATCTAGCATCACCCTGACGTTCATTCGCACAGCTCTGCTTCCTCCAGAACATGACAGGCGCTGAAGCACTATGTACACAATCCTTAAAGCCCCAATTGTGATGAAAGCACTTGCCTCAGCATTGTGCTGCACCGCAGCTCTGCCGATAATTCCTGCAACTGCCGGGGCAACTACTCGCGGGGCCCTGATGCTTCGACTCGTGAACCCTCAGTCCGAACGACCTCAAACCGAGTTGAGGGTTCTGGTTGCGCAGAGGTGCGGGTTGGTGGTCCCAGCTGATGGTTTACGTGCGAGTTCAAGATGCTGCTTAGAGGAAGGATAAGGTTGAGTAGAAGAATAGTTGACATAGAGGGTAGTGACAATTCCTGGTTTTCTTTGAGTCTCTCTTCGAGCCTCTCGTGCAGTACGGGCAGCTTAGGGATTTGGTGAACAGCACAGACTGCCTACCCCACAAGCTATAGAGGGCATCATCAAACCAAGCGGCTCCCACGGCGATGTTCGCTGCGCGATGCATCAGGAACATCAACCTTTGGCATGCTGCAGACCACAAGCCAAGGCTTGCTCAAGAAAGCTACTGCTGAGGCTGCTAAGGACAGAGGCGGGGTGGCCGACAGAGCTATTGACCGGCATAGGAACTGAGAGGAAAGGAGCTGTGAGCTACACCCCTTGAGGCCACGGCACAAACAGGATGCCCATCACTTCCTGGAATTGCTTTGCGAGCAGTGCCCAGCCTACAGCCTACAGCCTTCGCTGGCTCCAACCCTTTGAACACCATTGGCCCCCCTTTCGGGATCCTTGCAGCTCTTTCCTGCGTCGGCGGAGTAACTCCAATACGGCTTGTGTCGCGTTTCGTGCCTGGTGGCAGGGCAGAAGCAAAAAAGTGCGAATTCGAGCCCATGCTTACGATTAATTCTTCACACTGCCATTAGCTTCCCTGATTTTTCACAAGTGCGTTGATATTGGTGACCCAAATATTCGCATTTATACTCATAGCATATCTATATATATATATATACATGGGTTCGCTGATGTCCATCCGCTGCCGAATCCTATTGCTACTTGCATTCGTACTTCAGTGCGGGTATTTTTCTTTTTGCTGTGAGACGATTAGCGCTACCATTGTAAACGTTCTTTTTGGAGGATCGCCGGAGTTTGGAGTGCACCCATTGCCCACCGCAAGCAATCCAAACTTCTTCGGGCAATCAATGTCGTCTATCTTCTCCGCTCGGCAGTCTGCAATTAGAGGTGTTTGGATTGTGGGCGCCCGCCCGTCCTCAAGCTCGTCCGAGCAAGCCAAGCTGTCCTGAGGCAGCGTGGTATCTGAACTGAAAGCCTTACACAAGGAATCGGAATGCTCAAAGTGGGCCAGACCTGAAACAAGAAGAGAAGAGCCAACCGTCGCTCGTTTCCACACAAATGGCTCTCTGACTGTGACTGCAACTGTAGTTGCTGTTCCTGCTTTATTCCTATTCAACTCCCACCTCCAGGCGCTGCAGCTGCTCTTTCTGCAGCTCGGCGGTGCTGGGCTCGGGGCCCTCTGCGGATCCGGTTTCAAGAGTTCAAGATTTTCAAGGGCGAGGGAACCAGAGGGAACCCCCCATTCTTTCCGAGGGCGTCGATACACTTCTTGTGGGCAGCCTTCCTGTCCGGGAGTGGGGCTTTGATCGGCTTTGATCGCTAGGCCATTGAGGTTTAGAAGGCGCCCATGACGAATGGGGGAACTCATGGCTCTGTGGTTTGCAGGTCTTCAGAATCTGGGTTTGCCTCCACTGCCGGCATCAAGACTGTGAACAGCACAGGCGACAGCACCTCACGAGGAGAGTAACGCCGTCAAGTTTGGATTGTCAGCATGGGCAGGAAATCTGACTGCGGGATGCAAGTCATTGGGGGAAGAAAAGCGCAATGCTACACCCAAGGAAACCACTGTGGTTTGCAAACGGCAAGCTCATCTCATCTGCACTTGTCAGCTCTAACCCACACCCCTCTCTCTGGGGTGGAGTACGACAGTGCTGAACGCCACCACCCACGTCATGAAGATGCAAACAAATAGCCTCAAGAGCTGCATTGCATCGTGGCTGCATGTTCGCTGAAACTATGGCTTCGGATTAAAAAAATCTGCGGCTTCCTGGGCATCTTGCAAAGTAAGAGCCTGACACGCACTCTTGCACCTACGCGAACCTGTCTCCGGAACTCCCTACATCCAGTTTCATCATTGGAAGATTCATGCTATGAACCCTATGGCCGCAGCTCTACACCCCCTGTTTATCTTTAGAACAGCCTCCCCCCCACCCCCCCCCCCCCACCCCCCCCCCCCCACCCCCCCCCCCCCCCCCCCCCCCCCCCCCCACCCCCCCCCCACCCCCCCCCCCCCCCCCCACCCCCCCCCCCCCCCACCCCCCCCCCCCCCCACCCCCCCCCCCCACCCCCCCCCCCCCCCCCCCCCCACCCCCCCCCCCCACCCCCCCCCCCCCCCCACCCCTCCCCCCCCCCCCAATCAACCTGAAGCCACTAAGAGGTATACAAGCAGCTCAGGCTTCTTCAATCTCATGCTGCCATCGAAATCAATGCCTTGGGTTATATATTGGGCACGACAAGCCTACATAAGGGATGATTTAGGGGTATTTCACTGAGGGCCTTGAGGGTGTTGTGACATAGGGATTGACTAGCCCCCCCCCCCCAAACAAGAGGTCAAAGGTCACTTAGCGACGAAGATGCCATAAGCAGGGTGGCGAACTGCAGGGGAGAGGATGTTCTCACCTCAGAAGCCCGTTGCTGCTGAACCCTAGTCCCTAAACCGAGACCCTACATCTGAACTTGCACCTCATCTAGCCTGCGGGCTGAATAAGATGAAGGGATTGGGTTTAGGGATGCCTCCGGTTTAGGGACTTAAGTGAGTTAAGGGTCTCAATTTACCTGAGTCTTCGGAATTTTAGGAGTTGCACGTAGGCGGGTCTAGGAATAGGCTTAGGGTTAGGGGGTTCTTGGCTTGGGGCCTTTACACCGCAGAGTTGAAGGGTTACAGGGCTAAGGGGGTCGTAGGCTTTTGGGTTTGGGGATTAAGGCGTCTCCCCGCGCAGTGGCAGAAGATCTCATGCCATGACGACGCTGTCGCTACCACCACTCCGAAGGTGCCGTTTGAAAGAAACATCCTTCACTTAGACGGTTCTCTCCTTCTTCACAAGGGCTGTTTTTTCCGACGCGGTGTGTCAACAAGAAGCTTCCAACGTGAGGAGTAAGAGGGGCCAGGTCGGTGCGCCCGCGCGGCCAGCGCGCGCTGCGCGCCTGGCGCCGCGCGCGCTGCGGAGGACACAGGTTTTTCTCGAAGCCCTCTCGCATTGCGCCCAGGCACGGCCGCGCTCGCGGTCCGCGAAACGGACATCGCTTTTGGACTTCTGGGCTCTCGAGATGCGAGCCCTTGGGCATTCTGACTCGTCTCATCCGGCTTCCGCCTGCCGGCTTCAAGTCACGGCCGACCGACTCCAGAATTTTAGGCCCCCTCCAATCCGGACGCAACTTACATCCGCTAAGTGCCTGGCTGCGAGTTCCGGGCGCGCCTCATGGTATTCTTCGTTCTTCTCGTTTGTGAAAAGCTGCCGTGCTCTTGGAATGCTCCCATGACGCCTAACTCTTGGGGTGCTCTCTGGGACTTCTCTTGAAGGATGTTCTTCTAGTGTCAATGGACTGCTGTCTGGCGCTTAGAGTTGGAGTGCTCTTGGGGTTTGGGCTTAGGGTTCTCAGCTCAGCGGCTAAAGACCACGGCATCCAGTATGTCCAGCCAGGCGCCACTGGTGAAGGAAGCGGCGGCGGGCGTAGCAACCCACCCACGCACGACCCAACCCAACATCAGAATCGCCAGCCATTTTACCAACATGAACAGGTCGTCCACCCGAAATCCAATTTCCAGCAGTGGCTGTCCGAGGACGACCTTCTCGAAGACGCAACACTGCTGGCCGGAAACGACCTCATTAAGGTCATTAGAGCCCGAAACCGACCATCTGCTACTGAAGTGGGTTGTCGCTTCTGGTTTCATTTGATGACGTGTTGGGCTGGGTGGTGTTATGAGTTCGAGAACCCCGAGGACTCGACAACTGCTAGCCAGGCCACCACTGTTTCCACGCATTCTCCATTTGTGTAGTGCCGATCAGGCTCGTATGGCATCGTACAGTTCTTCGTCACTCCCACTCGACATGCCTGCAAGCTCAGCCAAGGACTTGGAGATTCGAATTTCGAATCCAAGTCTTCTCTGGGCTGTGGAAAACTTCGGGCGAATACAACTTTTGCTGCCTATCCCAGCTGTTTCTGCTCCCCTCTTGCAAGGGCCCCATGTGGAAGTCCGAGGGACCGCGTAGCTCCAGTTGTTCTTGCGCAGGCAGGAGGCCAAAGGTGTGCCCAAAAAAGTCGGGACTTCCTCTCGTCTAAAGCGGGCATGCTGACTGCTCTGACTGGCATGAAGTATTCTGACAAGCGCACACACAAACTGTAATTTCCTACCTGTCCGGAAAGCATGCCACCATTTGTCCATCCTGCAGGGTCATACTCACGTCGTGAACACGATCAACAGGCGTGGCTGCATCGTACTCCACATAGAAGGCAGAGAGATAGATCCTCAGCTAGGAAAGCCGAAACAGGCCAGATTCCATCAAACGAGAAGGACGGCAAAACATCTGAACAGAAAGCTTTGAGCCGAGATACACCCACTGCAGCGTACCCGCCAGCATGTAGACTGCCTGGCTGCTGCCGTGGCAGAGAGACCCCACAGGGCTCAGGTATTGAGGTCATTGCTGGGGTCTCCGAGATGATTCGTTCCTGACACATGGGGTTGTTCCGCAGGACGGTGAGTCAGGCGGAGAATCTGCATAAGCGAAGCGATGATAAGCGTTGCGCATACGGGTAAGCAAGCACTATTTCCGGCGAACATCCCGCAGCCTAAACTACTACTTGGTCACGTCTGTGTAAACACCGTGGTAGGTTCCAGGAGTGTCGCTTCGTTGCATGCAAAGTGTGGTTGTCTCAAAGCTTTTGGCTATTTTGAAGGACAAACGTTGCAAAACGCTTGTTTGGGAAGCTGTAGAAACTACTTCTGGCAAAGCACATTTTCAGATCACGGAGAGGAGAGTCCGTAAGAACTCGTGCAGGTTTGCATCTGGAATGAAAGCTGAAACGCCCGACGTCTTTGTGATGCAGAATGCACGACGAAAGGGCAGAAACGCTGGAAAAAACAGGTGTGAATGCTTGTGACAGTTCGTCTTGTTGCAGAAACGTCAAACATCCTTGATCCTCGTCCAGCATTTGTACACGGCAAGAGCTGAGAAACAACAGTGCTCCGGGCCTGTTCGCAAAGGCATGAAAGTTTCCGAGACAGCGCGTCTTGCTCCAGAAACATCAAACATCCTTGTGCAGCGTGCGTACAAAGAGAAAAAAGTTGAAAATACCACTATTTGGGCATGCTCGCCGTATGACTGGGTTTTACCCAATCAAGAAAACACAGGACAAGGGACTGCAAGACCAGGAGAACAGCTGGGTGAAATCAAATCTTGTAAGTTTTCCAAGTCCCTGGCTACACCGATGCGCAGCACACGGGAGCTCAAGACGTGGGGACGCCCGCAAATACCTTGCATTGACATGATCGGTACGGGTATTCTACGGTTAAGCTAGCATTGACATGCAAGCTTACGACTCGTCAAGATGTGCGCTCCTGATGTACCTATATTGATCATGTCGCTCAGCACCCACCGTGCTGCCCAAGCCGCAGAACACCCTCACCAAGCCTGTCACGATGAAGGTTCCCCAGCAAAGCTTCATCAAATCCTGCAGCATGCAATGTGTAATCAGATTGCTGCTGGGTCCTCCCTCAACCCGAAACCCTAAACCCTAAACGCCAAACCCCAAACCCCAAACCCTAAACCCTAAACCCCCTCGAACACACTGCCGAAGCTCCGGCTCATCCACCGGCACCCATCCTAAGTTGCTGCTGAATCAGGAAAGCCCGACACTTTTCGACACACCACAAGAAGAATGTCCAGAAATCCAAAACTATAGAGACCCGACAAAAAGTTAAAAACAACACAGCAAGCCTACCCCCTAAACCCTAAAGCCCTAAACCATGTGTTGATGAGGATCTTTCCAGTGGCGAGAAGTGCACGTCATTCTCTCGCACCCACTTGCTCATCAATGCCTCAAGCGGCAACGAGGCTTAGCAACGTAAACTCCTGGTCGTGGGCACGTCCAAGCCGTAACCCTAGGCGTGTGGCGCAGAACAACAGCTCGACACAGATCGCACCAGCAAACGGCTTGCGGGATGCTGCACCCAACCTCAGGAGGCACGAACATCTTTACTCTCTGTAGCTGGGAGTCCGGGAGGGTGGTGTTCACCGATGTTGTTACTAGTTTCGCTAATTTTATAATATGTATATATATATATATACATACATACAGAAACTACAGAAACATACACGATGCCCACACCCCCCCTCCTCCATGGACCTACCTTTCTGTGCGGGAGCTCTACACAAATATAGCCTCCCTCTACTTTCCATGATCTTTCAAAACACATTGGAAACACCAATGTTTTCTCAGAGTGGCCTGGCACAAACATTACTTTTTCCAATGTGTTTGCTCGCATGCCTTCAAAAACATTGGAAAAATCATAAGACCTGCTCGTGCCCCAAGCTTGGAAATGTAAAACAGTGAGTCGGCTTGACTTGCATTATCAAAGGGCGACTAAATTTCTTAGAATGAACGAATATGGGAAGAAAATGAAGGACAGCTTTGCATCTTCACTTGTAGCCCAGCTCTGTGACGTAAAGCTAAATTGCGGGGTCATGAAACGCCATTACGAGTGCAAACTGACCTCCAATTCATATATGGTTTCTCTTTTTACAGGCTTAATTTCAGGGAAGTAGTATGATTGAGCGTATTGTTCTCAAGCGTACCTAGCGAGAAGCTATTTGCTTTCAAAACTAAAGCAGCCGAGATAGCCAAGCGTGACACGCTCAAGCAACACATGCTGCGTGGTATACACATGCATACTTATTGCAGTGTTCGACATTTAACTCATCGGAAACGTCTCTTAATCATCTTCGCTCCACCCAAGTTACAAATGCAAATGACTGATTAACATAGGCGGAAGTCGTTTCTCGTTTGCAACTAGGGGCTACTATTTGCTTAAGTCAAAACAACAGATGGCGTTTAGTCATCTCATTTACTGAATGCATAAACTTTTGGGGTTGTACTCTTACTAACAACATATGACCTCGCCCACGTGCAGCAGCTAGCCAGCTCAGCCTCACCTTCTTTGTTTTGTAGTCGTAACCCTTGCCCAACCCTAAGATGGCTAAGTGGCCGGGTGATAGTAGAAGTACTTCCATTCATTTTGCTGACCTCCACAAATGTTTCGCGTATATCATCTATGTATTTATACCTGTTCATTTCTGGTACCCCTCACCCATGAACCTGCCTTGCTTGTAACTGTCCGTTTGTTCTCATACGCTCGTACTTGAGTCTTCTTTCTTCTACTTTGTCTGTGCCATATGTTTGGGTGTACCAAAGATGCGAGTTTTACCACGCCATGGCAAGACTACATGCAACTTGAATGAATATTGACTTGTGTATTCAACATCCTGGGTTTGAGGATTGAAGTTGCCAAAGAAAAGATTTAGGAGAAATCTGAAGCCCCCTCAAGCTTAAGACAATGGGTTTGGAAAAACAGCCTGAAGAAGTACTCAAGAGGTTCTAAGTCCTGGGATTAAAGATTGAAGATTCTCAGGATTTGATTCCAATCCTGGGTTTGAGGGTTCAGGATTGAGCATGAATTCTTCAACCTTCCAGAGCCTTGCACCTTTGGGCTAGACACGGAAGTGGCAGCTTCGAGCATCATGGCTTGTGAAGCCTCTTTGTGTCTAGCCGAATCTGGCGTCCTCTCACGAGCTGCTCACCCCGTCTTCTCTGTTGGGGATTTCAGGGTCTGAGAGGCTTTTGGATATTTTGGATTGAGGCAATTGGCATAGCAGCTAGTGTCGTCTGTGACAGCTTAGAGCTCAGTAACGTCCAGCCCAGGATATACACACGGAATATTCCACACTTGGAGCCCGGATCATTCAGGTTTTGGTCCTGAAGCAATGAGTAGGGTGCTTGATCCAACTTGCGAAAGACTCTGACTCTAGCGGCAACTGTCTCGAGAGTCGCGGAGTTTGAGGAAGCCGCCACTATAACCGTGAGACAGCTATGGCTTCTCGAAGCTTCCTGTCTATAACTGTGTAGATATATATATATATATGCCACCCCCATGAACCTAACGTTTCTGTGTTTTTCCTGGTCGCGCTCGTGTTCAAGGTGGATTCGTGTGCAATTCACCCGAACTAATGAAAAAACAGACTGATCCCCAGCCGAATTGATGTTGGAACGCTGTAGATTGAAGCCTAACTCAGATCCATTAGAATCTTGTTCGTTCATAGAAGTTAGTTTAGGATTTACTCATTGGGGTCCTACGCAGATTTGACAGGACACAAATGGTAGTTCAAAGCCTCAAGCGAGTATGGGCAGAACCTTTTGGTGTAGTAATTCGATGGCTGAGTGCCTATTGTGGGCATCAAGCCATTAAATTTCGCCGGGAGAGGGAACCACCGTTTTCAGCAAAGATCCATCAAGCCGTGCAGTTCTGCCCATACAGTCAGGCTGCCTAAGCCGCGAAACCAATTCCGCCACAATTTTTCAAGTGCTTATTCGATGTCCCAAGGTAGTGGAAGATTGAAGATTCCCAGAAAAGGTCCAAGAGGATTTGTCACTCCTGTATTTCCACACTGCAAACTCCATGGGTTGAACGCCTCTTTCGAGATCAACTCAGTTCGGGGCCTTCTCCGAAGGTGGAGATCGAATCGCTCCTCTATCTTGCCGGAGTCCTCCTTGCATGACTTGATACACATGGTGGTTTCCGAAATTAAGGGGATACCTTCTTGGGGTCCATGTTACAAGGGGATCCTACTATTCCGGGGGGGGGGGGGGGGCTATGTTAGGGGCTCCCTACTTTTGTAAACCCCCGCATGGCTTTCGGTTCCATGCAGCCTACGACACAACGGAATTTTCATGACTGTAGCATTATGCACGGGGCTCCTGCGACAGCTCACTTTCGCTTCCGCTCGAGTCTGGAACCGCTTGCATGCTGCCGCTCCCCTACAAGTGCTGTGGGCAAGTGAAATTCCCATGAAGGGGCTTGTGGGTTTGCACGTTTGTGTCTGTCGCTGCTACTTGGTGCGGTTGAGCCATGCAGCCGGACATAGGCCATGGAAGGGCAACTCACAAAACTGGGCTCCGAATGGCACAAGGCATTTCCTCTTCTTGCGCAGCGCAGAGATGCGCCGAGTATCGCCCGAGGGAGATGGCCGCACAGGAAAATGTGGCGAAAACTACGAAAATGTGTAGCCGCTTGTAGCCATGTAGCCGATGCAGGCAAGAGCCCAGAAAGGTGTCTGGACTATGAGTGCGCCAAGGCGACTGCTATCAAGAAGACTGCCAGCACTCAGGCCAAGTGCCTCGCGACTGAAGACTGGCACAAGAGACCATCCGAAGAGACAGGGTCCCGCGTGAGCAAACATCATACCGTCACGTTAGAGTAGGGGATCGCACGTTGCAAGCGGCAGCACACGAGACCCTGCGGAAGGAATGCAATTTTGCATTGAGAGAGAGACTACTTACTACTTGCTTGCTTGTGGGCGCTCTGCGGCGGCCGCGCCAGATGGCTGCTGCGCTCCTCAGAAACCAGCGAAGCAGAGACCTGCCCCCTTGTGATTCTGGGTGCTGACTCGCTTTGGCAAACCCTGGCCGCCCTGGCCTTCTCGGCTGGATCACTTCAATCCCTGTCAGTGTCATCAAAGCTGCAAGACTTCTCATACCTGATCCATGCATTAATGCAAGCTCGCCTTGACCTGCGCCTTCTTGGCCAGTCGGAGTGGACCCGGTGTGACCTGGGAAGGGCTCCCACCAAAAAAATGTTGTCCCGAGCTCTCCACGAACCCCGCATGCCTCCAGAACCTCGTCCGTGTCCATGTGGCCAAGCCAGTCATCGATGCTCATCTGCAAGGAAAACCCAACATGCCGTAACATCCGTTGACCCTCGACTGAATTCCCATTTCTGAGCACCCTTGCAGCCCCCTGCCTGCACCTTGGGAGGGAGCGCAACTGTCGCTGAACCTCGGGTCGGGTTTTTGTTGAAGCTCCCTCCCGGCAAAGCCAAAGGTTTGAGGCGCTCATGGTCTATAGTGGCTTACAGTGGGTGCCCCTAGAACTCGAACACTGTTCACACTGGGCTAAGAGCTGGAGGCAGCCCGCACATTGGAGACTGCTTTTTCCTTCGGCTTTAAAGGCGTCGGAAGATGTCCGAGCATGGCACAACATGGCACCATGGTCGCTATCGGAAGTTGCACTCTGATGGGGCAGTGCCTTTGTGATGTTGACGTTGAGATCCGTCTCCTGCTCGCGACGCATCGGTGCAGATGCTCACATCTCTGAGTCAGCCCGAAGTGCGCAGCAGTTGCATTCGCCACATTGGCAGGCCAACCCCCACACCTTCTCAGTCTTGGCTCTCGAACTTAGGATGCAAGGAAACCAACCCTTCCCCCCTCCAACTGCCTTATTGTGCAGGCCGATGACCTGCCCTGCGTAGACTTCTTCCGCCGGCTGCGAGGCACAGAGAGTTGTCAGGGCTTTGGCTGGGGGGGGGGGGGTCAGAGCCCAGAGTCAGGGGGTTTCACATTACTTGGGGCAGAAGGTCGGCCATGGATATCTGTTGGCTCGCGTGGGCCTCTTTTTTGGTGCACCCCAAAGACGCAACTCCAAAATCTCAGTGGAAGACGACCGTGTTCTTCAAGGACAGCGGCTGCATGAACACTCGAATCATGGTCTTTGGGGGACGCCTCGACGAAGAACGTGCCCCGCTGCTGGAAGTTGTTGATGCTGTAAAAGGTGGCCTGGCACTGGCTGCCGGCTTTTTGAAAGCCGGTGTGGGGTGTAATGAGGAAGTAGCTTCAAGTTGCGACATATCTAGGCTAAAGCACTCAAGACAGCGTTTTTTGTTGAACATCCAAAATGTCCCCAAAATGCATCTCTGGGTCGGGACATATCACAGGGGTCGGCTTTGTGGGACGAACAAAAAGGCGCAAAGAAGCTGGTACGATTCACACCCAAAACACGAAACAAAAATTGGGGTCTAATCAATGCACAGCCCCGTCGACCCGTCTCCACCCCAGATTTAGGTCCTGAACGAATGTTTTTCAACTCCAGGTCCATGGCTTCCGAACTGAGCGTCGCGGTTTGTGCAGCCCCATGCTCGGCTGGTGGTCTCACTGTGCCTACTGTGATATGCCACAGGAGCCCAAGACCCCAGTATGGAGGAACAGTGCGCCTTATGTAAACACACGAGTATCTATTTTTTGAAACCATACGGAATAGTGGACACCTCAATACCTCGGATGGGCGGAAGTCAAGGAATCCCCACAGTGCATGTGGTTGCAGAAGGTGAGATGTGACGGAATGAAGAAGCCACAAGCATCACCTTGCAGATGTCACTAGGAACCCCTGCACCCATTTCGGATCCCCAGCTCTACACTTCTGTGCAAACCTGCATTTACACAAGGGCTCCAAGAGCCAGATCCTGAACAAGGCAATTCTCCTAGGTGGTTTTCAGATGTTCCACTGCCCTACCACAAGAGCAGTTCATTTACAAAGAAGCGCAGTTCATTGGCTCAAGAAGACCAAAAAGATCCCGAAAGGCCTACCAAAACCTCGTGAATACCGCTCATGCTTTAAGCAGGGAACAACCCTCAACCCCCTAATCAAAAACCAGGGCCGGAAACATGCCCCGCACCTTGCCAGTAGCGCCTGTTGTGATAGAGCCCTTGTCCTCCATGCGAGGCCGAAAGCATTTGGATTCAAGGCCACACCATGACGCCTTTTGATTTGGGGCTTTGGGAAGTTTGGGGCTTAGGGGGGCTATTAGGGGGCTATTAGGGGGCTATTAGGGGGCTATTAGGGGGCTTTAGGGGGTTGAGGGTTCGAGGCCCGCCAGGCACAGCAGCGAGCAAGTCTGCCGGAACGGAGGGCAGTCCCGCAATCTGATGGCGCCGCCATCGAACCTCACATCACATCAGCAGTCTTTGGCAAAAAAACACACCATTCGCAGTTCGAGTGGTTCAACATTCCAGCAGAGCGACGCTCCCCAGTGCGAGAATTGGGAGCTCATGACCGCTGTGCCTGAGGTCCTGTGCGGGGAGCATCTGCGGCAGATGGTTGCAGCGAATGCAAAGGGCCCCTCTAAGCCCCCCAGAGCTTTAAAGAGCAGCGTGCTTCTTCTTTCAGACTGCTCTCTAACCATAAATCCTGCAGAGGTTCTGGCGAAAAGGCGATGTACTTTGTTGCATTCTTTCACCCAGCACCCAACAGTCCTCTGCATGAACTTGCCGGGCATGCCAATGGTGTTTCGCCTCGGGGAAGCTCTTCTGAACTCCGAATCAAATTCTCGCGAAGAGTCTGGAGGCTTTTTGGACTGAGGCCCACCACGTTGGGATCTCGAAGCTAAGGATCAGGGAGTTCTCCACAGCTCCAGACTGCAAGCCGACTGCACTCCCCGGAGCATAGCATTCAGGCGAGCCCTTGACAAATGTGGGGGAGGAAGGACTCGGGAAGGACTGCTCAATATGGGGCAAGATAAGCGCCTCCATGGTCTTCATCACGCCGCCCTTCTTTTGCATCTCCTGAGGAGCTTCCGAGTTAAAGTCATTGAAAGGCCGTGGGAACAACCTTTCTGCCCCTTGGGGCCACCATTGGTCAAGGAGAACCTGCCTCAACCACTGACATCTACTGACTGCTGAAGCCCTTCAAGCACATTGACGGAGCAAGCCGTGCAGTGTGTACATTGTGGCTCAGGCTTCGAAATCTGCATTTGCTGAAGTCGAAATCTGTGGCATTGCTTGCCATCTGAAACTCTTCGTGGCTGTGGATCTCCCTGGATTTCTGCTGTTGCTCGCGACAGCATGTCACGGCCCCAAAATACCCTCACAAGGTATTCCGCAAGAGTACTCCTCCAGGATGACTCCCTGGTAGTCGGAGGGCACGTCCACGGCAACTTCCTTGTCAGAAGGATGTCAGGGTCCGGCGCTGCAGATCTTGGTCGCTGATCTACAGCCAGAAGCATCCGACAGCTCCCAATGTCGCGCCTCGTACGGCTCCAACTTCTTGCCTGTGTCCGGATCTTCACCTCAGTGGCTATCACCAGAAGCGGCTCAGCTGTAAGTAGTAGTAGTAGTAGTAGTAGTAGTAGTAGTAGTAGTAGTAGTAGTAGTAGTAGTAGCAGTAGTAGTAGTCGTCGTCGTCGTCCTCCTCCTCCTCGTCGCCGTCGTCGTCGCCGTCGTCCTCCTCCTCCTCCTCCTCCTCCGCCTCCTCCTGCTCCTCCTCCTCCTCCTCGAAATAATCACATAAGACACAAGGTTTAGGAGAAGAAGCGCAGTCACAAGCATCCATGCCTTTTGCGAACATGGAAAAGCACTGGTATTTCCCTCGTTTTGGCACAGGGATGTTTGATGTTTCTGGAACAAGACACGCAAAAACACAGCATGTTCATGCCTTTGGTGAACATTCCCCAGAAAACGGGGGTTTAGACATTTGTTATGTTTGGTTTTCCTACATATGGCCCAAGAATGCTTGACGAATCTGGAGCAAGTCACCTGTACCACTTTTTATCGAAAATTATAAAACAGAAAGATGTTGGATGTTTCCGCGTTCATGCCACAGGCAAACATGCTAAAACACAAAGATATTTGCGGCATGATCCTCACATATGCACTCGGAAACCATGACAAAGCTTGCAATGACCGCGCAGAGGTCGTCGTCGTAGTAGTGGCAGCAGAAGTAGCAGCAGTAGCAGCAGTAGTAGCAGTAGTAGCAGTAGTAGCAAGTAGCTGTGGTCGTCGTCGTCGTCGCAGCGTGGTCTTGAGTCTTAGGAGCTCACGCAGCAACACCTCGGGCGCGCTGACCATGAACTCGAAGCCCTGACGAATTGAACAACCACCCAAGTGGAACACCGTTACTGCGGCCCGCATGCCGTCACAACATGTCCTCAACGCTGCCGGCCTCACGTCGCATGTTTTCCATGAGGATGCCCAGCCTATGTTCCGACTGCGTTTGCGTAAGTACGAGTCTCAGGTCACATGCTCCACCCAGGCAAAGCATAAGGCCACACGTGGACAACCCGTTCTCCAGCAGCCATCCAGGCTCACAACAGTGCACCATTGGGGCCCGAGCTGGAGCGTCCCTCTGCCCTTCACACGGAAGCTCTCAGACCTGAGGCGTGGGTTTCAGGACGCAATATGGTGCAGGGCCTACAGGGTTAGGTGATACATGATACAATATGATACATCTGCTCAGGTCTGTGCAAGAAGGGAATCTAAGACAATGGCTGACGCAAGTTAGGGCTACGGAGCCGCGCGGTCAGTTCACGTTCTTAGGTTCAGCAGCAGATGGAGCCTGGGCCCCCCAGCGAGCTTCCGGGCTCCATCCTGAGAGCCAGGTTCGTGAGGCACTCCTTCTCGAGGCGAGCCTGGCGCTGTTTTCCATCAGGGGTCCAAGGGTTTAGGCATCGGAGCAGAAAGGAAAACTAGCAGCCATGTCTTTGGGTAAGAAATGGGAGGGCCAAGAAAAACCCTCACTTCGGAGGCGGGCCTTGATCTGGACAGCCGTGACCTTTGTGGACTCCTTGCCGCGATCGTGGCGAGGCAGGAGGGGCCCCTTCAAGGATGGAAGGTTCCCCACATGGGGGGTTACGAAAACAAAGGACCCCCAAAATAGACCCCCAAATTGTAGGATCCCCTTATAATAAGGACCTCGATAAGGTACCCATAATTTCGGAAACCCCACATGTTTATACTTGAGGTCCCGCAGTTTCGAAAGAAACGGACCTAAACCGGGAACGTCAGGCAAAAACCTCGCCACCCTGCGAGCGACAGATCCTTCAGCTGCGCTGCAAAGGGAGATTTGTTTACGGCGAACTCCATAGCCACGGTTGGCTCCTGAGGGACCCGCGACCAGGACTTACAGGGTTCAGGGCTTCGTTTCCGGGGGTTAGAGTCTTGGCGCCTCGTGCTTGATGCCTTTTAGCATGGGATGGAAAAGGTGAGGATGGTTGCGAGCCATCAAACAGCTGATGACCATCGGGTTTCGGGACTAAAGCTTACAAGGTTCAAAGTACGCAGCGTCTAAATTTTGGAATTCCATGAGTCCTGAGCCCTGAAAACCCTAAGCAAGCTTAGTGATGAAAGGGTTTGATTCCCCTGCTGCGCACCTCCACCTTGATAGGTGGAAGCGGCTTTGGGTCATCCAGGTCCACCACTGTGTCACCAATCGTCACCTCTTTGGCATGGCGGTTTCGGGTTTAGGTTTAGGGTGGGGCTGTCACGAGAGGAGAAACTGCGTGCTGTTTAGAAGTTGGTGGTGTAGGGCTTACAGGGGTTTCGGGCTTTTTGCCGATCCCCATTCGGTAAGGCTAGGTGGGGGTACGGCTGAGTGGGCCGTTTCGCCACATGGCGCCTCAATCGATCCGGTGACGCGTGTGTTCGAGCTTAGGGAGTTGGGATTCTCCACGTTCTGCTGGAAATGACTCGTACGATAGTGTCCTGAGAGAATGAATGCTGCAAATGAGGTTGCAAAGGGGAGGCTTCAAATTTGCGCGCGTCCATCATGCTATGCTTGTTGATTTGTGGATCGCAGGCAAAGATAGCTCAATGTGTTTCTCCCTATGCTCTGTGGGGCCTATTTACTGAGCATTCGGGCGAGGGCAAAGGGTGACTTTGGAGCATTCGGGCTTACAGTATACCATGGCCCACTTGAGGATTCTTTGCACACCTCGCTGCGGACAGGTTCTGAGGTGCGGGCTTCGGTTAGGCCCGAGAAGGCGCAAATGTCGCCAGCTTTCACCTTAGCTACCCTCATGTTTTTTGGAGTTCGGACTTCAGGGTCGGATCACCTCTGAGCTGCTTGAAACCCTGGCCAATGCTTCTGAGCCAGCGTCTACATCGATCGGTACTCGGTCGTTGTTCTCGAAGTGCCATAGCTTTGTGACCTAGACGCAGGGATCCCTGCGGTCCTAACCAGCACACAAAGGCTCTCAAAACCTTGGCGAGGGGGGGGGGGGGGGAGATTGATCGAAAATTGCATCCTCTGGATAGTTTGGGAGATAGTGTACCAGAATGCGCCCAGAATATGGTCTCCGCGAGATCTCTTCCGACAACGCGATGTTAGGGCCGCTGCACTTCCCTTGCGCACTTCCCCATCTTCGCCATACATGATTCCAATCTGCCATGCCAATTTTGAAAGCTTGAGGTGGAGGGACTAGGGTTGAGGCTTCTGGAGCCATGCGAAGGCCTAGACACGCAGATCAATGCCTGCCACCCCCAGCGCTACACGAATTAACTCCAAAACCCTTCAGCTACGCCTCCTGACCCACTGTCAGCTCCCCAGAGATCAGGCGGCCAATGCATATGCGCCTCAGAACTCGTTTTACCGTTTGACTGTTGGGGATGCACCGGTTTGAAGACCGGCAAGCGCAGGAAAAGCCACGACACACTGAGCTCGTTGATGTCATTTTGGTTGCTGATCCTGAGGGAGCCGACCCGACGTAGTCGTCGTAGTCCAGGTTGGAGACCTCAACAATGCCCTCTGTCTCTTGGCGCGAAATATCGGGGACAACTTCAAAAGCCACCGAGGTCCTGGCCAGCATCTGAAGGGGAGCCTGGCTGTCAACCTTCGGCTTCGGAGTCTCCTGCGTTCCAGACTCCCACAACCCTAAACCGGCAGGTCTGCGACATTAGGGGGGGGGGTCCGTTTGAATAGGGGGAATCCTATTCTTTTGGGGGTCTATACTAGGGTCCCTTACTATCGTAAGCCCCCCAAACGAACCAGGGCCCTCCCAAAAAATCCCATAGGGCCCAGCCACCTGCCCTTTTGCACGGACAAGACGCCTTGCGTGCAAAGGCAAGGTCATACGCTCATCTAGTTGCAGCTCCCGAGACTGTGGGCTTTGGCTCCTTGGAATTCAGGGTTAGCCCTAAGCCCTAAGCCCTAAGCCCTAAGCCCCAAGCCCCAAGCCCCAAGCCCTAAGCCCTAAGCCCTAAGCCCTAAGCCCTAAGCCCTAAGCCCTAAGCCCTGAGCCCTGAGCCCTGAGCCCTGAGCCCTAAGCCCTACTCCACCCTTAAGCACTCTTCTGCGTTGTAATTACTCTGCTCCTCGAGGATCGTATCCAGAAGAGGTGTCAAGTCCTGCGGAGGGCTTTAGGGTTTAGGGTTCAGGGTTTACGTGCCATCCGTACATACATGGGGTGGGTTCCCCAGATTAGGGGCTCCCTGCTTTATGGCGGCCCCAAGCTGGCCTCTTTGAGGTCTTCGGGACCATCCTCATGTGCTCAAGGCTTTTCGCGCGGCTGTGGACGTGGGCCGTTTAAGGCTCGGACGACAGATGCCACGCCTTTGAAACCGGATGCGTAGACCTGAGGGCGAGGTGCACACCCTCAAGATAAACGCCTAAGTCCTAAGTCCATTCCTTACGTCTCAGGGGCGGCATAAGCACATTTCAAAGCCGGCGACCACTGGGAAGTCACAAGCTTCGTCATCGGCACCCAGGCAGCCGAAAAGGTCAAACGTAGTGTCTAAGACCTTGAGACTGCTTCTTCTGCCGAAAAGGTGTGTGGGGTCTGGGCAGCATGTCTCAGGAAACCCTCGAGGAACCGACCCAGTCTGGCCTGGATGCAGGCTTGTCCACCTGGCTTTAGGGGCACTTCCTGTCGGGAGAGTCAGGTCAGTCTGGTAGCACTAGATGTAGCTATTTCTATAGTGAGTGCAGCTGATTGGCGTTTGGAAACGGCTCAGGGCTCAGGGACTTAGAACATTTGTGGCCTTGTTGATGCAGACGATGATCCTCTTGCCGAGCTTCAGGGCCTGCCTCGACAGAAGTTAAAAGGCAGCGAAAAAGCAAAGAGAACTGACAACCTTGAAGCCGGCCTCAGTACGAACTTTGTCTGGGGCATAGGGCCTTCCTGGCAGTAAGCTCCCATCTAGCACCCTGGCCGAGCCGCATGGAAAAACTTCGACTTATCAAGGTAACGTCAGCCGGCATGACAGCCGCATCGACTAGCAGAAGGCATCCATCAGCCTGGAGGGTGAACGCCCAAATCACCAGCCCAACTGCAGACCAACAACCCAGATGACCCCTAGTGATGATGCGCGATAAGTATGTATAAGCATAGCAGGCAAGGCAGGTCTTGTTTTGTCGGGGGGTGCATGTACTATAGTACAATATGCCTTTGTGCAATACAATACTCCTTTTGCACAAGGAGTCTCCAGAACCTGCTGCTGTTGGTTTGGTTGGTTTCTGGTCAGACAATGTTTGCGTAAGTTTGATCTAATTGAGCTTGGGGTCCGCAGATGCACCCGGAGAGCACAAACGACTGGAAAGCACGAAAAACTGCGCGGGCACACACGCCGGTATCCCGATACATCGTCGTTGTTTGGCTTTTATGCGCGCATCTACAGAGCAAACTATTCTACCCGTGGGTAATGAAAGACGGTTGCTGGGACACGCATGTACACACTAACTAACTCATTCTTTATGAGCGGCTTGTAGATAGAGTTTGCTCCCACAGCGACCGCGACACTTCGTAAAAACGTTAGGGGGCAGTGTTACGTGTTAAGTCTGACCTGCTATGAATCTAGGGGGCTGGGAGGGCTGCATCGCTTCAGAGGGTGCCCGAAACACCCTCAACTCACTTGCGATGCGAAACTTATTTCAACCCCTTGAAGGGGTTCCTCACGTGTAGATCATCATGCTTGCATGAAAGTCAAGAGTAGCAGTGAACAGCTGAACTCCCATAAGTGGATGGATCTGAAGAAAGAAGAGGATCATCATTTACGGGTCGATTGGGGGCCCGAAACCCTGAGGGCCCAAGTACATGAAGTAAGGTATATATTTCTTGTACCCACAAGAGGACACCTTGTATATACACTCACCAATTGTAAAAAGAAACACTATATTATACACACGCACAAAAAACAGGAATATAAACCCTGCTTCCCATGAGGCCCGGACCATGTTCAGGATGCGCTCGACCTCTCCGCCGAAGTCGGCGTGGCCCGGCGTGTCCACGATGTTAATCTGCGTAAGGGAAGTTGTGCAAGGGTTTAGGGTTTAGGGTTTAGGGTTTAGGGTTTAGGGGTTTGGGGTTTGGGGTTTTGGGTTTTGGGTTTTGGGAGCGAGATTTCAGGATGAAACTGCCGTCGATTGTGCCTTGATGCCTTTGTAGTTCACTGCGGCATTCTTTGCTAAGATGGTGATGCCTCGTTCCTGCAAACGGCGTGGGCCATGAAGGGGAGAAATGGGTTTCGTCGATGCCCTCCAACCTGCTCGAGCTGGTCGCTGTCCATAGACTTGACCTTCTCCATTCCACACCTGACGAGCCCCAAGTACCCAAGTACCCAAGTTGCTTCGATAATTTTGCACACTGAAAAGTCATCTTCCATTCAGCTCCACGTCCCCTGAGTGCAAGCAGGCATCTGCTTCATGAGCGCGTTGGTCAGCGTGGTCCTCGGACGAAAGCGCGCGGACTTTCCGTTGATGCGACATTCGCCCGAGCGCCCAGCTTGCCATGATCGACGTGGGCGATGATCGCAATGTTTCGGATATCCTCAAAAGCAGAGGAATAGCAAGCATGAGAGATAGAACAGGACTTAGAAGCAAGTTTCTGTCATGCACCAGTTGGGATGATGAACTTCTCGACTCGCCTCACGCTCCATGACGTCCGGCTTGTCCAAGGTTGCCACGCGCAGCGGAGCAGGCAGCCTCGCGAGGGCACCAGACATCTACAGGAAGGGCTCGGAAGGCTTCGGAAGGCACTCTTTCAGGGTCTTGGTTCAGGGTTTCTGCAGTTCTTGCAGTGGGTGTTCTGGCTTCTCTGTGTGGGTTCTGGAGATTCGGGGGAGAACTTCAGGCTCTTCGGATTCCGGCTGCAGCTCCGGCCTTTGGCGCTGCGCCCGCCGCAGGGAGCGCCGGCGGAGTGCCGCAACTGATCGCCAAAAAAGTTTCGCGGTTCTCAAAAACTTCCGGGTGCGACGAGGAGGAGGCCTCCGGCAGCGATGGCAGAGGACGCGGACATGGCCCAGGCCTCAGAGCAGCAAATCGTGTTTTTAGCAAAGAGGCAGACTTAGGAGCAACTGGAAAAGCCCCCGGCCGCATTGGAGGACCCATCCCCAGCTCTCCTAATCAGAAGGTGCCAGCTGCGTTGACGTGCTAAAGTGTACCGGCTGACATAGGTTTGCAGGGTCCCGTGTTGCAGATTTCTGCCGAGGATTTGCTGAGAACGTGGTTCCGTGGTTCTACACCACGGCACTGTTGAGTGAACCATGACCGATGCCCTCCCACTGGCCTTTCGGAGAGTGGAGCATAGCTTCGGCTGACAGATGGTACGGCAGGCGTCACCTATGGCGCTTGACGCTTGAGCTTGTGAAGTTTGCAGGTTGAGGGTTTGGGGCTAGGGCCGTTTAGGGATTCGGCGGGGGTGTGGACTCAAGGATTCCTCTCGGAAGCCGAATTAGCAAGCCTCTAGGAACAGCATGTCCTACAGCGCGCCAGGCCTCCAGCACGCCGGGGGCCAAGAATGCCATGGGCTGCGAGACGCCCGACATCGTCCCTGCAGGAATACGACAGGAAGCATGACACCCGCTCACGAGGCGCTAGGGCCCTACGTAAGCAAAGCTACCCCCCGAGGTTGCAGCCCTGCACTCCAAGCATTCCACTAAGCATTGCACCATGCACCACAAGAACAAAATCCCGCCTCAGGTGGACAGTGCCTTGAAGTACTGTCAAAATTCTGAGTATGAGCCGAAAACCACAGAGAAGTGAGAGCTCTTGCTGTGGGCGTTCGTCGGTAGCCACCGGCTTGCAGCGCAACTGCCGGTCCGTCCTGTTGCCGCCCAGTACCCCTTCGCACGCGGTGTCACGAAGCATTTTTCATAGAGCCATCGCGTCTGCAATGTTGATTCATTGCCTGGGTGCTGTTGTCGACAAACACTCGGCATAAGCTGATGTGATGACCCCGCTCTCTCTCTCACACACATATATATATATATATATGTATATGTATAGGTGCATATATGCATATATATATATATACATATATGTACACATTTGTTCAAACTTCAGAGCTTGAATGGCGTGAAACCCCGCACGACATCAAGCTGGCGGTCGGACGGAGGCCAGCTGGGCGGTGCCTGGCCGGAGAGGGAGGGTCAGCATCCGAGGACAGCTGGCACTCTGATAAGGTAATTCACTAGATATTATATTATGAATTATTATCTTAGATTATCTTATATTATCTTATCTTATCTTATCTTATATTGTATTGTATTATATATATATATATATATTATATTATATTTTGTTATATTATATTATATTATATTCTATTCTATTCTATTCTATTCTATTATATTATATTATATTATTTTATTTTCGCTTATATTATATTATACATATATATATATATATCCATTTTTATGATAAAAAGATAATAATAATCATAATAGTAATAACAAGAAGAATAATAATAATGATAATAGAGTAAGAGACACTCAGAATCGAAGTCGCACAGGCGCCCCAGCCTTCGCAGGTAGAGCGCCAGGCTGCACCTCTGCACGAAATCACTGGTGCGTGCTGATGTGTCTGAATCGCCCTGCCTGGAGAGTACCTCCATACCTTGGGTGCGCGCTGCGAGAAACAACCAGGAGCGATCATGAACAGGGCTGAGCTCAAGGCACAGGTACTGTCAGGGCCTGAGGATGAAGGCTCAAGCTCAGGGGAGCGACGCAAAGCCGAATCCCTCGAACTCCTAAAGCCCACGTCCCCCCTTCGGCCTGCGAAGGTTTTGGTGACCCACCCATGACCTCAGTAGCACTCAGTGGCACGGGCAAGGTAAGGTGAATCTTGGACTCTTTCTTTTGCCAGATGGACGTGACATACAGGCCAGAGCACGCATGCATGCATTTCCGAGCGATGAAGTGGAGTTTCATGACGTATTCTCTTTTGAGATCTTGCTTCCGGCCGCCGACAATTTCGTTGAAATCTTGCGAAACACATGCCCGGACTCGTCATGACGCTCAAGAAAATGGGATGTCAAATCGAAAGCTCAAGAAAAGACGTCGACGCCGAAGGATCGTTCCCGGAAAGGCCCCGATCTCTTAGACAACGAGAGCCGCACCGTCCCGTGTGAAGGGCTCTGGCACCTGACAGGGGACTTAGGGTTTAGGGTTTTTAGAGTTTAGGGTTCAGGGTACAGGGTACAGGGTACATTTTTAGTAGGGAACCACAAGCCCTCAAGGCGTTGATGGAGGGCGTCTCCGACCGAACGGCAATCTCGGGCTCTGACATCGACTGCTCCCGCGGAAAGCTTGGACATCCTGAACTCGATCAAAGGAAGTTGGGGGGGGCACTGCCATTCAGCTCCAGCATATTCAACCAGCCCTTAACCACATGCACATGCGTTTGCATATATGTGTATATATATATATATATGCGTGTATATCTATCTATATATATATATATGTGTGTAGGTATACATATATATCTATATGTATACATATATATATATATATGTATACGCATATATATATATATATATATGTATATACATATATATACATACATAACTCAACATAACTTAATATAACTTAACATAACTTAACATAACTTAACTTAACATAACTTAACATAACTTAACATATCTTAACATACCTTAACATAACTTAACATAACTTAACATAACTTAACATAACTTAACATAACTTAACATAACCATCCCCATGTGGTTTGGGCTGGGAGGATTTGGGGGGCCATGCAGGCCCAGGACAGCTCGATTGGCTCGTCTGCGACGATGGTCCGCATTCGTTTAAACCACTCGTCCACCTTCACCTTTGTGTACGTTTGTATCTTCTCGCTATCCTGGTCTTTTACTTCCCACTTCCCACTTCCCACTTCCCACTTCCCACTTCCCACTTGTTCTTGATCTCCTGCTTTCGTGTCGGCCTTCTGTGCATCGAGCCTTGCCATGAGCGCTCTGATTCGCGGGCCTCCAAAGCTGAGGTTGGTTCTGGATGGCGGGGCCTCATAGTGTCATAGCATGTGCGTCTAGCCATCAAGAGCTGCACTAAGTCACGCCCTTGAGGATTTTAGGGCCTACGCAGGACAGGCTTCATGCATAATTGAGGTTTCAAACGGAAGGAACTCAGATGCAATGAAAAACGCCAAGATGCCACCCGGATGGCCATGCTGCCCCCTTGCGCAGCCTGGGGTTCGGCATTCTGACCCAATCCTAGAGAGGTTGTGGGACGGTGGGTTGTTGGGGATTAAGGGCATTACAGGCTTGATCCGGACCCCAATCCCCCTCAGCTCGGAAGAATAGTTGCTAGATGAGGCACAGCTGAGTGGGTCACATGGACTGGCCAGGCCACTCGCATGCTCCCACCGCTGGGGACCTTGTGGTCTCGCTTCTCACTGAGGACAGGCTTTACTGGACTCGAGGAACATCTCTCATGATGGGCAAGCATGTGCAGCCAATGGCCCTACAGCCCCATGTTGCTGTAATCGATGAGCAAATGCAGCAGCGAGCTCCCCAATTCAGGCCTGCAGTGCCTTGAAAGGCCTCAGCACGCGGGCTGTCGCTGAACCGAATCCGAAACCACGAAACCATCCTCGTTGCAGCTGAGGCCACTGAAATGTGGGCTCTCTTGGCAAGCCATTGCTTTGGGCTCCCAAAGGGACGTGCCCCTTTTCCTCCTGGCAGCTGTTGGTGCAGGGTGTCGAAAGCTGAGGGTACCTGGAGACCATGGCCTGGGCTCTCCACGCCTGCACCAGCAGCTCTGCCTGACGTCGCGGCTCAACAATCGGAAGGAGCAGAATTGCTGTCGAGTGTAGAAGGACAGTGTAGATAGTGTAGTGGAATGACTCTCACGGTTTGTGGTGGATGTGGCCTGTTGGTCCAGCTCGACGAGCTGGCGTTGGGCAGCTTCTCGGAGCTGTTGAAGCTGGCCCTGGTGCCTACTGGACATCGCTGCTTCCCTCCATATTGCTCCAGTCATGAAAAAAATTACCCTGCTCTGGGTGCCCCGCTGCCTGTCAAGCAGGGACTCTTGCTCCTTCACCTGTAACAAAGAGGGCAACAAGAGAGCAGGCAGGGCACATGCCCTCCATTCGTGGCTCTCCATTCGTGACTCCATTCCAGTGCGTGCTCCACAGTGCTCTGTCCGCAAAGACCGCGGAGCAACCGAGAGCGAACGGAGCTGGGGCCCGAACCATGTTCTCCAGTGCCAGGGCGAGCCTCTGTCCGGCCATAGAAACCACTCACTGCTCTCGCATCGAAGAACCCGAGATCCAGTCTGACTCCTTTGCTGGGTTGCTTTGGTGTGGAGCTCATCCTGGCGCACGCGAGTAACCGAACTAGCAACCCATAACTTGAACATGCCCCGACACCGGTTGCCATAACCGGCAAAGGGGACCGTCTTCCGCCGATGCTCTTCCGCTAGCTCCGCGACGCCCTCGCGCAAGCCGCGCTCCAAGGTGGCAATGTGAGCCTCCTGCGGGGCTCTGTGGCTTAAGGCTTTGGAGGTTCAAGGGTTTAGGGTCTGTGTGTCAGAAAGGCGTGCTTTTTGTCGCAGTTACTGAGTTGTAAGCAACGCCGCGGAGACTAAACATCAGAGAATCACTAACCCCGAAGCCCGAGGCCTTCGCAACCCCACAGCATTCCTACAGAAGCTCGAGACCCAACCCATTGAATGCAAGTCCTTCTGCGCCTGGACTGAGTCGGGCGTTGGGAGGCCTGCCGTGAGGCAGGGCACCTGCAGGACAAGCGCAAGTGCTGCTTCTGGGGTGGCTGCTCTGTTGTGGGTGCGGGACGCCGGCTACGGGAGTGGCTGTTCCGGGCTACGGGATCGCTTTAGGGCTTGGCTTTAGGGTAGCAGGGTTTCCGGGTTTCAGGGTTTAGGATTGCAGGGCGCGATTGGCCTTTGTGGCCGCTGAGGCGACTCTTACCGGCTGCGCAAGTTTGAGGTCCGCGCGCGAGAATTCAAGAAAAGCACCCGCAACCAGAATAACTAACCAAACAACAGGAAGAAGATGACGATGAAAAACAAGAAGCACGATGTCCACCCACAGGCAATGGCTCATGTGGTGGCAACTGCATCTACAGCTGCTGTGTTACTGCATTAACCTGCATTATCTGGAGGTATTTGCCCGCACGTGCGGCACGTCCGACTCTCTGACTTGAGGCCTGCAAGGTGATGGGAGACGGCAAGAAACCACAGTAAACTGCAAAACGCATCCCAAAGGATCCCACCGAAGGTCCGAACAAGTGCTCGATTTCTGTCTGTGCGAAACGCCTCATCCTCGGCCGTAGTTGCAGTGGTGCCAGCCTCTGGGTCGACATGTACCGGGATAGATCCTTAAAGTCGAGCTAAGGGCTTTTCGGCTCGAAAGGACCTGATTCTTCCGCCCCTGGAAAAAAAAACAGGAAAAGGTGGCCTGCAGCATCTTTGTCTGAGCCAAGGCATCCAAGCGCTGGCAGATATACTACCACATACTACCACATACCCTCTCATATCTCCAGGGGTTGCTTCAGCTTGAGTCACTGGTGGTCAGTCGCACATCTCGCGTCTCTTGTCACATGCTTGAGCCAGAATGCCAGAAAACATCAACAGAATGGGCAATGCACAAAGTCCACTGAACCGCAGTGCAGGGCTCAGCAATACAGGGACTGCTTGCCCAAGTGTTTTCGATGTGCTGTTGTGGCTGACGGTTGTTTGTGCCAGGCAAGTCTCTTTGAGAATGCCGAGTCTTCCTGACCGTTGAAGTCTGCATATGCCGACACTCACCATCAAGCAGCGGCTGCAAACCGAGAAAATGGTCAGGGCACCATTAACTGCGAATTCGATCATGAATGTCATGAAAACTGCGCACACAACCCCCCAATCTTTGAGCATGGGTGAGGCTATCCGTGCAACACTTTGGACATGCACTGAGCATGCAGATGTCACAGACTTGAATGCATCAGGCCGAGCGCGACTGCCCAGAGTCCAGCGGATGCAGCAGATGCTCGGCCTTAGATGTGGACAGGTCATGCCGAGTCATGCCTCTTGACTTGGGAATCCTCCCAAAGCCCCTTTAGGGACCTTACAACCTTACAGATCCTTACAGTGCTAGAGCAAGTTACGGCAAGGCGACCTTCAGCTCAACATCCCTGAATTTCTCTGAGCACCTCGAAGAGGGGAACCCAAAAAGAGAGTGGGTAGGTGGTGCACGTGCCAGGGATGTGGATCTGGCAGCCCCGATTTCTAAAGTCCGGAGATTCGCCAGAACCTGTGTCGTTTACGTATGGCCCATATGCGATTGTCAGGGCTCGTTTAGCTGCATCCAGTGCTTTCTTTGGTTTGGAGAATAGTGCATCGTGTTTCTTCGAAGTTCTCCCCTTCATCCTTTAGGGGGTTCAGAGGATGACTTTGAAGGGTCAATGGCATGAATGGGTCTGATGTGTTAAAGGCGTTTTAAGACTCTTGCGATGATTTGGGTCTTTAGCACCACCAAAAACCTCGGAGCGCTTGCATCAAAGGTTCGACCGTCGGCCGTGATCGCCCGCGGCGTTGTCTCAGCAACGGTTTGTGTCAAGTCGCTGTACTCAATCGGTGTGCCATGAGGCATTTCACCAAAACTCGTGTTTATTGCGATGAGCAACTGCGTTGCCGCTGGCGGAATCTGCGCATCAGACACTTGCAGAGAGTATGCAGTTGCAGCACAGCATGCATAGAGCATCTCACTCCGTGGAACATGGCCAAGTGTGGGTCCCACTTGTTGGCCGCACTCGTCCGCGAAGAAGATCCTGTATCCAAAGATGCCATCCACTGGCATTTCTCCGTCGGCGTGTGCTTCACCAAACCGGATCATACCGGCGATGAATCCAGGGCGAGGGTCCGAGTCAAGAAAAGGAGCCGACCGGCAGATTTCACATCGGACTCTGCAAGAACCAGCCATCAGCTCGGCCGGAAGTGAGGCATCCCGGTTTGCTTCTGGACCTCACGCATGCTCGCACGCAGATCTTTGCTTCGACTTTCTGACCGCGCTGGCTACGCGCATATGCTGCATTGCTACAGTAGGTGGCCCAAAGCAGGCCATATCAAGGCAGTTACTGAGGCTCCGGCACGAAAACTGCACTGGTCCACCTGAAACGCACGCGAAGGGAGCACATCGCGCTTCGCATGTGCCTCCTGCAGGTACCCGCTGACAGTCGTCTGGATGACTCAAAAACATCGGAAGCGGCGGCGCGCAGCTGTGTATCGGCATGCAACCGCTGAGCGTGACCTGCATGCCGCACATCTCATCAAAGGAACAAGTAGCCTCGGCGCTGCCTGTCCAATCTTCGGCACATTGCCACCTTCCACCGTCGGCCATGTCGGCCATGTCGGCCATGTCATCGTCCCTGGGCATGGGCACGTAGCCAAGCATTGGAGCTGCTGTTGGGCAAAAGCAGCTCGGAGGACGATCGAACACCAGCGGCGCCGACACGTCGATGTTGTTGGATGGGCAGGTGCCAGTAAATTCCCCACCTACCAAACCATCCTTGCATCCCATCATGCACCACTCACCAGCACCGACATCTGTGCAGTTGCCAATGTCCATGCGGCAATCGTCGACAACTGGAGCCATACAAGGCTTCAGGAGGCTGCAGCCAGTGTAGTGCCAGTACACCTCGCAGCTGGGCGCAGCAGTGATCCTGCATTCTGCCATTGCCTGGCCAACGGCATCCGCTGCACACATGAGGACACCCTTTTCCAGGGTGTAGTTTGCTGGCGGTTCCATGGGAGGGCAGAGCAACTCACAGTCGGGTTCTTCCCAGTCTGAACTTCGATTGGCCTCTGTGTTCGGATCCGGGCAGCGGGCCAGCGAAGTGTTGCCTCTAAAGGGATGCCGGCAGCGAATCTCGCACTCCTCCCCGGGTTGGAGCGACTCTCGGCAGTCTGTCGCGAACTGGCACACCTCCAGAGTTGTCAAGAAGAGTGCGAGACTTAAGCGCACTTTGGGGCTGACATATGCTCTCATATGCTCACATATGCTCACATATGCTGTGACTGCACTGACTACACTGTGACCTGAACTTTCTTGCGGGGAAGGAGCCTCCAGGCGAGGAGCAAGGCATGGGGCATTCAGAGCGCAGCCTGCCAGCTGCAGCCGAGGTTCCCGGCACTCAGCGTTCAGCACACAGGTGCCCAGTGGCGCTCCAGCGAAGCCCTCATCGCAGCTCCAGCCACTAGGGGTCCGCCTGTATCCCATCGGTAGCGGCTCGGGCATGGGACAGTCCACGTCGCAGCTGGACTCCAAGAACACGAGGGTGAGGCCAGGGATGGTGTTGAACTCAGGGCAGCTGGCCACGAAATCTGCACCATAGTATGGGGCTTTGCACCTTACCTGGCAGGAGGCTCCCGGAAGGATTTCACCAACGCAGTCTGTGAAATTGAACCTGCAACTGTCATAGCTGCCTTCCCTTGGAGTCACGCATGGCTCCTCGCGCTTGCAGCCAGACAGACTGAGCTGAGGCTGGCAGTTCTCATCCACATCGCACTCGACAACTGGCTTGCCCTCATAGCCATCTGCGCATTCCCATCCACAGCTCCCCACCCGCTTAAAGCCTGCAGGAATGGGGTCGGGATCGGGACAGCGCAAGCGACACAAAGGCTCAGCCCAGGTAAGCTCAGTGATCGGTTCCGTGTTGTCCGGTCGGCAGAAAGCCTTTCCGGGCACACCGAAAAATGGCTCAGCACATTGGATCTCACAGAAGCCACCGGAAGGTGTGTCCTCACAGTCCGTGAAGTTGTAGCGGCAGGCATCCTTTGCGGAGAGTCTCGGAGTAGAGCAAGACTGCAACGGCACGCAACCCGACAATTGCAGGGTTCCTCCACACTCGTCGGATTGCTTGCACTCGGTGGACGTGGCTCCGCGGAAGCCCCGCGCACACCGCCACACTCCAACATCGTATCCCTTCGGCAGAGGGTTCTCAAGAGCCCACTCTTCAGGAGTCGCACAAGTGTATGCGCCGCACTCCAACTCCAGAGCCGGTGTGTAGTGTGGATCAGTGTTATCGCCGGGGCACAGGGCCGTGGTTGCGTTCTCGCCGTACCCGGCTCGGCAAGTGACGTTACATACTTCGCCAGGTGGAATAGGGCCTTCACATTCGCTGAAGTCGACCTTGCACAAGTTGTGGTACTCCACCTGTGGCTTGTCACAAGAAGTCAGCGGATAGCAGCCTGACAAGACCACCGTCGGCTGGCAGGTTGTCGTGTCAACATCACATCTGTAGACAGCAGCTCCAAAGAACCCCGCTGCACAGCCATATTCATTGGGTCCTAGATAAACATAGCCCGTGGGAAGTGGGTCTGGTATGGGACAGTAGCAGATGGGAGCTGCCCAGTTCGGCTCCCTGGTTACGTCGATGTTGGTTGCTGGGCATGCAGCGAAGATGCGATCGCCCACGTACGGGAACTTGCAGTAAATAGTGCAGGTCTCGCCCGGATTGACCGACAAGCAGTTGCCGTTCACCAGGTCCAGCGTACACGCTTCCACTGCAGATACGGCTGGAGCCGTACAAGGAACAAAGGGCAGGCAGCCGAACAGCCGCGGGAACACGACACAAGAGTCTTGATCAACAACGCATTCGAACCATATAGCTCCTGGGCCATCATAGCCGTCAGCACAAGTCCACTCACCCAGCACTTTGCGATAGCCCGCCTGCGATGACGGCTCCGCACAACCCAGAATGCAGCGAGGTGGGGTCCAGATCGCACCTAAGGGATCAATATTCGGATCCCTACACTCGATCAGACCATCGGCCTCTCCGAGAGGAGTCATGTATGGAGGTTGACATTTCACGGTACAAGATGTGCCTGAGATAAGCTTGCCATCGGCAGGGCAGTTCGAAACATCGTGCTGGCAGCGGTCATACGCTGGCAGATCGCAAGGCGTCGTTGGAAAACAGCCAGATAAGACAAGCTCAGGCGTACAAGATGATGCGTTTACCGTGCACTCTGCATTTGCCATTCCACTGAACTGATTGGCACTGTCGCAGGACCATCCGCCATCAGCATCTAGCAAGTAGCCCTCAGGAAGAGGATGCGGGATATCGCATTCGACCTCACAGTCGAGCGCCCATTCTTCCATCTCCGTGCCCCATGCCGGCTGCTGGTTGGGTGTGGTGGTGCCTGAAGGACAGTAAGCCCATGTAGCATTCTCTCCCTGGCCCCCTGTATAGGGCTCAGCGCAGGTCACGTTGCATCCCTGGCCGGGCTGCAAAGATGTGCATTGTGAAGCATTGGTTCTGCAGGTGTCATTGACCATCAGCGGGGCACACTGTACAGTTTGTGTGCAGCCACTGACCTGTAATGTGGATCTGCATCTGCCGAGCTCAGTGCCAACAGGTTCACAACCCCATTGCACGTTTCCAATGTAGCCCTCGCCGCAAACCCAGCCGCAGGGTGTCTCCACGTAGCCTGGCGGAAAATCCATCTCACAGGGGTTTAGGCGACATAGAGGCTCGACGTACAAAAGCTCTGCATCTGGGTCTGTATTGTCAGAAGGGCAGTATGCCACTGTCGATGTGCCAGAATAGTCCGTGCCACAGCGAATGGTACAGTTGTGCCCTGGCAGAACGGACTGGCAGTCCGAGAAGTCGAACTGACAAAACCGGTCCTGAGCAGTTACAGACTCCGACCGAGCACCTCGACCTTGGCCGATGCGAGGTGCGACGCACGGAACCAAAGGCCTGCAACCTGAGAAGGAGTAGGTGCTCCGGCATGCGTCCTCCCAGTCTGCAGCGCATCTCGACCTCGGGTCTCCGCTGTAGTTCGTCGCGCACATGAAGAGTGTCTTTTCGTAGCCGACGGGGGCTTGCGGATCCTGGCAGTCGAGCTGGCAACCCGGGAAGGTCCACTCCAGTAACGTCGTCGGGTCCGTATTTCCCTCAGGGCACGTGGCCTCCGTGATGTTCCCCGAGAAGCTTGGGCCGCAGGAGACGAGGCAGGTCTCACCAGCAAAAACATTCAGACACTTGGACCAGTCCACGGAACACGGAGCATCTTGGGGCACACTGCAAGCGGCTTGGGGAATGCAACCCTCCAACTCATAGGCAGCTTCACAACCACTGTCTGAGATGCGACAACGTGCGGTTGGTGTGCCTTCCCAGCGTGCTGCACATGCGAAAGTGGGCTTTCCGTTACCATCCACACCAGTCACGACGTAGCCATCCCGAACAGGATCTGGAACTGGACATTCTAAGTTGCAGTCTGGGGCAGCCCAGATCAGGTGCCTCCCGTTCAAGGTATTGTTTGCGGGGCAAACTGCCTGAGCCACCCCTCCTACATAGGGTGGCCTACACGTCACTTCACAGGAGTCGCCCGACCGCACTGATATGCATGTATGCTGAAAGGCACACGACTCGCCCGCGGACAGATTGGGCTGAACACAAGGGATCAAGGCATTGCATCCCGAGAACTTGAGCTGAGGATTGCAGTTCACGTCTGTGCCACAGCTCACCACTGGAAACCCAGCATACCCATCAACACAGCGCCAGCCGCCATACTCACGCCTGTAAGGATGAGACAGGTATCCCACCTGGACGTTCGCCACCTCACCACAGTTAATGTTGCAGTCAGGACGTTCCCAATCCAGCTGTCGTATCGGATTCGTGTTTCCAGACGGGCAACTTGCACTGGTTGAGTTGCCTTCATAGGGCCTTTTGCAATGGACCTGGCAGGAACTGCCGGGTGAAGCTGTTTCTCCGATGCACGCTGTGAAATCGTACATGCAAGCATCTTCACCTTCTGGCAAGATACAGCGCGCCAGCAGTGAGCAACCCGAAAGAACTTTCTTTGAAGCACAGACCGAATCAATGACACATTCCCAAGTTGCTGTGCCACCATATCCAGGTGCACAGGCCCATCCAACTTCTGTGGGCACTTTGATGTATCCCTCTGGCTCATTAGGTGGGTCGTCGCAAGTCAGCGTGCACTGTGGCTCCACCACTAGAAGGCCAACGTCAGGGTTCGTGTTGTCTGGATGACAGACCGCCACGCTGGACCAGCCTGTGTACGGAAAGCGACAAGTGACCGCACAAGCTCCGCCCGGCTGCACATCGGCACACTTCGTAACATCCAACACACATCCGATCAGCTCATTTGGAGGAGCACAGGCCGTTGTCTCCTGACAGCCGAAGAACTCCAACGTGTTCTGGCAGGTCTCGTCGGGAACGCACCGGGCGATTGCCGTTCCAGCAAATCCTGGAGCACACTTCCACTGTCCGTTCAGCTTCTCATACGCCGCTGGGATCTCAGGAGGCTCTGGGCAATCACTTGCAAAGACATCGCAATCGGGCAGGGTCCACTCCTCAGTGCTCAGTCTAAGTCTAGGATCCGACTCTGCACATCTTTGCACATCTCATGCCACCGTCTCACACTAAGAGCTTCACATCTCTCATGCCTGTCATTGCTGAGCTCTCGTCTGCTTGAGACGCGGGGTTCGTATTGCCAGGCGGACAAGATGCCAGCGATGCCTCTCCGACAACAACAATGCAGTTCAGTGGATGTAATACTGTCAAGCACAAGCCGATGCGCTGGCGCAAGCCTGTCCGAAGAAGGGCTCCCGGCATGAAACTTGGCAGGAGGTCCCGGCGGGAACCTGCATAGGCTGCAAAGGCCAAGGCAACATCGGCAAGCAAAGCAGGATTTCGGTGTTGGGCAAAGTGCAGTTGCGGAGCTTCATCACCGCAGGCGGAGGCGTCGAACCTTTCGAGAGGAAACTCGGCAAAAGCCTATGTGCGGATTTCAGGTTTCGAGGGACGCCGCGAAAGTGACACGCGAATCGGCCCTCGGTCCGACTCGGAGGCTCCCACAAGCACGCAAGTCCACACTCTGCTGGTCTACTCGTCGGTGTATCGCTCCAAGAAAACGGGGAGAAGTCTTCGAAATCCACCCGAAGTCTGAGCTTATCTGAACAACTGGCACCGTCAACTGGCCTGCAAAGATCGGCCAGGGAGAGGTCCATCAGTTGGCACGCGACCCCACAAGTCATGGCTGGGCCTGTCCAAACAACCAACACGATACAAGGCACCGTAAAGGTCTAGGCAAGAGGCAAGTGACCACCCCAAGAGGTCATGCCAAGGGAAAAAAAGCTATGACGCTCAGAATGCATGCCAACGCAGCCTATATCCTCCTTCTCCACCGGAAAGGCAGGACAGTTCTGTGCCAGAACAGACCTGTCATTGCTAAACATTTCTCCCAGCCAACTGCTGTCATTCCACTGCGATGTATCTATTTCTTGATCTTAAAACTTCTGTGCTTATACCAACATCCTAGCCTCTCGGCCCTCAGGGTGAATTAAGCATTCTGAAATCTCTCCTCAAAGCCTAGGGCTCCCATGAAGCAGCTTGCACGCCTTGCCAGCCAGACCAACAGCACCCAGAGTGCCGACATGATGCCTCGGGGGTCTTTCTCGAACCCGAAACTTGGAAGTTCCAGGGCCCGATTCTGCACCGTGCTTGTTGCTTTCGGGTCTTTCGGAAAGTTGCCTGCCGTGAGCTCGTCTCAACTGCGCTCAGTGTGCTTTACGGTTTGGATTTGCATCCTCTAGCGCGCTACAAGTAGAACATCCAACTAGCTCTGGGTATCCATGGGTCAGATGACATCCTGCCGAGCCACGGGGCAACTACCGAGCTGCCGCGTACGTCGTGGGCTTCAAGGACAGATCGCAGCCAGCGACATGCACCTGAAAGGCGCTACAGCTTTACACTTTAAAGGAGCTCCGAAAGCGTTGCAAACTCGGCCTTCTGGTGAAAGTTGGCGACCTCAGACTGGTTGGGGTTTTTTTTGGGTTTACCCTTGCAACCCTTGCAACGATTGAAGCCCTTGAGACCCTCAACCATAAGCCCGGAGAAAGGGGAGATAGAGGGACAGGAGGAGAGAAGAACTTGTCAAGAACAGGCGGGCCAGTAGCCGGAGACCAAATCATTTATTCTCCTCGAGATCGGAATCCGCCCAAAGGGTACCCAAATTTGCAAAACCCCGATGCTCATGACTCATGAGCATCTATGAGCTCACTGATATCCCTGTCCAACCAGATTTTCCAGCAGGGGGAAGGGAGGGCTTGGAGAGACTGGCCTAGACTTCCCCCAAACTGCATTAGTATTATTATTATTACTACTACTACTACTACTACTACTACTATTCTTACTACTATTATTAGTATCATGATTTGTCGTCTTATTGCTACTATTATTATTATTCTTAGTGCAGGAATCAATCTGCCAGGTGAAGGACGTCCAGGAGGCTCGGCGGCACCGCTTTGTGCCAGCGTCCCATACCTTCCTAATCCCTCCTGCACTGTTCGTGCGTGTGCGCATCCTCTACGCCTCTATGGTCTATGTGGGGATGACGCCTCAGCTGAGCAATTGCTGGCTCTAGGTCGAAGGCTTTTTGAAGAGTGTGTCTCTGGCAACACGAGACCTGTGTCTGTCTACGAATGATACAAGCTTCCTGCGGCAAGGTGGATGCACTGACTGCACTTGCTGGGCGCCGGTGGCTTGCTGCCAACCCCAAACCAAGGTTCAAGGCTCTTGTGCTCTGCGTCCTTCTTTTGCTTTGCATACGGGGCAAGGTCGCGGTCTTCCCTGTGGTGACACTTGCGTGTCCATGTTTCCCAAGGCCTGAGCCTAACCGAACCAATTACCTCACAGCACTTCTGATCTAAGGACGTCCCTTCGAACATCACAGAGCTTTCGCCACGGGAAACGAAATTTGCTTGGCTTGGTTTGTGTCAACAAGCCGCTGCCAGAAATCATTGACTTCATCCGGTATCAAGCAACAATGCGCTCTCCTTTCCTGTGCACTTCACACGTTTGAACACGTTAAAAGAACCGTGTCGCTTGGTGCACCTTAATGCGACACATTGGCAGTCAGATCGTGGTGATGCTGGCCCTAATAAACTTATCGTTGTTGTTTTCATGCTGCTATCGCTAGTGCGTGCAATCTTCACCAGTTCGGACCTGGCCTGGCCGTCCCAGTATCGACTTGCGCCAGTCTCTCACATGGGACGTCGGTAAAATGCCCGAGCCCGTGAAGGCCGCTGCTCAGAAGAGGGAGTGAGGGCACCTCTGGTAGCAAAGCTAAAGAACTTGGCACACCCAGTGCCCCATGGTATCCCATGGTGCCGTCTATCCACTTCAGGGGCCGGGACCTTCACGCACCTGATTTCAGCTTCAGCTTCCTTACACGCGGACAGAACTGCTTAGCTCAAGGCCCTATGGACAAAAAGCATCTCTGTCAGGAGAGTAAACTGCGCTGATATGCAGAGACGTTTACATCGGACAAATCTGACAACTTGACCGCCAGCTGATGCTGCATGCGTCCGCAAGCAGGAAAAATCGGCCAGGGTTTAGCTGAGGTTCTGCATGATCGTTTCCAAGAAGGCATCATCATCAGCCATCGCATGAAGTGCTGAGCGCACCCCCTCTTTCGTAACCAGCACGCCATCCTGACATGGCTGGGCTGCACAAGCTAGTGCCAAGCACGTGGAACTGAATCTGAAATCTGAGCTGGGCACAGCGGACCTAAGCCAGTGACACGCCGTGCAGTGTCTTTCTGCTTCACAGATGTGCTTTGCAGGCTTCTCCTGCTTCCCATGAGCGCCGCGCTGTGTGTCACCATTCGCTGCAGATTCACCGAGTCGTGGTGGCTGGGCCGCTACCTGGATTGCCGCCAGAAGCTGGTCCAGGAACAGACTCGGTCACTCTAGGCCTGAAAACCCGCAAATTCCTGCCGCCATATGTGTCGCATGCAACACCGGCCTGCTTCGTCGGAGGTTGGACATCCATACCCTTGTTCCGAATCTCTTCCTTGTCAAGCAGATGGCGGACTGAGAATCTCGGACTTAGGGGCCAAACCAGTCGAGAGGGGTCCCATGAAGCGGAAAGCACAAAAGACGGCGAATGCTTCAGCAGCTGAATCTTGGATATACTCTGCAAAGTCTCCATCGTCTGCTCCAGCATGTTCTCGATCTTTACGCGCTCCGCATCGTTGTGGAACCAAAGTCCACGAATCTGCTTCGACCTCACCGAAACCATGAGGCTCGAGTGCGCAAGGGCCCTTCCCTGGTCTGCAACGCGCATCTTTGTCCCTTGCGGATCTTCAATCTTGTAGAAGATGTAGTTCTTTTGACCTCCGCGCAAATTGACGCAGAGCATTGCAGCAAACACAAGCGAGCAGACGTTGTCGATGCCAGCAACTGAGCTGCCAACAATCCAATTCCCACTCTGGGTGCCTTGTGAGGTATCATATTGGGGGGGTGAGGATTTTGCCTGTGCCCGCTACTTGCGGATCAGAGAGGGTTGATGCGCCGTTTAGTTTAGATGCCTCTGCCCCCCAAGCATCAAGATGAGCACTTGACGCCATGGAGTTGCAATGACCCCCAGAAGTGGCATATGAGAACAAAAAAACATATTTCGACATACTGAAGTCCCGGGGCCGGGGCCGAGGGGAGAGGGGGGGGGGGGGGGGCTTCCCAAAATAGTGGAACCCATTCTGGGTTCCCATAACCTGGAGTATAGTACTTGGGGTCTGTTAGGGGCGCCCCTCGTTTGCGACACACCATTTTGTCGAAGGCTGCCAGAAATTGCTCTCTCTCATCCTGCAACCAAGGGTCAGGTTGTCAATGAGGTCGCTGGTGCTGAACTGATTTTTGACTATAATCTGATACCTGCAAGAAGGTCCCGTAGGTCTGCAAGAAAAACCAGCGCAGAGCGCATGGATGCAGCAATCATGGCTGCAGCTGAGGGCACAAAGGCACGGTTTTCCGACGAACGAGGTACACTGGTCCTTCAAGGACGAACTCACTGCAGTTGCATCCAGATAGGCTAGCACACTGTCCTTCAATGTTGGCCTTTCGCCATCCAGGGCTTTGCCCATCTTGCTGCAGGAAGTAGGCAACCTAGGTGCTCAGTGAGCTTCTCGATGTCAGAAGTGAGGGATGCGCTGGAGGGCACAGCACGACCACCGAGCCCTGCAAAACTCAGCGGCCGGCCACAAACTTTGAGTAAGTCACGATCTGGGAAATATCTGGATCCTGTCAGTTGAATCCAATGCATCCCCTGCACAGTGGTCAAAGAAGCCATCTCTGTGTGGACAGTCCTGCTGCTGGAGGGGCTCCAGCCTCAGTACGAGAAATTTGAGTAAGTAGGGTGCATGAGGTGTGCAAGCCCGCCCGCTGACAATAAGGGGTCCACATCCCACGCAAGCGTTGGTCCACTTCCCGCGCAGCCATGCTCTTGGGGTCCGTTTGGCTATCGTCAGAGCAAACTAGTTCCAGCTTGCTGAGAGCAAGAACATCACGAAGGAGCGCATTCAAACAAACGGCGCAGCCATGTTCCCTTTGGAGCTGACATCACTGCATCTCGTCCTACATCGTCCTCCAAAGTATCGGCTTTGGCACGGGGTTCCCAGCCAGTGCTGTGCCTGCGATTAGGTGTACGAGAACTAACGACTTTAGAAAGAACCGAGTCTTTGCCATGAAGGAATGTGGACTAGAGCGATTAGTACTAATTATCGACGAGCTTCGACTGCCAGCCCTTCGCTCAGCTACAGCGGTCGCTTTAAGCCATTTTGCACTTCGCGCGGTCTTGAGTTTTTGTCTCCAGCCGCGTCGCTAAATCGCGAGTGCCCCATGCGTGCTGCTCACTGCAAGTCAATACAGTGAGCAGGAACCCTGAATGTGAGACACTTCAGCTGCAGCTGCCACTTTCGCACCTCACCCCCACTCTCCGGTAGAGTCCTCACAAGCTGAGCAGTCCCACCCAGGAACCTAGGAACCTAGGAACAAGCACACGCAAGAATGCCGCAAGAACTCGTTTTCTGCCCGCCGCAACGGCTCATTGTCGGGGACAGTCTTAACTGACGGTCGTGTTCAGTTGGCCTGAAGCCCCGAAGTCAGTCGTCTTCCTTGATGTTGCCGTGAGTATCAATCCTTAGAGTTCCATGTTTTCAGCCCGTGACGGTGGAGTTGGGCATGTGCCAATGACAGGAAATCAAGAACTGGGACCCAAATCTGGGCAAAGAGTCGTGACACGCCGCTGCTTATGTGCCAACATGCAGTCGATGTTGCGGACTTGTGCCCAATACTTGGCATACCTTCGCATGATGACGAGAAGACTCCCAGAAAGAAAGAGAGACAGAGGTCTTTTGCAGCATCACCACACTGCACGTGGCCGCAACTGCGGCAGTTGGTCTAGCTGTAAATACGAAGCGCCTTGGGAAAGCACTGTACGCTGGATGAAGCCGGAGCAGGGGGAGCGTTGTTCTGGAAATGTGGGGAGCCTGGGGAAACCTGATTTGGCACCTTGGAACTGACCAATCCAAAGGTTGCAAAGGACGAATTACTACGACGGTGTCCATCACTCTCACGGCAAAGGATGCGCTGCACTTGCAGCACGAACGTTCTCATCCACCTCACTCCACTCCAACCCCCCACCCCACCCGACCGCCCCTCCGCGGCATGTTACGGTGAGGCTCACGGGAGCCGAGTCCTGAAAACCCACAACCCACCCCCCACCCAACAGAAGTTTCCAGCATCGGCTAGCTTCCTGAATCGGGAGAAGCCTGTTTCCTGAGTCGCGCAACCTAGCGCTGCTGTGTCCTGAATCGGGCCGGTTTCGGAACCAGTCGCTGAATCGGTGCAGCTTTGTGTATCCTGCCTTCCTGAATCACAGCCAGCTTTTCAATCCGTCGTGCTCCCTTCTAGCGACATCATGACATCATGTCACATGCCAGAGCTTTGATGCCGCACGGCTGCCGTTCCTTGACCTTCCGCTCGGCATCCTTGAAATCGGCGGTGACCTGCAGGGAGCCGAAAGTGTTTCGCGTGACATTTAAAGGAGAGGCAGTGAACAACAAAGACTCATTCGGCTGGGGTCCCTCTTCTCCTCCCCTATCCCATCCTGAAAAGGCCGCCAACCCCTACAGCCCTAAGACAAACCCGAAAACCCTACACTTACGATGGTAAGACCTCAAATCCTTTTCCCCTAACAGCCCTTAAGCCAAAACTCGTGGCACCTTGGCTGTTTGCCAGTCCAGATGTCTCACAGGCGTGGCATCCAGCAGAGTGCAGGCCTTGGTTTGCACTTAGTGTCGTTTAGGGTTTAGTTTAGGGTTTGGGTTTTAGGGTAGTGTTTTAAGGGTTTTTTTTGCGGCGTGTTGGGGGCTTGCGCGAAAACTATCGGCCCTTCGGCGTGGCTTAGGCTTCAGGGCTTAGGATATGGAGACCCACGACTGCCACACGACCGGGCCTCAACCTGTGCAACAAAGCTATGCCCCTTCTCGACCCCCCCCCCCCACCAAAAGAAAGAGAAGGAAAGCCTTCAAACAATAGACAACAAAGAAAGCCCTTTTGGCATTCTTTCAACGCCCCAGCCATATCTTGCTAACAGCGTAAGGTTGAACAAAACTTTTCACACTCATCTGCACACCATTCCGAAGCACGTATCCATGCTAACACCGCAAGGCCCTGAGATGCTTGTGCTCAGCAATGCGAGAGCGCAACAACGTGAACAGGTGGGGTTCTTGCGACGTGCACTCCTTCGAGAGCTCAGACGCTTGACAGGGCAGAGTGGCACAGATGCAATCCGGAATAGGTCTGGAGGACAAAACAAAGACTTCAACCAATCTCTTGCAGCAGAGAGGCTGAGACCGAAAACTTCTCGGAGGCCATCTCACACCAGACCCTCGGGCAGGCAGGAAGGTGATCCTTTTAAGAAGCAAACAATCCCCCCTCAACCCTCTAAGGCCTCTAAGGCCCCTCTAAGGCCCTTCGGGCCCTTCGGCCTGTCCAGGCCCCACTCTGCGCGGTCATGGATGCAGTCCTTGGATTTGGGACTTAACGGCTTGGACGGGCTTAGGGTTTCGGATCGCTCGTCTACTATCACCTACTTGCTCGCTCGAGCCCCCTTACCAGAAGAGCTGGCTGGAAGGTTTGGGGTTCCGGGTTTAGGGCTCGTCGAGTTTTGGGGTCTTGGCTTAGGGTTCAGAGAAGTCTATCCGCAACATGACACTCTGCTGCAAGCGAGGTGCAACACAGTCTTTCCTCAGAACAGTTTCGTGGCACATGCCGATCTCAGATTGAGTGAGGAGCAGTGAGGAACAGAATGCCAAGTAGCAAGATCAAAGAGAGAACCATTGAAGACAGCCTGCGATCAGCATGCAACATCTGTGCCAAGACGCAGGCTACTGGATCACAAATTAACTTGTTCCTTCAGAGAGAAAAATCATACCATCTCCAATCTCAGGCACAGCGGTGCAGTCATCTCAACGAAGTCGGTGTGGCGCATCATGCAGCCTCAGATCCGTGTGAAACTAAAGGCTTGGCGGATCAAAACCAATCCTAAACCTGCAACCTTGAATGATCAGAAGCCAAGCCACGGGGATCTGGCTTGCCTGCAAAGCAGCTATGCTGCCAAGAACGCTGCACCGGCTGCTCACTGCTCAGAGATGTTAGCCCTAAGGATGGCCTCTACACCAGCCTAGATCAAACTCACAAGTCCCGAAAAAGCTCGGACCTCAAACCACAAGCCGCTACTGCGAAGGCAAGTCCCACTGTCCCAACACAAACAACCTCTATTCGAATCCCGGTCTCCCAATAAGTTGATCTTCTGCCGGTCCACGAGATTGTCGGATCTGAGCAAGGCCTGGATTTGTGTTCAGGGAAAGAACGAAAGCTTTAACTGTTTAAGCGCTTTGGGTGATGAGCCATGGCCATTTGGGGCTGTGTTTCGGGCCGGCCTTCCGTGACTCGAGACTATGGTCTTCCATCAGGTCCGTTGCATACGTCTTCCACGCCTCGGACAGACACTGGACCTATAAAACGCAGGAAAAGACTGATACTGGAACACTACAATAATGTCTAAGAAAGGAATAATATACTAAAGTCAGAATGTGTGTCATCATATAATCGAAATCACAAAAGAACAGCATAGCAATACATGAATGCAACAACCAAAAATTACAATAGACTACTGTAATCACATAATCATACAACCACATAATCATGCAATCAAAAAAATCATATAACAACATCACATAAGAACATACCAAATATGAATTGTAACTATGTACTAAAACTTACTAATATAAAGCTACACTTCATGTACACGTACAATAACATCTCAATGTAGTAGTATCATGAAAGAGTTGTAGAAGACCGCCCCGAAACCACTCAGATCCCTAGATGCCCCGGCAGTGCATGGCGCCTGGTCTCCGGCAAACGTGGGACCAACGATCCTTGGATCGCGCTCGCCCACCCTCAACCCTCAACCCTCAACCCTCAACCCTCAACCCTAAACCCTAAACCCCAAACCCTAAACCCTAAACCCTGAAGCACCTCAACCTTCTGATGCCTTCACCCCTTAACCCTTAACCTCTTTTTGGTCTTGGACAACTCCGAGGCGCAGAGAGCCGGAGGAGCGGGCCAGCTGGAAAAGCTCGACAAGGTTCACGTCTGTGAAGTCGATGTCACTGTCCTGCCATATTCTTCAGTACAGGCCTACACTGCACCTCATGGATTCTCTTCGGGAGTCGATACAAGGGCCGCACCAGCGCCCACACAAACTCGTACTGCTTGGTCCTCAGCACACACATGATCTTTTACATGCTCTTGAGAGGCCTCTTCAGGAGGCATCGTAAGCAAGCGGCCAGAGATCTTCTCTGTACGCCTCCTGCAAGAACCGGAACTTATATCCTGAGTTGCATTTCTCAGGACGCATCTCGCATCACGGCGACCGGAACACTGGGATGGACACCAGGCTTCTGCAAGCTTGACCTTGCACAAAGTCTCACGGCAAAGCGGAGTGCAAACTTCCGAAGCTCAGGGCGCAGCGTGACTTCGCTGGCATACCAGTTCTTGTCCCAGTCGTTTGGGCTTCCTTCGTAGTGCCTGGGAATCCGGGGGCTGAACTCAACAAGTTGAGCCCATGTCTGGAACTCCTTTGGCTGTCAAGGGACGCAAGTATCACGTCGCAGCACTGGCGACCTCCCATTCTGCGTGCATACCTGAAGAGTGTCCAGACTCACCAGGTTCTTGTTGCCAGGATGGAGGACAATGCCACCAAGGCTCGCCACGTTTCGCATCACGATCTCCTCTCATCGGAACTTGTCAAGAAAGCGCGTTCGGATTTTGCTTCCAGGCCTGCGTTCGGGTGGCATTGTCCACCGCCCAAAATAGCCTTGTCTGAGTCACAAGGTGCATCCTAGAAACGAGAGGTGAGAACGTAGCTTGTTCACCTTATGTTGCAACTGCGAAGCAAGACCTTCAATGAGTTGTCATTGAAGTCAAAGGCTGACCTCGGCAGGGGCTCCCACGAGGACTTAAAAACTACTTAGTGGCAAATGTCAGCTACCCGCGGCCCTGGGCTCTATGCCTGCTCAGCTGGCAGCAGACGATCGGCAGGAGAAACACCAAACGCATTTGGTGAAGAGATGTAGAAGCCTGGCGCAGGAGAACTCGAAGAAGCATGGGGCCAACCACGAACCTGAAAGCCTAGAGCCCCAATGAGTCCCAAGAGCACCTCACCAGACAATCATGTAGGAGCTGATGGCGGGAACCATCCCTGGCCTACTTTGTAGGCTTGAGCCACCAGAGAGAGCAGCGGTTACTTGGGGCTTTGGGACTTTGGGGCTCCCAAAGAAGGCTTCGGCTCCGCAGCGATTGTCGGAGCTGAAGAGCTCATAGCAGCAAAGCCCTACACTCACATGCACATTGCCTGATACTGCCTGATACTGGTACTACTGCCTGATACTCTCCACTGCCTTTATCGAATCCATGTCCTCTTAGACGGAGAGCTGTGGTCGCTGGTTGAAGACCACCTGTTCCAGGAGGCTGAAACCGCCCCCACCCCCTCCCTCCAGTTTCCAACGGAACGCGGCATGTCGCATCAACCCTGAACCACCAGAGCTGTCGTTTCGGAAAGCCGCAAGCCCTACAGCAGATTGTTTAGCATGGTCTTGTGGTTAAGGGTTACAGTTTCACGTCTCGGGGACACCACCATGACGTTTGTTGGCACCTTCTTTCCCACCCACCCACCAGCAGGGCTGGCATCCAGAGTTTCACATTCTGGGTCTGATATGATCTGAGCTGCAAATCTTCATCGGGGTCATATGATCCCCGGTCCGGATGTAGAGCAGATGGGAATCGGGCAAGCAAGCTCTTGGAAGGGCTCTTGAAAAGCTAGACCCACCAAAACGCTCCCGGGCTCCCTGAAGGGCCCTGATTGCTGTACCTTTCCTTGGCAAGGCCTCTGAGACTTTTAGGGTTTGGGGTTTAGGGTTTAGGGTTTAGGGCTGATTCAAGTCCCCGCGAACCAACTGAAGCGCCTTGCGGCGGATCACTCCGCGCGCACGAAGCAGAGCAGCTCGAGCCTCGCCAGCGAGCTGCTCCTCCTGCAATCTCGGGGGTTACGAACATGAGGGACCCTTAATATAGACCCCAAATGGTAGGATTCCTTTACAATGGATCCCCAAAAAGGTACGCTCCATTTCGGACTTCGGAAAACCCCATTTACGGCTGCTTTTGAATTGCGGGGGTTTGCGGGCCCTGGGAGATAAGGAGCAGATCTTGAGACGCGAGCCTCGCGTCACAGCAGACAACAGCACTTGCGCGAGAGCCAAACTTGAAGCGGAGATGTGTGTTACTATCGTGGTCATGACCGCTCCCATACTTCTACCAACCAGCACTGGTATACTTTTGGACAAAGACCACTGCCATGTAACCTCATGCGCCGATGGTGAGATCTTGACAGTGACGACGGTTCAATGTAGCACGACCGATTTCTGCAAGTATTCGTTGTTCTGCTCTTTTGTTGGTTTCGTAAGAAGTCCGGTGGGGAAAACAGTTCGTACGCGACTGCTCATGGAACTGCCGGCCACACAGACTAGTTGCCACCACGGCCAGGCTGTTGTAAATTCCCATGGACGCTTGAACAACTCGCAAGTGAAGCGACACATGGCTGTAGCAAGTGCTGTCGCTGAGGTTCAGTCTATGATCCAGAAGAAAGCGACAGAAAGTGAGCGTCAGAACTACGAGAGATGGCGCACAGTACGCACACATTAAAGCATTTTAGGCTTGGGGCTGCGAAGCTGGACTTTGACGGACCTGGCCGGTCCGCTCCATAAGCACCTCAGATCTGCTCTGGGGCGAAATTCGAGTTTAGGGCTTCGGGCTTGCGTGCATACGAAATCATGGGGGGCACAATGCAGCGTTGAATCCCAAGTCCCCAAACCCCCAGAAAACCACCTCACCTCGGAGCTACAATCTCTTCACTTGCCGAAGGGCCAGCGGGCTCTTGAGCTCTTGCAGGGATCCATAGAGGCTGCGAGGGCCGTTCGTGAGAACCACGCTGCCTGTAGCAGCAGCGTTGTCAAACCCTTCAAGCCTTCAAGCATGTCTGTAGCAGAAACCCTAAAAAGTCTTTGCCTCCTTTCAGCTCCAGCGTTCCGAGCTCCTGGTCGGTGACCTTCGAACCATCCTCCCAGGAGGTTCAAAAAAAGAGATGTCTGGGTTGTTTGACGGTCAGGGGCACAGTACCCTGTTCCCCGGCACGCTCCTCCATGTAAGCCGTGCTCTGCAGCTCGATCAGCACCAGCTCTTCTGGCTTGCCCTGACTTGTCGAGAGCCGCAGCTTCGCAGGATAAGCATCGCACGTTGAACAAGCAGAAGGACACACTGCGCCGTGCGGAAGGAATGGAGAGAGGAAGATACGAAGAGGGAGAGAGCATCTGGGAGAGGTCATCTCCACAAAGGCTTTTCAACCAGATCTAGGAACTTGGGACAGGCTCGGACAAGTGCAGGTTCATCTGACACATGTGCAGACGACCACCCCAAAACATGCCTCAAAGCGAAGCACTGCTGACTTCATTGCCATCGCATCTACAAGAAGCCAGAAAATCTTTGACAAGCTGGATAAACCCGATTCACGTGGGCTAACTAGTTCTGCGCCAGGCCATGTGTCTGCACAAGCATGAAAACTTGGAACCAACCCGTCATGGCTATTCCGACACCCACTCTGAGCCTGAGATACAGCACAAGGCAAAGCATCCACAGGCCCTCAAGGTCGGGCATGCACGAGATGTCCTTTCCACCGTCCCGAGCTCATACCGGCGAGCAGGCTGGGCGGCTCCGCCCTTACCACAGTATCGCTTCCCAACCGTCCGCCCTTCCCAACCTCCCCATCGTCCCCCGCTTTTTGGGCCCTCCGCTTCAGAAATGGGAGCCCGTTGTCCTAAATTGTCCAAAATGCTCCGCCCTTGAGGCCGTCTGGCTAACGGCACGGACAGACGAGGTCCTGCTCTTTCCCCGCCCTTTCGTCATCTCCCAGGTCCCAGATGCCTGATTCCACTTTCCGCATCCATTCTTCATACGGTTTTGGGTCCTACGTGATTCCCCCACAGGGCACGCGCGCACTTGTGCTTGCTGTTGGGGGGAGGAGGGTGGGAGGGGAGGGTGACCGACGGCCCCAGAACGTGCAACCATTCAGGCGCAAGCGGTTGGGGCCTCTGGAAGTGTCGATCTGAGTACCGTGCTGGGATGCATTGTTCGACCCCAAGCGGCTTTCAGGTCTCCATTTATCACCCTCCCAGGCCCGAAGTGCGCTTCTCCTCGGAGTTGCGCGAGTGAGCATCGGCGGCATTGGCTGGGTCGGCTGGGGGCGGGGGCGGCTCTGGGCGACAGCGTTTGATTCCACGTCAAAATGTGCGAACAGGTTGCAGAACTAAGGGCGATCGGCAGAGAGACACACGCGCTCGTCTCTTTTGTTCCACTTGTTGTAAGTGTCGCAGTGCACATGGATGCAAGAGCCTCGGCTCAGTGCTTCGTGTTCCTTCCAGCACCTGCCAAAAAAACACGGATGAAACATCGGAAAAGCCGGAGTTGCTTCAGAAGGCACACCTCGCAAATTGAAGCAGAAGCACCAAGTTGACATCAGGTAAACAAGGGCACGTTGCATCACAGCAGCTTGCGGGATCTTCTATGCACCTCGGAGATGAAGAGCCATTGAAAAACTACGAAGGTCACAGGAACAGACGGCACAAAGCTCCCTAACAGAAGCTTCAGAAGCTTCAGAAGCTGGGAGCAGCGCTTGCTTCGAGGCGATCCAAACGTCGCTTCATGGCTTCAAGCTCCCTCTGCTGATCGAGGACTGTCTTCTTGTACTCGTCGTGCTCCTGACACGAAGACAGACATGCGCCCACGCCCAGCTCTGCGCTCAGCCATGCTCAGCCTACCTCAAGTACCTCAAAGCTCTGCCCCGGATTACACAACAGCTCCTTCTGCAGGTTCTGGAAGGCGAGGGTCAGCACTGCGATGAGGTCCTGAAAGATACGTATTCTCAAGAAGGCTGGAGATGTCACCGGAGGTGATGGTAAGCCAATTGGTTAATTGGCTAACCATTCACTACTTACCAAAAAATTGAAAGTTTCAAAAAACAAAGTATATAGACGTAGACATGCCATTAAAATACTTAACTGCATATAAGTGGGTTTGCTAATTGATTGCATGGCTCTACGTTTATGATATTACTGCCAGCTATTGGCCTTCTGATTGGAACAGTCTTCACTTGACCCAGCCACGCTTATCCAAACATTGTAATCTGCAAGGATCGAAATACTTCGCCCAACGGATCATGAGTAGTCCAGAGATACCACGAAGTAAAGCTCGGAAGAAATCCGCAACCAGTGTGAACTGTCGTAACGTTAGTAATCGGTATCAAAAAGACAAGGGCTAAACACTCCCCACACAGAAGTCACCCTCTCCTGGCTGGCGACTGCCTTCGTGTCGTCCCCAACTGTTCGAACCTTGGTAGAGACAGGTTGAAAACGCTCCGACATCTTGTGAAACATTGCGTCGGCTACGCCTGTGCTATCCTGTGCTTCTCGTAACTAAGCACCAGACCAAGTTGGGGAACACTGCTTCAAGCTCTTGCGCGATGAATCCGAACTTCAGGTACCTGCCAAGTAGCTTCATTGTTATCTTGTATCGCTTTGTGCGGCGACTTGAGCGTGGCACTTGGCTTCCGGTCCACGCTTCAGCTGGAAGGAAACTGGTCGGAGCTCACCTGGGTGGCGAAAGGCCTCTAGCCCTTGGGGCTGTGGGCAATATTTCTTGGTGTCAAGGGCCAAACCAATATAGCTACTGTTGAAGGCCTTCCCCTCTTTATTGGCCACAAGCGAAAGATCGCTTGGGGCCGTCTGGGTTGCGCACGAAGTAGCCACTTCACCTGTTCGCCTTCACTCAGCCTCAAGATTGGCCACATTCCAACTTCATGTTGACGTGCAGGTTTGTGCAGCTATGTGCAGGTTGACATGGCTAAGTTATGCACTTGTCAGCTGGTTGCGCAGCCGAGTCAGTCTCCCATCCTCAGCAGGTAAGCAGGTGCGTGGTGCTACTGGGCGAACAGATGCTGACCCACAGAGTTAACTGGGGCTGGTACGATCACGCGCCCTGGTTGCAATCGTTTGGTACAGCGGCTGAATGTTGCGCTTCAGACGCCTGTCCTGGGTTCTCATGATTGCCCTGTCATCCTGTCCACCTCAAGCAAGGCCACGGCGACGTGATAACTTAGCATCAGGCGGACGTTGTGATACTGGCTTCTGCTGACCAAGCACCTAGGTCTGCAAGTCTCCCCGACAACATCAAGTGACTCCAAGTGCTCTGCTGAGCAGAGTATGCAAGGTTACACTCCTAGCACTGTGCTGCAAGCAAGTCCTAAGCTGAACTGCAGAAGGTCAGCTGAGCTTTGGGCCATGCAACGTGCCGCCACTTGCTGTCACCGTTATACCACGGTAAGTACCAGCGTAGACGTCCAGCTGAGACCTTGCTTGATGGTAGCTTAAACGGACGACTGGGGCACCTGTGTCCTGAAGTGCAAGCAGGGGACGAGCTGATCTTGAGGTACGTGGAGTCGGAGCCATCTGAAATGAGGGAGCTCCTACAGGTCAGGGCGTTGCTTCCCTTTCACCCTGAACACAGCCGGGGTCCCTGTCCTGATTGTTCCTGCCGATGAAGTGCTTCCGAGGTTGACAAGATCCAAGGCTGGCAGAGCCGGCCCGAACCGAACACTTGAGAAAGTGGGCAGCGTGGGGCCAAGTTAAAACCTGCTTCTTGCGGGCATTGCGGAGCCCATCATTGTCAAGTCGACCGCGGAAGGGACGGGATCTAGCCGCATCGCCGCAAAAAGAGGCGCCACCGGCCCCAGCCAGGAACAGCATCTCACGGACACCGGTGGCCCAAGTGAGCTCGCATCAAACGTGAATACCAAGAAGCCTGACCGTGCTAGGCCAAAGAGGAGCACGGAGGATCCTAGGCGTTTGAAAGACCGCAATGGCGGGGCGGAGCCCAGCCTCGTGGCGTCATACGAGGAAGTCAAAAAGCCAACCTTGGAACAACCGGACAAAAACGCAAGGAAACCAGGTCGACCAGGTTGGCGCACCGGCAGTGAGCTGCCGGTCATCATGCAATCCACGGGCGAGATCAAGAAGTCCATACAAACGAAGCTTTGCAGAGGCGAAGAAGACCCGGAGTGCGTGAAATCGAGGACCAGAACGGATGGACCCACCCTTCCCAGACCACAAATTGAGAGGCTTGACCCAGCTCTGAAGAGATTTTGGGTGGACGGCACAGGGCCATAGTTAGTCATATCCAGGGCCGATGGTGATGCCTCTGCCCTACCAATGCCAAAGGCCGAAGCTGCTGGGCCCGTGCGAGCCAAACTTCGGACGGAAGGGGCTGGCCCTAAATGCGTGGGGTCAGGCACGAGCAGCAAGAGCTCAAGGCGTCCCAGTCCTGCTGTCAGCGCCACGGAGGCCAGGTAGGCGAAAGAACGCGGTAACAGCAGCAAGCCCGTATGTTGGCTGTCCAACACTAAGGCCGCAAAGCCGAAGCGGGCAATGGCAAAGGCAGGAAGTGCCGAGCCCAGATGGGCGGCACTGTGAGGCAGCGCTGGTGGGCCTGGATGGGAGAAGTCGAAGACCAACAAAGAAGAGCCGAGCCCAGTCAACCCGGATGACAACAGAGGCAGCCCGGACCGTGCCGGAGATCGAACTGACAGCGAGAAACCTGAGTGGGAACAGTCAAATGCCGACACTGCCAGGACAAGTCGGAACGCACCATCGGTCAGGAGCGAAGGCTCAGGTCAGGAAAAGCTTCGAGGTGACAGGGGCAAGCCCATGGCCAGGAAGTCAGGTACCAGCACCAACAAGCCCAGACATCCCAAGCCAGAGGGCGAAGCTGCGGGGCCCAGCCGTGCCAAACTTCGTGCTGGCATCGGAAAACCTGGCGTTTCCGCGTCAAAGACCGGCAGAGGGGAGCCGGGCCATGCCTGACCAGACAAGGAAGCCGCTGAGCCAGGCCAGGCAGGGCTTTGGAGCAGCAACATCGAACCAGGACCGCTGCAATCGAAGGCAGGAAAGGAAAGGCCCAAGCAACCCAGACCAGACAAAAATGTCACTGACCCAGGCCACTCAAGGCTGTGCACCGGTAGTGGGGAGCCCATGGAAGAGCCGTCGAGCACAGAGAGGGACACTCCCAGCCTGCCTGCACCAAAGGCAGGTGGCGCGCTCCCAGGTTAACCGAAGCTGTGTGGAGGCGTCGGGGATCCGGTGTGAAGAAAGTCGAACGCCAGCAGCGGAGATCCCAACCTTCCTAGACCAAACACAAACACCAGAAATTCGACGCGCGCACGGCTGTGTAGGGGTGGAGGCAACCCGTAGTGCGCAAAGTCAGACACAAACAGCGAAAGTCCGCAACGGCCAGGGCCAGATAAAGGAACAGCTGACCCCGTGCAAGCTGGGCTTTGTGATGGTGGCAAGGGTCCTGGATGGGTGAGGTCGAAGGCGAACAAGCTCGATCCGAGCTTTGCCACTCCAAAGACCGAAGAAGCAAGGTCAAATCGCGCAGCGCTCCGCAAGAGCAGGGTCGATCCCATTTCTGAGCAGTCTGGAGCGAGCAGGAAGAATCCTAAGCAAGCACCAGCAAATGGCGACGAGGACGGCTCGGGCCAGGCACAGGACTGCAGTGATGACATCAGCCCATAGCTTGCCATGTCGAACACAGGAAGCAGCGATCCCATGCAGGTGACCCCGAAGGCGGAGAGCGCAAAGCCCGAGCAACCGAATGATCTGGCCAGCGGCGTCAAGCCTAATTGGCAGGCGACAAAAATGAGCAGCCCGAAGTCCGCACGTGCCACTCCCATCATCGGAGACACCAACCCTGCTCAAGAAGAGCTGTGCAGGAACATTAGCGGCTCCGTGTGAAGAGAATCAGATGCTGAGACCAAGGAGCCGAATCTCGAACAGCCGGACGCCGGCAACGGCAAGCCAGCACGCGCGCAGTTCCGCAGGAAGAGGTTCGATCCCGTGGATGAGGAGTCCAGAACCAAAGGACTGAAGTCAACGCGGGACAAGCCGAAGGGGAGCAGGAGAGAGTCAGCCTTTCCGAAGTTGTGCAATGGAGGAGGGCTGCCTAGGTATGTGCAGTCAAAGGCCAGCGTCGAACTTCCTACACAAGCCATGCCAAAGGTCAAGGGAGCAGGGCCGAGACAAGCCAGCGATCGTACAAACAAAAGCAAGCCTGGAGCCGAGCTGTCAAAGGCGGGAGGCAGCAGTCCCACTTGCGACAAGCCGAATGGCGGCAACGGCAAGCCAGGTCTCCCCGTGCATTGCACAAGCGGCAGAGGACCCGGCCCAGAGCAATCCAGCGCCGGCAAGAAGAGTTCAATGCGGCCGACACCAAATGCAGGAGGGGAGAACCCTGACCAGGCGGGGCTTCTCAGAGGCGTAAGGCTGCCCGAATTCAAAAGATCGGACACGGGTAGCAATGACCCGAACCGTCCCTTACCAAATGAAGGCAGTGCCAGACCAAGCTGGCCTGCGCTTTGAACCAAAAGCGTTAAGCCCAAGTGGCTGCAATCAAAGGTCGAAGCTGCGACATCCGAACGTCCCATTCCAAAGATTGGGAGTGCAAGCCCTGTCCTTGCTAAAGATCGTGCAGGAATGGGAGGCCCTGAGTGTCCAAAATCCAACGCCGGTAACGACAAGTCGGCCCGACCTAACCCAGATAATGGTACTGCCAAGCCAGGACCAGCAAAGCTGTGGGCCGGCAGGGTGAAGTCTGGGTGACTGCGGTCAAAGGCCAGAGGGGATGCGTCGAGGCGTCCAAGCCCAAACAGCAACACGGCAGGATCCATACACGCCGGGCTGCGAGCTGGAGGAATCAATCCTGGGTGGCTGCAGTCGAAGATTGACACGGAACTGCCTGCGCGGGTGAATCCAGAGAATAGCAGCGCAGAGCCCAGACAGGCAAAGCTCCGCACAAGGGGCGACGGGCCCAGACCGGCCAAGTCAAAGGCTGGAGCCGTGAAGTCCGCTCTCCCCATGCCAAAAGCAGATAGCGCAAGCCCAGTTCAAGAGAGCGTGTGCAGGAGGAGAGGCGAGTCGATATGCAGGAGGTCAAAGACAAGCGTAAAGAAGCCTGGACAGCCCAGGCCGAAGGCAAAGGGAGCAGACTCAGGTCGCGCGCAGGACTGCACCGGCGGTGTTGAATCGAGGGACGCGCAATCAAGTGCTGGCGAGGACAGGTCAGCCCAACCCATACCAAACAAGGACAGCACTGGTCCACAGCAGCCTGGGCTTCGAACCAGTGGCGATGACCCTGGTGAGGAGCAGTCCAAGGCCGACAAGGGCAGATCAGTTGCGGCCGCACCAGACATGGACGTTAGCGGCCCAAGTCAAGCCAAGGACCGCAGCAGCAGCAAGAAGCCCATTGAAGAACAGTCCGAAGCAGGCAAAGAAGGGCCGGCCCTGCCCAGGCCAAACAGTGAAGGCGACAAGCCGCATTGACCACAGCTTCTTGCGGAAGGCATCAGGCCTGGCGCTGAAAGGTCCAAAGCCGAGAAAGAAGGGCTGGGCTGCGTAAGGCCGAAGACAAGGGAGGCGGGGTCGAAGCAAGCAAGGGATCTGGCGGACGGGGTTAGGCCAGGTCAGGCACGTGCGTGTACCGGAGGTGAGGATCCCGGAGAAGCGCAGTCGGGCACAAGCATTGGCAAGCCGGGCCGACCGCAAGAGAATGATGACATCGGAGATTCAGGTCGAGCCGAGCTGTGCATGGGCAGTGAGCTCCCTGTATGGCCACAGTCAAAGGCTGAGGGCGAAAGGCCAGCGCAGTGCATCCCAAAGGTTGACGAAGCGAAGTCCGAACAGCCCATGCTTCGCACGAACATCACACTTTCCACACACATCATGTCCGAAAGAGACAGGGTAGAGCCCGTTTGAGAGAAGCTTTGAGGCAGCACCACGAAACCTAGGCATGCATGGTCTAAGATTAGCAGTGGTAGGGCAAATCTACTGACTCCGAAGACGGAAGACACGAAACCTGCGTGAGCAGAGCTTTGCAGAGAAATCGGCAGTTCCAGTTGAGCCATGTCAAATGTTGGAATGGTCAAGTCAAAGACTCCGATGCCAGAAATGGGTGGAGACAGACCCGTGCGCGTGTAGGAATTCACGAACAGTGAGCTGCCGAGCAAAGCTTGCTCGTCCATGTTAATTGCTGAGGCTAGGCGTGCGATGCCTGCCACGGAGATGTGCTCACCAAACCTTGTGTAGCAGCGGGTTAGCATGAAAAAGCCGAAGAGAGCAAAGTCAGGGGCTGGCAGGGAGAGTTCAGACCGGGAAATACCGAATGGTGGGGATCTCGGGCCGAGGCTGGCAAGGTTTCTTGCAAAAGGAAAGCTGCCTGAGTTCACGAAGTCGCACAAAGACATGGTGAATTCGAAACGACCAGCCCCATAGGCAGGCGACTTGAAGCCAGACCGGGCACAGTTCCGGGGGAACATCAAGAAGTCTGCATCCATGAAGTCCAAGAGCGAAGCTGAGCATTCGAAGCAAGTCATGCCGAAGAGCGACATGATCAGGCCCGTGGTAGCTGCACCCCTCAAAAACGGTGTGGGCTCAGAGCTCGCAGAGTCGGACACCAGCAGACTCAAACCCACCCAACCAAAGCCGAAGAGCGACATGGAGAAGCCCAAGCAAGCGCAGGACCGCAAGAGCATGATTAGGCCGAGGTTCACAAAGTCACAAGCCGGCTGCGAGAATTCGGAGCGGGCTGCGCCGTAGGCCAACGACTTGGAGCCGAAGTGCCCAAGGCTCCGCGAAGACATCAACGGTCCCACCCGGACATCGTCAGGTGATGGAATTGGCGGACTCAGACGCAAGCAGCCGGATGCAAAGAGGGCGGGCTCCGTCCGACCCATGCTTCGAAGTGACAAGAAGCTTCCGATGTGTAGGCTGTTGAAGGAGGGTACTTGCAACCCCAAGCGCGCAGGGTTTCGAAGAGGAGAGGGCGATTCTGCATGCGCATAGTCGGATGAAGGCGGTGCTGAACCGCAAGTTGTGCCATATGTTAAGAATAGGAACTCGAATTTCGCCACAGCCCTGACGAAGGATGTCAACCCAAAGTTGGAGTAATCGGATGGGGGCATCGGCGGCCCAAACTTTCCAAACCCGTATATGAAGAGAGAAAAGCCAGGGCAACCGCATTTCCTCGAAGGGGTGGGTGAGCCCAGCAACAGGAAGTCAAGGACAAACAGGACAGATCCTAAGCGGCCCAGGCTGTGCAAGAACAGAAGGAAGCCTAGATTTGTGAAGTCGTGGGCTGAAGTCCAGTCACCCATACAAGTTCGGCCGAAGGGAAGCGGCGTTGGGCCAAGGCACGCGAGGCTACGTGACAACGACAGCAACCCTACTTGTGCATAGTCGACAATTGGCAGGACGAACTCCGATTAGACAGAGCTCCGGGCCAGCATGGCAAAGCCCAGAAGTGCATAGTCAAGCAGAGGTGGCGGGAGACCCGTCCAAGTGCAGCCGAAAGTCGAAAACACAGAGCCGGCACGTGCAAAGGCGTGCGTGGGAATCAACGGGTCGGTGTGGCCAGAATCCAATACCAACACGGGCGATCCTGGGCGAGAAAAGGACCGCGTTGGCATCCCCGAGCCCACGTGGCAGTGCTCCAAAGTAAGCACGGAAGCCTCAAGGTGCGCAAGACTGTGGAGTAAGGGCGCCAGTCCCAATTGGAGGGGGTCAGATGCTGACACAAGCAAGCCGTAGCGAGTGCAACCTGTCACAGATGAAGCCAAGCCCGTTCTGACAAACTTTCGGACCGGTGCTGAGCTGTCAACCTGTGCAAGATCTAGCAAGGAAGCCGTGAGTTCTAAGCAGATGAGGCTATGTGCAAACATCGCGGATGCCATGATCATAAAGTCCAAGAGCAGCATCGTGAAGCCAAGGCACACCAAGGATCTCACAGGCATGACCAGGCCAAGGAATGCATCATCCGAGGTAAAAATGGACAAGTCCAATCTGCTGAATCCCAAGGCAAGGAGAGGCAGCTCTGAACGCCCGGAGTTGCGCAAGGAAGCGGACGGGTCCGGAACCAGAAAATCCAACACAAGCAGTACGGAATCTAGTCGTGCACGACTGCGCAAGGGAGTCACGGACTCGGAGTGCGAAGAATCCGGCAGCGGCACGGAAGAGCTTAGACGCACCGTGCCCAGAATGGATAGCATCAAGCCGAGTTGCCCAAAGCTGTGCATCGAAATTGCCAAGCCAAGCGAAGCGAAGTCTGGGGGCAGCGAGGAGAGCTCCGTCCAGGTCATTCCAAACACTGAAAATGGCAAGTCAAACCACGCAAATCCCCGCGACAGCACAGCAGAGCCTGTCTCGGCAAAATCCAAGGCAGAGGCCGAGAAGCCCAGGCACACGGAAGATCTCAAAAGCGGCGGCGAGCTCAAGGAAACATAATCCAGCACGGGGGAAGGTGGCGCGAGACGAAAGGATGACCTGGCTGGGACAGGGAAGCCAACTTGAATGTGGTCCAACACAGGCAGGGACAGAGCCATCCAGACCAACCCACAGATTGGCAGCGTTGGTCCACAACAGCCGAGGTTGTGCAGCAACGGAGACAAGTCGATCTGCGAAGGATCCATGATCGAAGGCACAAACCCCACCCGCATGGAAGATCGCGACAGCGCAGCTGAGCCTGCCTGGACGAAGTCCAACAAAGGTGCTGCCAAGCCAATCCTGGCCCTGCCAAATGGCAAGGGAGCCGAACCCGCTCTGCAGGAACTTTGCAATGATGATGGGAAGCCCAGCAGCAAGTAGTCAGGGGCCGGTGACGTGGATTCCGGGCAGCCGTAACTTCGCAGCGAAGCCAACAGGCCAAGAAACGCAAAGTCTAAAGCAAGTGAGGAGAAGCCCGTCCTAGCCATGCTGCAGGCTGAGATCGCCGGCCCAGGACTGGCGCAGCTTCGGAGGGGCAATGCACTCGCCACGTGTACACCCGCCATTACTGAAGCAGCGCTTTCGAGTCAGGAGAGGCTTTGAACAAATAACACCGGCTCGAGATGTGCGTAATCCAAAGGCAGCATAGGTGGGTCGGAGCATGAACAGCCAGAGGACAAAGCAGCTAAGCCAAAACGGCTGGCGCTCCTTACAGGTGGAGTGGGGGCCGGCTGCAAGAGGTCGGACATTAGCAGCAGAGGTCCGGGTCGTGCGTGGCTGTGTGAGGGCGGCATCGGGCCCGAGTTCGTAGAATCCGGCACCAGCAGCAATGGGCTTGAGCGAGACATGCCAGAGGTTGGCAGCGGAAACCCACATCGACCCGAGGACCTCAGGGGCAGAGAGCTGCCCGGGTGCCCAAAGTCAGAGGCTGGCAACAAAAAGTCCAGTCGGCCAACCGAAAAGGGGAACGCAGGCGGACCCGTGTGAGCAAAGGACCGCGCCAACATCGCAGGCCCAGCATGGACGAAGTCCGTGAGAAGCAATGCCAACCCAGCGCGGCTACCACCAGATGCGGAGAGTGACAGCCCAAAACATTTGAAGGACCGCACAGAAGGCATACTTCCCAAGGCAAGGAAATCGGAGAGGGGCGCGGCAAGGCCTGACCGGACAAGGCTGTGCACAAACGTAGATGAGGCCGCCGAGATGAAGTCGAGCACCGATGGCACTAGACCCGAGCGGGCAAAGCTGCGTGTAGAGGGTGCTGGCCCTGGTTCACACACATCCAGCACCAAAAGGATGAGACCAGGATTGGCGATACCGACGGTTGACGAGAGCGAATCGGATCTTGCTGACTGTCTCAAGGGCAGAGGAGGCTCGGACTGTGTAGGGTCTGGAGCTGGCAACAGTGATCCAGTTCACCCTAGGCCACATGCCAACAAAGTGGAGCCAGGCTGACCAGAGTTACGCAAAGGGACAGAAGAGCCGGGCACCGCAAAATCAGCCGAGAGCAACACGAATCCAAGGCAAGCATGAGATTGCAAGGAAGGAAAACTGTCGAAGTGGCTGTAGTCCAGAACGGACGGTGAAAAAGCCAAGCGGGTGACACCAGACAGCAAAAACAATAAGTCCGGCCTGGCCGAGCTACGTGGCAACAAAGGAGAGCCTGGTTCCGCGGAGTCGGGCACGGATGGAAGGCTTCCAAGCCAAAGGCAGCTTTGCAAGGAAAGAGCAAAACCAGACATGGCAAAACCCAGCACCAGCACCGATGGTTCCGAGCAAGCCACACCGACTGTAAGCAAACTGGACCCCAGGTGGCCACACATCCTTGCCGGCATCAGGAGGCCTATTGATATAAGATCCGGGAGAGGCGCCGCCAGGTCCGAGCGAGAGAGGGACCTCGCTGGCAGGGCAGATCCAAGGTCCGTAAGGTCAGGAATCAACATTAAGGGTGCTGTCCGAGTGCATCCGAAAACTGGCAGAACGGGTTCAACTTGACCAGGGCCTCTTGCAGGAGTTGCGAAGTCTGTCTCGGTAGGGTCCAATGTTGGCACGACGCTTCCTGGGTAAACAAGGCTATGCAACAACGTCACAGGCCCTATATGCGTGTGGTCCAGTGTCGGAATGCTGGAATCGGTCCGCAGCAGCCCCGTGAGGAAGGACGCTGACCCGAGGCATGCCGAGCTTTGCGTAGACGTTGTAGGCTCAGCCTGAACAAGGTCTGCCAGTGACAGCAGCAAGCCAAGGTGGGACAGGCTGTGCACCGAAGTCGGGGATCCCAAACATGCCACTTCCAGGAGTGGCAGAGTGCTGTCAGGGCAGGTTGTGCTGGACACCAAAAAGCTCAACCCCAATCTTCCAGAGCTCCTCAGCGGAGTCAAAGGGCCGGGGTAGGCAAAATCTGACGAAGGCGCCGCTGGCCCCATGCGGGAAGCAGCATGCAGCGAAACTGGAAAGCCCAGATGAGCAAAGTCCGAAGTCAGCGGCGGACTGCCCAGACGGCTCACACTGAACGCGGAAGAGGCGGATTCCATGCGAGAAGAGCTGCGCGCAAACGTCGTTGACCCGACCTCTGCAAAGTCATAGGGAGGGAAGCTGGATCCCGTCCGGAAGATCCCGAAGTGCGGGAAGGGCGATCCAGAGCGGGCCATGCTCCTCACAAGCGTTGCCGAGCCCAACTCTGCCAAGGTGAAGGCTGAAGATGCCAAGTCCGATCAAGCGGTGCTCATAAGTGGTGCAGTAAGGCCTAGCCTCACCAAGTTTCGGGTCGACATCGAGGGCCCAAACATCACGTGGTCTGGCAGCAGAACAGACAAGCCTGGGCAAGCATGGCTACGAATCAGCGTCGCAAAGCCTGGATCCGTGAGGTCCAGAGGGGAGAGTGTGGGGTCTGGCCTGCTGACTCCGCAAGCGGAGAATGCCAGATCTGGACGTCCAGAGTTCCGCGGCAGTGCAGATGAACCGGTCTGCACGAGCTCCAGCATCGGGATGGCGAGGTCGGATTGGGCAGGGCTCCTGATAGGCATCAGCAGCTCAAAGGATGCAACCCCAAACAGGAACGACAGAAGGCCCGAACAACCCAGGCCACAGGATGAAAGCGGGAAGCCTGATCGACACAAGGATCTCAGAAACAGGGAGCTGCCGGGCATAACGGCGTCCAGCACCAACAGTGGCAGGCCGGGTCTGGACGTGCCTGCGACAAGCGATGCCAAAGCCAGACGCATGTGTGAGCGCGGCGGCAACAAAGGCTCGAGTTGCAGGAGGTCCAGCAGAGGCAAGGACAACTCCGAGCAGCTGATACCAAACAACGACGTCAGGGAGCCGCTGCGAATCGAAGACTGCAGCAAAGGCGAAAGACCAAAGTGAGCCATGTCAAGCAGAAACGCGAGGAGGTCAATGCGGGCAAGCCCGAAAACCGGAAAGGGAAGCTCTGAACACTTGGAACTCCGAGGCAACGGAAGAAATCCTGACTCTGCTATGTCAGGAGTAGATGCCAAGAAACCCGTGCGAGCGGTACTCCACGCCGACACAGCAAACCCGAGCTGGGAGGATGACCTAACTGGCATGAGGAAGCCTAAGTGCGCGAGGTCCGCAGCCAACAGCAGCAAGCCTGAGCACGCGAAGCTGCGCAAGGGCGATGACAAGTCAAGTGTGAGAAGGTCCGGCACAGGAATGCTCAAGTTTGGTCGTGAGATGCCAGACAATGATGCCGCAAGGTCTGCTCGGCCGGAGCTTTGCAAAGGTGGGGTTGGCCCAAGCTGCACAGGGTCAGGAAGTGGTGGCATAAGGTCAAGCTACACCATGCTCCGCACCAATGCTGCCAGGTCAGCACATGCATAGTCCGAGAGAGGCGGCATCAACTCAAGTCGCGCGTAGGCAGACACGAAGATTGTTGATCCGAAGCGGCCAATTCCTCTTGGGGGCGTAGAAGGGCCCGGCCGTAAGTAATCCGAGGCAGGTGCCAAGAAGTCAAAACGACCTGCACCCCACACTGGCGGAGCAGATCCCAGGTGACCGGGAGACCTTAAAAGCAGAATTGGCTCTAACCTCGCAAAATCCAGAACGGGCAACAAGGATCCCAGGCACGTGAAGGACTGGAGTGGCATCAAAGAGCCGAGTGCAATACGCTCCAACACCAACAGCAACGACCCCATCCAAACTGAACTGAACACGAGAAGACTTGAGCCACAGCAGATCATGGAACGGAGAGACAGCGAAGGCCCAGGCTTTGCGAAATCCAAGATGGACATCTGGGAGCCCGATCGACTGGAGCTTTGGAGGGGCAGCAAGCTTCCAAGTGTGACGTGATCCAGGACTGAAGGTGAAGATCCCATGCGACAAATGCTGAAGGTGGAGAACGAGGGATCAGAGTGAGAAGAGCTTCGCAAAGGCATGGCCAAGTCCACGAGCGAACAATCTGGGAGTGATGCCAGCAGCTCAAGCCGGATGCTGCTAAAAGCGAGCAAGGACAAGCCCAGCTGCTTGAGGCCTCTAAGTAACACCGCCAAGCCGGGGAGATTACAATCGGGCAGAGACGAGGGAAGCTCTGTCCTGACCATGCTGAAGACTGGCAAATTCAACCCAAGGCACCCCGAGCTACGGAGAAGGAGCGACAATCCTGAATAGGCATAATCGCACACGGGCATCAAGGAGTCTGGGCAAACTTTCCCAAAGAGCGGCACCATGAGGCCCATCCAACCAGCACTGCGCAGGGATGGGGAGAAGCCCAGGGCCAGGAGGTCCGGAGCTGGCGCCGAAGGTCCCAACCTTGCAAGGCTCCGTGAGAAAATTGCGGAGCCGAAAGTGGCGAGGTCAAGGGCTAGCGAAGCGAAACCAAGGCAACATGTGCTGAAGGCTGGTGGTTTCGACCCCAAGCGACCAGAGCTTTGCAAGGAGGGAGGCGGCCCGGACTGGTGGTAGTCATAAGTAGATAGGCTGGGCCCTGGCCGTACAGTGGAGAAGAGCAGCAACGCCAACCCGGGTCACGAGATGCCTTGCGCCAGCAGCAACAATCCCGACTCTGTGCAGTCAAGGACAGGCGGAAAGAGGCCCGGCCTCATGTTGCTGGAGATCAGGAACGACAGGTCCAGATGCGCAAAGCTCCGCATGGGTAGCGCCAAGCCCAACTCCGTTAAATCCGATGTCGGCGGCATGCTCTCGAAGCGCCCCGCCCTAAACAGCAGCAACAATAAACCCATGGCCGCCGTGCCTCTAAGAGGTAGATGCAAGCCAAGTTGCAAGGAATCGGGCGCAGAAGTGAAGAAGTCAAAACGTGCCGTGCTGAAGGTGGGGGAGGTGGAGTCAGGGCGCACCACAGATCGAATGGACATGATCAGGCCTGATTGAAGGGAATCAAGCGCAAACAACGAGGGCTCGAAGCAGGCAACGCCGAAGAGGAATACAAGCAAGTCCATCCACCCAAAACTCTTTGAGGAAAGCAGCAATCCCGACTGAAGAAGGTCCAGTGCGGACGAGGATGGGTCCATGCGAGTGCAGCTGAAGGCAGGAATCGATGGGCCCAGGTGCGCACGGCTATGCAAAGAAGGCGTGAATCCAAAGTGGCTGCAATCGAAGGCCAGCAGAATCAGCTCAAGGCGCTGGATCCCAAACAACAGCACTGCACTGCCAGATCGAGCTGTAGACCTTGCAAATGTGGAAAAGCCTGTCTGGTCGAAGTCAGACAAAGGTGCTGCCAGCTCAAATCAGGCCACGCTCCATGTCAAAGCTGAGAAGCCAAGGTAACCCAGAGATCTCAGCAGCAAAGAAGATCCTGAGAAAGCGGAGTCAGAGGCTGGCAAGCCGAGGTCTAACTGCACGAAGGATCGGATCAAGGTCGGCAGGTCAGAATACGCAGGGTCCGATACAGGCGACAGAGGCCCTGGCCTGCTGGCACTGAAGGCCAAAAAGGGAGAGCCCGCGCACGCGAAGGAACGAAGGAGTGGAGAAGGCCCTGAGAACGCAGAGTCCGACACCAGCATAGAGAAACCTAGGCTAGCCATGGACCTCAACAGCAAGGGCAGGCCCGGATTCGTAGAGTCTAAGGCCAAAGGCGTCAGTCCCGGCCGCAAATTGCTAAATGCCGGCAGTTGCGAGCCCGACCAGCCACGGCTTCGCGGCGATGAGATGAAGCCCGGCTCAGCGCGGTCGGACGCCGGCAATGTTGGCCCAAGCCTCCCAATGCCGAACGATGGGAAGGGACTGCCAAGGTGCGCGCTGCTGCGTGCAGAGGCTGCCGGACCAAGGTGCAAAAAGTCCAAGGCCAGAAGGGATGGCCCGAGCTTGCTAAGGCCGAAAGCCAAGAAAGGGAAGCCCATGAAGGTCATGCTCCGGATTAGCATTGAAGGGCCGGGGCGCAGGAAGTCAAGCGCTGGTGAGAGAGGCCCAAATCGAGCTTTGCCGGACAAGAACGTTGCGAAGTCTGCACACGTCATGCTCCTAAAGAACACAGGCAGTTCGGGGTGTAGAAGGTCAAGGGCAAGCAGCAAGGATCCACAACGCGCAGAACTTCGTGAAAAGAGCGTGAGGCCCATGTTGGCCAAGTCCGACACCAGCACTGCGACACCCAAGCATGTAAGGCAGCGAGTCGGCGGCAGCAGGTCGAGCTGGGCTGCGTCCAGCACTGGCAAGGTGAAGTCGGGTCTCGAAACTCCGAGTAAAGAGGGTGACAGGCTGGGACATGTAAAGGCCCTCGAGAAGAAGGAACTTCCCAACTGGAGGGAATCCAGTACCAGCAGTGCCAAGTCCATGCAAGTGAGGGATTGCAAACTCAATGAGAGGCCCATTGCAGCACGATCTGGCACAAATGATGAGGAACCAAGGCAGCACATGCTAGAGATCGACACGACCGACTCCATTTGCCCCAAGCTGCGAGGTGAAAGCAAAGGCCCCAGCTGAGAGGAATCGAGGACCAAAAGTGGAAAGCCGGTTCATCCACAGCCAGACGCAGAAAAACTGGGTCCAAGCTTGGCAAGGCTGCGAGCCGACACTGGCGAATCCGTGTGGATAAAGTCCACAGCTGGCAGTGGTGATTCCAGCCAGGCATAGCTGTGAATCGGCGACAAAGGCGCAAGGTGGACACGGTCGGGGACAAACGATGTGAAGCCGAAGCGTGCGCATGAAAAGATAGGCGTAGGGCTGCTGGGCCGCGCAAAGCTTCGGAGGGGCAGAGGCAAGTCAAGAGTCAAGGGATCTGGAATCAGCAGGGCCAGCTCGGGTCATGACGTACTTCTAGGAGATGGCAGCAGGCCCAGATGGACGAAGTCCAAGGCTGATGGTGGACTGGCTAGACAGGCTACACCCAAGGCCGAAGCGCTCAAGCCACACCGCGCGAGGCTTCTTGTAGACGGGTTGCTTCCAGGCCGCACCATGTCGCACATCGATGCCTTGTCGCCAGGGCGGACGACTCCAAACAAAGGGATTGGAAAGCCAGGGCGGGCAAAACTGTGAAGCAGAGAGGTGGAGTCAGAGTGACTGCAGTCGGGTGCCGGAAGTGAAGGTCCAAAGCGGGTGTCCGAGAAGGCCAACAGAGCCGGATCAGGATGTGCCGTGCTCCGCAAAGGCAGCGTCGAGCCCATCTCCGTGGCATCGGACACCGGCAACAGCAGTCCAGAGCGACCGATGCCGAAAGGCAGGAGTGCAAAGCCCGTTTAACCCGGCGATCGTGGCAACAAAGTGGGGCCAAACTCTGTGTGGTCCGTGACTGGAAAGAAAGATCCGGGTTCGGCCCGGCTGAAGATGGAGGAGGAAGGCCCTGAGCATCCAGAACTTTGAGGCGGTGAGACGAGGTCTGGCTGCAAGAAGTCAAGAACTGGCGAGGCCAACTCAAGGCAGGCAGGGCTCCGCGAGAATGCTGCAGACTCCAGTCCCGTAAGATCCAGCACCGGCAGCGAGAAGCCCATACAAGCGCAGCTGGATGCTAGAGGCAAAGAGCCAAGCCATCCCATCGACCGCAAGAGCAGCGACAAGCCCAGCGTTGCCATGTCAGGCGCCAGCATGAAGAAGTCAGAGCGCACGCACGAAAAGGCGGATGCGGCCGAGCCCATGCGCGCGGCGGATCTCGAAAACGGTGTGGGTTCGGGAGACACGCAGTCCAAGGCGGGCACCGACAAGCCGGTGCAGTACGTGCCGGAAGCTGGCAGGGAGAAGCCACTGCGGCCGAAGGAGCGCGGAAACAGCGGTGGGCCCGAGAACAGGAGATCCGACACGGAAGGTGGACTACCAGAGCAAGCTTTGCCGAACAGCAAAGGTGAGGGGGCCAGGCAGGCAAAGCTGCGTGGCAACAGAAAGGAGTCGATGTGCAGGTGATCTGAAACGAGCAGCACAGGTCCCGAGCGACTCATGCTTTGAGGTGGCAGAAGAAAGCCCAAATGCGCAGAGTCCAAAGCGGACAGTGAGGAGTTCGAGCGCCCTACTCCACAGGCCAACAATGCCGAGTCCGACCTGGCAAGTGACTGCAGCAAAGGCAAGAAGCCTGTCTCTGAAGAATCCAAAGCAAGTGGGAAAGATCCGAGTCTGCAGCAAGAGAAGCTTGAAAAGCTGAAGCCAAGACAACCCATACTTTGCAGAGGCAGCAGAAGGCCTACATCCGAGAAGTCTAAGGCCAAAAAGCTGGAGCCCAAGCGCGCCCTGGAGAAAACAGACAATGGAAGCTCAAATCTGGAACTTCCTCGAAGGGGCGTGAACGAGTCCGTGCTTAAGAGGTCTGGCGCCAAAGGCGCTGGCCCTGGACGCGCCAGGCTTCTCGTCGATGGGTCTGGACCAAGGTGGAGGAGGTCCGGTACGGGCGCTGGCGGCTCAAAGCGTGAGTACGCGAAGGCAGGCAATGGGAAACCCATCCATGCAAGTGACCGCGGAGGTGGCACGGATCCTGAACGTAGGGGGTCAGGCACGGACACCGGGAACCCCGTGCAGCCTAAGCTAAAGACTGAGGAAGCTGCCTCAAGCCAAGCGGCTGATTGGAGAGATATAGTAGAGCCCGTGAACAAGGAGTCCAGTGCGAGGATGGCTGATTCTGAGCGGCATAAGCTGTGCACAGACACGAAGAAGTCCAAGTAGGCAAAGTCAGGGGCAAACGAAGAAGAACTCGAGCAAGCCACGCCTGGCAACGGGAAGGCCAGGTCCGGTCGTGCAAGGCTTCGGAGCGGCGCAAGTGGACCAACGCCAGCAGAATCGAGAGCCAAAGTCGGAGGCCCCATGCGGCCCAGCCCAAACACCAGTAGAGCAGGCCCCAAGCATCCCATGCTTCTCGAAGGAGGCGGCGACTCGGGTTCTGAAAGATCTGAGACCGACACGAACGAACCCAACGCCACGCGGCTAGAAGTTGAGGGTGATGAAGCCGTGTGGCCATGGCCCCGGGGCAGCGACAAGGATCCTGAGTGCAAAAAGTCCACAGCCAGTGAGAAGGGTCCGGACCAGGTCACGCCGAAGGCCAACAAGAAAGACCCTGGCCGCGCCATGTTCCGCAAAGGTAGAGGCAAACCGGGACTTTCATGGTCCAGGGCCGGCGGCAGGAAGTCAGAGCAGATCATGCCGGATGAGAATAAGTTGGGTCCTGGGCATGCCACACTGCGTGCCGACAAACTGAAACCCAAGTGAACGCTGTCCAGAAGTGAAGGCATCAATTCCACACGGCTCGAGCCCATAGTGAGCAGTGTGGGGTCAAATTGGGCGAGGTTTCTCGAAGACAAGGAAAACCCGGCATGCGCAAGGTCTGGCGCAGGAAGCACGAAATCAGGCCGAGAGAAGGATCTAAATGACATTGCGGAACCAATAACCACAGGGTCCAGCGCTAGCAATGAAGGTGCAGTGCATGTCGCGCCGCAGACGGAAGTCAACAGCTCCGAGCGGCAAGAGTCTCGCACTGGAATTCCCGGTCCGACCTGTACGCTGTCCAGGGTTGGCATCGTGGAGCCGTACCGCAGGCTTTGGAAGATGGACAGCGGCAGACCGAGGTAGAGGCAGCTTCGCATGAATGTTGCCGAGTCCAAAGCCACAAAGTCCAGGACAGACAGCGGCAGGTCGGGCCGAGAGACACCGTACACTGACGAAGGAGGCCCCGAGCAGAAAAAAGCCTTTGAGGGCATGGACGAGCCAAGGTGCGCAGAGTCCAGGAGCAGCGGTATGCTGCCCGGACACACCATTCCGTAGGCAGAGGGTGCAGAACCGGGTCATGCGGAACTTTGTGGGAAGGGCGTGCTACCTATATGAATGGAGTCCAGGACGGGCGGCGGGAAACCCAGTTGGCACATACCGAAAGCAGGAAGCGAAGGCCCAGTTCGAGCAGAGGCTCGGATCAACAAAAACGGTTCGATGCTGCCGGGATCCAAAACCGGAAGCAGCAACTCTGAGCAGGCTAGGCCGTAGGCCGACAGACTGGAACCAAGCTGAATGTGCGATTGGGGAGGCAGCAGGCTGCCCGGGTGTGCTAGGTCGGGTGTGGGCAGGGTGAGCTCCAAGCATGCGACGCCGTAAGCTGGCAGCGTGGGGCCCAAACAGAGGAGGCCACGCAAAAACAGAGCGAAGCCAGTTTCAGCATAGTCCGGCAGTGATAGGGGCAGCTCAAGGCAGCTCATCCCGTAGACGGGCAGGGCACTGCCTGAGCAGAAGAAGCCACGTGAGAACGGAAATGAACCCGTCATGGCAAGTTCCAAGGTTGACAGGGGGCTTTCTGTGCAGGTGATTCCGTAAGCTGACAACATAGGGTCAGGTCAAGCGAGTGCACGGGCCGAAAGTATCGAGCCAAGGTTTACGGAATCTGGGGCCGAGGTCGGCAGACCCATCCACGTCAAGCCATATGCAAGCATTGCAAGGTCCATGCGGCAGGATGTCTTCGATGGGGGAGAGAATTCGAGGCTGAGAAAGTCTGGGACAAAAGGGGATGGTCCGATGCGAGTCAGCCCGAAAACCGACAGAAAGGAGTCAGGTCTCATGAAGGTCCTCAGAAACATAGACGAGTCGGGGAGCACAAAGTCCAATACAAACAAACTGAGATCAGGCCTTGCCACACCCCAGGCCAAAGGCACGAAGCCCATGCAGAAGAAGCTGTGCAATGAGAGCGGAGGTTCGATAGCGACGCAGTCCGAAGCCAACAGTGTAAGACCGAGCCGCGCAAAACCGTAGGGCAAGATCGATGGGCCGCAGCGCGCGAAACTCCTGAGAAGCAGAGATGGGTCCGCATGGACGGAGTCCGATGGCAGCAGCAAGCTGTCCAACCTAGTTATGCCAGATGCGGAAGTAGGTGGGCCCAGTCAGAAGAGGCTTTGCAGAGACAGAATCAGGTCAGGATGCACGAGGTCTGGCACAGAAAGCGACAAGCCCGGCCAGGACATCCCAAAGGCCAGCAAGGTGCTTCCAAGGTAAGCAAAGTACCTCGTCAACGGGAAGGAGCCCGGGTGTATAGAATCCAGCACGAGCAGCAGCAGGCCCACCCAGGTCATGCCATATGCTGGCAACGCGGAGCCTGCTCGTAGAAAGGTGCGGGGCGGTGCTGAGAAGCCGAACCAGCCGAAGTCCAAGGCAGACAGTGAAGATCCGAGCCGCGTCATACCAAAGGCCAGCGAAGTCGAGCCGAGGCGCGCAACAGATCTGAGCAGCAGCGAGAGCCCGAAATGGCCGGAATCGGGGACCAGCATCGGCAACTCTGGTCGGGTGATGCCGTAAACTGGTGGCACAAGGCCAGGTCATGCAAAGCTTTGGGTCGACAGCCCAGAGCCTGCATGGATCAGATCAAGGATCAACGATGTAGACTCAAGGCGGGAGACACCATAAGCAGGCAAGACCAAATCTGCATGATGAAGGCTTCTCGATGGGGGCGGGAAGCCGATGAGCACGAAGTCTGAGGTTAAGAGGGGCGGACCTGAGCAAGCCATGCCAAAGGCAGGCAGCGTGCTGTCCATGTGGATCATGCTCCGAAGGAGCAGAGCTGGGTCCAAGTGCACAAGGTCGAGTGCCGAGAGCGATAGCCCCGTGTAAGCCATTCCGTAGGCCAGCAAAGGAGGCCCAAGCCGGCACAAGCTCCTCGAGGATGCCAAAGAGCCAGGCTGAACAGAGTCCGACACTGAAAGCAAGAACCCCAATCTTCCGATCCCGTAAGCCAATGAAGTGAAGCCTGTTCACAAGTAGCTGTGCAGCGGCAACAGGCTGCCTGGCATCATAAGGTCCAAGACCAACATGAGCAGGCCAGGTCGGCACATGCCGTAGACGGGCAAAGTCAAGCCGAAGTGGGCCAAGCTGCGCAAGGATGGAGCAAGACCGGTCTGAACGGAATCCAGCGCCAGTGAGGACAGCTCAGGCCAGTTGATGCCGAACGAAAACATCAAGAGGCCGATGCAGAGGGATGTCCGGGGCAGCGTTGGGGGTCCGAGGTGCGCACGATCAGGCGGAGGCAGCAAGGGGCCCATTCGGGTCACACCGTAGGTGAGCGACAGAAAGCCAAGGTGCAAAGATGCCTGCAGCAAGAGAGGCGGGCCAGTGCCTGCAAGGTCCAAAGCAGGCAGCAGCGAGCCCGGGCGAGTCATCCCAGATGCCAAGGTCGGGCTGCCTGATCAGAAGGAGCTCCTCAAGGGGAGGGGAGGCTCAAGGTGCAAAAAGTCCAGGGCGGGCAAGGGGAAGTCAGTTCGCGTCAGCCCAAATGCAGGTGAAGTGAAGCCAGTTCTGCAGAGAGACTGCAGAAGTGGCAGCGGGTCAATGTGCACAGGGTCCAACACAGAAAGCAAGAGTCCAGGTTTTGATAGACCGTAAGCTGGAAGGCTCAGTCCGGTGCGCATGGGAGTTCTTAAGAACAGGGATGGCCCTGCATTCACAGAGTCCAAAGCAAGCGGCAGGGATTCGAGCCTACTCATGCCCCAGGCAAGCAATGGCAAGCCCAGATGCGTAGATGTCCTCAGTAGGATGGAGAAGCCTGAATGAATAAAATCCAGGATCGACAAGGGCAGGCCTAACTTACAGAGTCCGTAGACAGGCAAGCTCAGATCTGAACGCACAGAGCTTCGTATGGACAGCAGCAAATCTGCCTGTGAAGAATCCAGCGTAAGCAAGCTAAGGCCTGACCGGGAAATGCCGTAAGCAAACACCAAGGACTCCAGATGAAGGAAGGAGCGAAGAAGCATCAATGGCCCAAGGTGAATGAAGTCAAGCGCAAGAAGAAAACTGCCCAGACATGTCAGGCCGTACACTGGAAGGGTCGACTCAGGCCGCAAGGGGCTTTGAAGCGACAATGAGGGTTCTATCTCAGCACAGTCAAGCACCGGCAGCAGCAAGCCTGACTGCCAGAGCCCATACGCGAGGAGCGACAAGCCAGCACACATGAAGCTCCGAATTGAAGGCATTGGACCAGGCATCGTGAGATCCAGGATGGGAAGAGGCAAGTCCAGGCGACTCAGGCCAAAAACGAAGGGAGTTGAACCCAGCTGGGCGAAGCCTCGCGCTGAAGTCGTTGGTTCTGAGGATGCAGAGTCCGGGAGCAAAGTGGACAAACCTGGCTGAGAGACCCCGTACACAGGAGTGACTGGCTCTGACTAGATAGATGATTGCAACAATGGCGGTGGGCCCAGGTGGAGGGAGTCCGGGGTCAGCATAGGCAAACCTGCCCGACAGAGGCCGTACAGGAGAAGAGTGGACCCCGGTCAGCAGAAGCCTCTCGGAGATATCGTGCTGCCCAGCTTGATGAGGTCCAGCGCTGGCAAGGGAAGCCCTGGCTGTGTCAGGCCATAGGCGAACAGAAGCAAACCAGGACACATCATGCTTTGCAGCAGTGATGGCAAGCCGGCCATGACAAGATCCGACACCAGCAAGAGCGGCCCCGATCGACCCAAGCCATAGGCTAGCAGCATGCTCCCAAGCCTCAAAAAGGTTCGCAGCGGCATCAGCGATCCCACGTGCACCAGGTCCAAGGTTGATGGTGTCAACTCAGGGCGGGAAAATCCATAGATTGAAGGAGAAGATCCCGGCCGCGCGTAGCTTCGAATAGGCAAGGTTAGTCCGATGTGAACGTAGTCCGGAGCGGATGACGGTGAGTCGAGCTTGACGAGGCCGTAGGCCAGTAGAGAAAGGCCGGTTTGACAGTAGCTGCGTGAGAGCAGAGAGCTCTCCAGATGCGCAGGATCCGGAGTAAAGATCGATGACTCAAGCCAGGTTATGCCGAAGGTCAACAAGAGAAACCCTGAGCACGCAAGGCTATGGAGTGGCAGCAGCAAGCCAGGATGCATGGAGTCAAGAACTGGCAAGCAGCTGTCTGCCCGAACCCTGCCTACCGCAAGCAACGAGCTACCGAAACACGCATAGCTTTGCAGAAGCGTTGCCAGGTCCAAGTTTGCGGAATCCGGCAGAAGTAAAGTGGAGCCCGAGCGTGCGACGCCGTAGACCAGCAAGGAGCTACCGGGTCGCATGAAAGCCCGCAGTGGTGTCACCGGCCCAGGATGCAGGAAGTCCAGAGCCAGAGACGGGCTGCCCGGTCTCACGACACCATACATGGAAGGTGACAACCCACATCATGCGAAGCTGCGGATGAGCAGCAAGCTTTCAATGTGCGCAGGGTCAAGCAGAAACGGAAAGAAGCCCGGCCTGAGCAGGCCGTAAACCAGCGAGGAAAGACCAGGCCATGCGAGGGTTTGAGGAGATGGCGACGGGTCCAGGTGCACAAGATCCAGTGCAAGCATGAGCGGGTCCATTCAGGATACGCCGTACATCAGGATGCTGCTTCCTGATCAGACGAGGGCTCTCAAAGAGGAAGGCAGTTCGAGCTGCGCAGGATCCAGCGCTGAAGGAGGGAAGCCTGATCTGACCAGACCAAAGACGGGCAAGGCCAGGTCTGTTCACAGGAAGGTCTGCGGCAACGTTAAGAAGCCCGTGCTGACGAAGTCCAAAACCAACAAAGGGCTGCCTGAGCACGACAACCCATAGGCAAGCATGAAAAGGCCCAGCCTCAGAGAAGTTTGAGGAGGCAGCGGGAAGCCGACAGAACAACAATCCGAGACGAAGAACGAAGATTCTGGTAGGGCCAGGCCATACGTGGATGTGGTAAAGTCTGGTCGCACGGGCCCCTGCAGAAGCAAAGGCGAGCTGAATTGACAGTGATCCGGCACAAACAAGGCAAGTCCGGGTCGCGTCATACCAGAAGCCGGTGAGAATGGCCCCAGTTGCAGGGAGCTTCTTGGAAGCAGGCTGGAGCCCACGGTCACAAAATCCGACAGAGGCAGGCTCAAACCCAAGCAAAGTATGCCGTAAGCCAGAAGGAACAAGCCCATGTGCAAAAGCGTCCGCGTAGGCATGAAGAAGCCTAAGGAGACAAGATCCAACGCTGGAGGCAAGGGCTCTGTCCAGGCCAGCCCATAAACTGGCACGGAGCTCCCTGTGCACGCAGGGCTTCGCAGGAGTGGCACAAGTCCAGTTTGCACAAAATCCGGCGTGGGCAGCAGTGGGCCAGGCTGGGCGACACCGTAGGTTGAAAGTGACAAGCCCGACCTCATAAAGGTTCGCGGTGGCATTAAAGGCCCCGAGGACAAGAAGTCAGGTGCTGGCATCGGCAGTCCCAAGCTTGACATGCCGTAGGTGGACATGAAGCTTCCTGCTTGAAGGAGCGACCTGAGCAGCGGCAACAGACCCAGGTGCACCATGTCCAAAAGCAGGAGGCTGGATCCCATTCGGGTCAGGCCGTAGGCGGAAGTTGCCGGTCCTGGGCGCACGTGGCCTTGCAGGAACGTGGCAAAGCCGGGATGGACCCAGTCCAGGGTTGGTGATGTCAAGCCGGGTCAGGTCAAGCCATATGCGGAAAGCGAGCTCTCTGAATAAGCGAAGCTCTTAATGGGTGGCGGAAGGCCCATCTGGATGGAATCCAGCACCGGCAGGCTTGAACCCGTGAGCGAGATGCCGTAGACAGGCAGGACGAGTCCCAGCCTCACGAGGCTGCGAATGAGCACGGGCAGGCCCATTGTCGTTAGATCCAAGGGTGAAGGTGGGAGCCCAGGCCTCATCAAGCCGTAAGTTGGCAGCAAACTGCCCACGTGACTATACGACTGCAAAGAAGTAACGGATCCGGGATGGATGAAGTCTGAAACAAGCGTTGTGCTGTCGGGTCTTGACAGCCCGTAGACTGACGAAGAAAAGCCCATTCGGACAAAGGCGCGCAGAAAAAGCAAGAAGTCTGAATGTATAAGATCCAAGGTCGGAAGTGAGAAGCCCAACCTGGACATGCCATAAGTTGAAGGCAAAGGGCCTGGGCGCGCATGGCTTTGAAGAGACAGCGCGCTGCCAAAGTTTGCAAATTGCAAGATAGAGAACCTGCCTCCATAGCAAATCTCGCCAATCAGCAAGATTGAAGGGTCAACATGCACAAACGATCGCAGAGATGACATCAAGCCCGTTGCTACAGAGTCCGGCGCTGATGTAAGGAATCCTGGCCTAGTCATGCCAAAAGCAGAAGGTGGGCTCTCCAATCTGGCAGGGCTCCTCATGAGAAGCGAGGGCCCTGCGTGCATGGAGTCCAAGACGAACAGAGTGCATTCAGCGCAGCACCCGCCGAGCGACGAAAGCAGGAACCCAAGACGAGAATAGCATCTCGGCAATGGGGCAAAGTCTGGATGCACAAAATCGAGAACTGGCGGCGACAGTTCAATCCAGGTCATGCCATAAGGTGACAAAGTGAAGCCCAGGCAAGCGGGGCCATGCAGGGACGGCGGAAAGCCTAAGTGGACGAAGTCAAGGACAGGCGAAGACAAGCCCATGCAGCTGACTCCATAAGCCGAGGGGCTTGGACCAAACTGAGCGAAGGCTTGCAACAGCAGGCTCAAGCCTAAGTGGAAAAGGTCAGGTGCTGGCGAGGCACTGTCCGCTCGGCATTGCCCAAAGAAGGATAGCACGCTGCCAGCATGGCACATATTCCGCACAGGCGGAGCAAGACCGGGGAGCACGAAATCCAGTGCTGGCAGTAGTGGCTCGGGGCAGGCAAAGCCATAAGCTGGCGCACTGGATTCAAGATACATGGAGCTTTGAAGCAACAAGCTGAAGCCGAAGCAAATAGAGTCTAAGGCCAACGTAGACAGTCCCGGCTTCGTCATTCCAGACACCGGAAGCGAGCTTCCCATCCGCATAGAAGTCCTCAAAGACATGGAGAATCCGGGGTGCACCGAATCAGGTGTTGATGAGGTCAAGTCCAGCCAATGCATGCCATATGCTGGAACTGACGGGCCGAATTAAACGGACGTTCGCGGGAGTACTGAAGGCCCCGAGTGGACGGAATCCAGAACCGGCAGGCTGAAGCCCAGGTTGCTGAGACCGTAGACCGGAATTAAGAACTCGGCGCACATGAAGCTCCGCAAGGACGGCGAGGAACCAAAATGGGAGAAGTCCGGTACAAGCGGGGAAGGTCCTGGCCTTGTGATTCCGAACACGAGTAGCAGCGAGCCAGGGCATGCAAATCCCTTTGAAGGCAGGAGGAAGTCCATATGAATGAAGTCCAGCATGGGAGACAAAGGGCCTGGTCGGGTCATTCCATAAGGTAGCAAGGTCAGGCCAAGCTGGATAAAGCTCCGCGTGGGTGAAAGTGGCCCTGTGTGAATGAAGTCCAGCATGAGCAACAGGAACTCCGAGCGACACATTCCGTACACAGACATAGGTGGCCCTGGGCAAAGCAAGCTTTGAGGTGGCAGGGGCAGCTCGAGCTGCGCAAGGTCCGAGGCTGGAGGCAAGGAGCCTGAACGAGCTATGCCGGAGGCCGGCGGAGTAAAGTCTGAATGTGCGAAGCTGCGTGCAGGTAGCGGCGGGCCGACCAGAATGAAGTCAAGGATTGGCAAAGAGAGGCCTAGCCATGTCACCCCAGAGGCTGACAGCGTTGGGCCTGGGCAGCTGAGACCATGCGAAAGCGGGCTCGGCTCAGTGTGGATGAAGTCCAGGGCAAGCAGCGGAAAGCCTGGCTGCATCATGCCGTAGGCAGATGGCAGGAACCCCAAGCACAAGTAAGAATGCAAAGGTGAGGACAGACCAGCGATTGCAAAGTCGAGCACCAACGGGGGCAAATCTAAGCAACTTGTCCCATAGGCTGGCGAAGGCTTGCCAGTGCGCATGAAGGAACGCAGAAACAACAAGAGGTCGAAGTGGGCACGGTCTGGTGCAGAGGGTGGCAGGTCAAGGCGAGCAATGCCATACGCAAGCATGGAGCTCCCGGGTTGTACAAAGGCTCGGGGAAATGTGGAGAGCTCTAAGTTCACGAGGTCCAATGGTGGTATTGGCAGGCCTGAGCAGCACATGCCGAAGGCGGACAACATGAGTTCTGTGCAGGCAAGGGTCCTTACCAGAATCAAGCTGCCAATGTGAACAAAGTCTAGAGTGGATGAGGAACTATCCAGCCTGGACATGCCAAAAGCCAACATTGGAAAGCCTGTTCACAAAAAGGTTTGTGACAACGAGCTGGAACCTGGGTGGGCAAGGTCCGGAACAAGCAGAGGCAGTCCAAGCTGAGCCATTCCATAAGCCAGCGTTGCAAGTCCCGAGTGCATATGGGTTCTGAGAGGCAAGCTGAAACCTAAGTTCAGAAGGTCTGGAGCAAAAAGCAGCAGACCAGGTCTACAAACGCCAGAGGCCAATGGGGTCGATCCCACTCGTGCAAGCGTCCGAGGCAAAAGTGACAACTCAATATGCACAGGATCCAGGGCGGACAGCAAGAGTCCAGGAAAGCTCATGCCAAAGGCCGACAAAGCGCTTCCAGGTCACATGTAGCTTCGCAGGAGCAGAGAAAAGCCCAAGTTTGCGTGGTCAGGGGGAAGCAGCAAACTGTCCGATCGGCAAAGGCCGTACACAAGTGGAGCAAGTCCCAGGCGAGAGGGCGCTTGAGTTGATGGCAATGGCTCCGCGTGGGCTGGGTCTGGCATGGACGTTGACGGGCCTGGCCGCACGATTCCATAGACCAGCAAAAAGCTACCAATGCACAGGAGGGTGCGCGGCGGAAGCAAGGAGTCTGAGTGGGCGAAGTCCAACACTGGCAAAGGGGAGTCGATCCAAGCCAATCCAGAGACAAGGAGTGGGCTTCCGGCTCTGCAGAGGGCATGCAGCAGCAGAACAAAGTCCATCTTCACGAGGTCTAGCACAAGCGGCAGGAGCTCAAGCTGAGAGATGCCATAAGCCGGCGAGGTCAAGCCCATTCGACAAGGGGATTGCGGGGATGAGGTTAAACCAAGCTGAACAGGGTCCGAAGCAAACAAGAGCAAGTCCGGCCGTGATATGCCAGAGACCAACGAGGTCAAGCCTGGCTGTGCAAAGCCGCGAACTAGCAACAGCAGCGCAGGATGGATGAAGTCCAGCACTGGAGGGAAGAATCCCGGCTTTGTCAGGCCATATGCTGGCAGAAACAGCTCAAGTTGCAAGAAGCTCCGCAGGAGTGTCAACGACCCCATCTGACAGAAATCAGGCATGGATGCAAGAAGGTCTGGGCTCGTGATGCCGTACACGGAGCACGAGCTGTCAGAGCATATGAAGCTCTGCAGGAAAGTTGAAAATCCGGGGTGTCCGAGATCCAGGACCGAAGTTAGAAACTCTGGGCGCGAAATTCCAGAGACCAATAGCATAGGATCAGGGTGTGCAGGTGACCTGAGGGGCAAGTTCGGGCCTGGAGAGATGAAGTCCAAGAGAGGCAGCAATGAGCCGAGTCTGCATAAGCCATAGACAAGTGGGATGCTTTCGGTGCACATAAACGCCTGCACAGGAAGAGCAAAGCCAGGGCTGATCGTGTCTGGCAAGGGCGGAGGCGATCCCAAGCAGCATAACCCGAATGCGGGCGAAAGAAGGCCCAGCCACACGAAGCTTCGCGAAGATGCCGGAAATCCCATGCAGGCAGCATCCAAGACAGGGAGAGTCAGGCCAGGCCGGACGATTCCATATGCTGGCATCACAAATCCCATGCGCATGAAGTGATGCAAAGGGGCGGATGAGCCTGAAGACAAAAAGTCCGAAACAGGCAACGAACTCCCCGTCCAACTCAGACCAAAGGCCAACATAGATAAGCCCAGGTGGAAGGACGTTTGAAGGGAGAGTGGCAGCCCGATGTGGACAAAATCCGGCACTGGTGGAGGTGAGCCTGGATTCGACAACCCGTAAGTTGATGAAAAAGATCCAAGCCTCAAGAACGCCCGAAGCAGCAGAAAAAGGCCCAGATGTGCAAGGTCCGATGCAAGCAGCGAGGGCTCTGGGCAAGTAACTCCGTAGACAGATGGTGGCAAGTCCAAGTGTGCGAGGCCCCGCAAGCTCAAGGATGACTCGGAGTGCCCGGAGTCCAGGGCAAACAGAAAGGAGCCTGGACGAGTGACTCCGTAGATGGAAGGGGGCGGCCCTAAGTGCAAGAAGCTACGTGCGGGCGTGGAGAGTCCCAGGCTGAAGGCATCCAGCGGCAACGGCAAACTTTCTGGCCACACGATGCCGTAGACTGGCGTCAGGCTCCCTGAGCGCAGGAAGCCACGAGGGGGCATCAAAGGTCCCAGCTGAACAGAGTCCGGTACGAAAAGCGAGGGCTCCAAGCGGGCCACGCCAGATGCTGGTGGAATGGAGTCCAGCTGCAACAAGGAGTGCAGGAAGAGGGAGGGCCCGGGATGCACGAGATCCGGCGCTAGAAGGCTTGGATCAGTTCGGGCAACCCCACACACAAGCAGCAGACTGCCGAGGCGAAAGAAGGCGTGTACTAGCAAGGACAACTCTGGGTGCAAGAAATCCAAGGCAAGCAGTGGAGGGTCCATGCACGACAGGCCGTAAGCGGACGGGACAGGACCAGGGCAACAAGGCGTTTGCAGCAGCGTTAGCAAGTCAATATGCACAGAGTCTGTGGCCAGCAAGGGGAAGCCCAAGCAGCACATGCCGGAGACCAAAAGCAGGAGCTCAGGTCGAAAGAGGCTCCTTAAGGGTGAGGAGCTACCAGGATGCATGCGATCCGACACCAAAGGAGTGAAGCCCAGCCAAGCCAAGCCGTAAGCCGACGAAGAAGGTCCTGTTTGGGCAAGGCCGTGCAGAAGCATCAGGAGTCCCAGTTGGAGGGAGTCGAGCACAAAAGGTGGCGATCCCAACTGACTCACGCCAAAGGTGGAGAGGGACAGCTCCATGCAGATGAGGCCTTGCAGGAGCAAGAGCAGGCCAGGCTGCACAAGGTCCAACGCCGGCAACAGAAATCCCAGCCAAGACATCCCGAAGGTTGATGGTGTGCTGCCGGTCCGAAGAAAGGTTTGCAAGGGCAGAAGAAAGTCGGGGTGCACACGGTCCAGTATCAGGGGCATCAAACCCAGTCTATACATGCCATAAAGCGGCGTTGAAGGACCGAGCCACAAGAGACTCTGCAAGGGCATGGCCGGCTCGGGGTGCACGAAGTCTGGCAGTGGCACCGGTAGGCCCGGCCAGCTGAAGCCGTAGGCCAAGAGGGGGCTACCAAGCCTTAGAAGGCCCTTCAGGGGCATCGGACTGCCAAAGTGGATAAAGTCCAAGACCAAGGTTGGAAAGCCAAGCCTGGTCAGACCAGAGGCCGACGGAACCGAGCCCAAGCACACCAGGCCACGCGGCAAAAACGGGGAGCCCAAATTTGCAAAGTCCAGCGCTGGAGTCGGAGGTCCGAGCTTTGCGACGCCGGAGGCTAAAGTCGAGGAGCCGAGGCAGCAGAAGCTTTGTAAAGAGGAGGAAAAGCCCGGAGCCGCAGAGTCCAATGTGGACAAGAAAGGACCGGGCCTTGCAATGCCATAGGCGGACAAGGAGAACTCGGGCCTCACAAAAGAACGCGGCAGCAGGGTGGACCCCACGTGAGTAAAGTCCAGGAGTGGCGATGAAGGGCCAAGCTGTGAGAAGCCGTAGACGGGCGGCGGCAGGCCTGAACACAGAAAGGATCTCAGTGACAGCAGAGAGTCCATGTTAGCATAGTCCAGGGTGAGCAGTGGCAGCCCGAGTCAGCTCACGCCATAGATCAGCGGAGAGCTGCCCATGCAAGCATGGCTTTGAAGCGGGGGCGTGGGCTCGATATGAACAAGGTCGAGCACAGGGAGAGGCAAGTCAAGCTGTGTGCAGCCGTAGGCCAATGAAGTCAGGCCAGGCCGAAGATGGCTCTGGAGAAAAGACGGCAGATCCAGGTGCACAGAGTCCGACACAGAAGGCAGTGGGCCTATTCGTGCTGTTCCCCACGCAGGCAGGAGCAACCCGAGCCACACAAAGCCCTGCAAGGACAGAAGCAGGTCAGTTCCCACAAGGTCAGGTGTTGGAGGCAAGGAGCCAGTGCACGCCAGCCCATAGGGCAACAAGGACAAACCCATGTGGACAAAGCTTCGCATGGGAGGAGTTGAGCCAAGGTGAGCGAAATCTGGGATCAACAGTGTGAAACCAGGCCATGCCAGGCCGTACACGGAGAGGCTCTTGCCAGTTCAACAGAAACCCCTTGCCAACAAAAACGAGCCCATGTTCACAAGGTCCAGTGCGAGTAGCCTGTCGCCGAGGTGTGCAAGACCGTAGGGAAGCATCTGGTTGCCCAAGCGTGCAAAGCTTTGCGAGGACATCGAGGAGCCTGGGCGGATGAGGTCCAAGGCCAAGGGAGAGAAGCCAGGCCGCGTCACCCCATAGGCAAGCAACAGAGGGTCAAGATGCATGAGCCCTCTGGGAGACGTTGCTGAGCCAATGTTCAGGTAATCAAGGGTCGGCGGGCTAAAGCCCAGTTTGGACAAGCCATAAACTGAAGGTGATAAGCCCATTCTCACAAAACTCCTCAGCAAAGGCACGGGGCCGAAGCTAATGAAGTCCAAGGCAGACATGGAAGGCTCAAGGAGACTGACGCCCACAACAAATAACAAAAAGCCCGGTCTCATGAACGAGTGCAGTGGCAGCAGGGATCCAGCCTGGGCAAAGTCAGGTGATGGCGGTGGCGAGTCGAGATGCACGCAGCCATAAGCCAGAGGCAAAGGGTCAAGTCACAAGAGGCTGCGCAACAGCATCGTAAAACCGGAGTGGGCGGAGTCCGGAGTTGGCAGCGAGGGACCCAGGCAGGTCATGCCCCATGCAGATGAAGGAGGATCTGACCTCGCGAGGCTTTGCACAAGAAAGGGTGGCTCCGGCTGCGCGAAGTCCGGGAGCAAAAGTAGCGGTCCGAGGCGGGACATTCCGAAAGCCAAGAGTGAAGAGCCCAAGCGCAGGAGGCTTTGTAAGAGCAGCAGGCTGCCTAAATGAACAAAGTCTAGGAGAAGTGACAAGCTGTCAAGCTGCACCATGCCGAAGAGAAGAAGCGAGCTGCCGAGCTGCAGGCAGCTGCGAAGCGGCGGAGGTGGACCTGCATTTATAAGGTCCAACACAAGTAGTGGGAGCTCCAAGCAGCTGACACCCCACAGAGACGTCAAAGAGTCAAGGCGTGTGAAACTGTGTGTTGGCAGGGACAATCCAACGTTAATGTGGTCCAGGGTTGGCATCAACAGGCCCAGGGTCATGAGCCCGTAAGCAAGAAGCGCCGAGCCCGGACGCATGAAGCTTCTCAGGGGCAACAGCAAGTCTGCATTTCCGAAGTCCAAAGGTGGCGGCATGGAGCCGAGCCACATAATGCCCCAAGCAAGCATCAGAAGCCCCGGACGTACGGAACTTCGAGTCGAAGTCGGGGGGTCAAGGTTCACAGGGTCCAGAACCGACAGGGTCAGCTCCGAGCGCGCAAGCCCGTACGCCGAGCATGAAGGCCCCAGCTGAAGGAGGGTTCTCAGAAGTGCAAAGAAACCAAACTGAACATAATCTAAGGCCGAGGGAGGGAAGCCCGGTCTGCAAACACCATAGGCAGACGTGGCAGATCCGGGGCACAAAAGGCTCCTGAGGGGCAACAGCAGTCCTGGTTGCACAGAATCAGGCACCAAGGGAGAAGACTCAGGACAGCCGATTCCGTAAGCCGGAGGCAAACTCCCCGGCCGTGCGAAGCCTCGGATAGACACCAACGAGGCCGTGACAGCACTGCCTCGAACAGAAAGTAAGAAGCCCAGAATCGTCTCCTTCCATGCCAAAAGCGTGCTTCCAGGTCTCGTAAGCCCTTGCAAGGGGGAAGTCAAGCCCAAACTGACAGGGTCAAGCACAGACGGAAAGAGTCCCAGCTGCGACATTCCGTAGGCAGACATGGCAAGTCCCAAGTAAATGTGGCTTCGCGAGGATGGGGTGCTTCCTAGACTGATGGAGTCAAGCACTGGCAGCAAGCTGCCCAGCCGAACCATGCCGTAGGCAAGGAGCGCACTGCCACAATGAATGAAGGAACGGAGCGGCGGGGACAAGCCGAGATGCGCAAGGTCCAGGGGAAGCATCGGCGGCTCCAAGCGCGCCATGCCAGACACCGGCGTCAGAAATCCTAACCAGACGGAGCCATGCAGAGAAGCCATGAAGCCCACGTTAAAGAAGTCAAGGACCGACAGTGGGAGGTCTAAGCAGGTCACGCCGAAAGTCAAAAGGGAAAAGCCGAGTTAGGCAAAGCTCCTGGGAGGCAAAGACAAGCTCACGGAGACAAGATCAGGAATCGACGGCATCGGCCCAAACCGGGACAGGCCATACACGAGCAGCGCAGGATCAAGTCTCAAGTAGCTCCGGAGCAAGACGCTGCTCCCTGGGTGGATGAGATCCAGCACCAGAAGCATGGACTCGGGTCAAGCCACTCCAGATGATGACGTCAAGCTGTCTGACCAGCCAAGAGTCTGCAGAGACAAAATGAGGCCTGGGTGCAAGAAGTCCAGGATCAGCAAAGGCAGGCCCGAGCGCGACATGCCGTAGAGCGGCGGAGGAGGTCCGATCCAGAAGTGCCCGTGCAAGAGCGGCAGGAGCCCCGAGTGGCAAAAGTCCAAGACCAAGGGCGGCTCGTCGGTTCGTGTGATGCCAGAGGCAGGCAAAACGGGCCCCAACCGACTGTGGCCACGGAGAGGCATCGTAGAGCCCATGTGGACAAAGTCCAGAGCTGAAGCTGATGGCCCCAGACGCGAAATTCCGTACACTGGCGCCAAAGACCCGAGGCAGCTGAGGCTGTGTGTGGGCAGAGATGGGTCCGTATGCACAAAGTCAAGGACTAGCAGGAGTAAGCCCGAGCAGGAAACTCCATAAGCGAACGGGGAACTGCCAAGGCACGCAACGCCCCTTGGCGATGAGGGCAAGCCCAGATGCAGAGAGTCCAGCACAAAGAATGGGCTTTCCATCCATGTCATGCCATAAAGCAAGGTCGTGAAGCCCGGACACGCATGGCCTCGGGGCAATAAAGAGCTTCCAAAAGTGCAGGGGTCCAGAATTGGAAGGAAGAGGTCAGCACAAAACATTCCGTATGGCAGCGTGGGACTGTCTGAGTAAGCGGAGCTCCGGGGCAGCAACGAAAAGTCCGTGTGCACAAAGTCTGGTGCAGACAGCAGCAGATCAGGACACGATAGGCCATAAGGCAGCAAACTCGAGTCTGGGCATGTCGGGCCCCGCAAGAGAAGGGACGGCCCTGAATGCAAGGAGTCAGGCACTGATGAAGACAGGTCGAGCCACACGACCCCAAAGGCAAGCATCGAGGAGCCCATGCAGATGAAAGAGTGGAGGGGCATCGGAAAGCCAAGGTTCACCAGGTCCAGGACTGGCAAGGGTAGCCCTGTCTGCGTAACGCCGTAGGCCAGCAAGGGAAGCTCCGAGCGCGCGAGTGACCTCGGTGGTAAGAGCAAACCCATGTGCACAAAGTCAGGCGCGGAGATCGAGAAGCCTGGCCTAGAAACTCCATAGACCGGCATCAAGAAACCCAAGCGTGCAAGACTTCGGAGCAACGGGCTGCTGCCCATGAGAACAGGATCCAGCACCAGCAAAGGTGGTCCGAGGCACGTGAAGCCAAAGACTGGAACCGATAGGCCAAGACGGGCAGGGCCTCGAAGGAGCAGCATGAGGCCCAAGTTCATGCAGTCAAGAGTTGACGTCGTGCTGCCGAAGCGAAAGCACTTGGAGACGGAAGTCGCTGGGTCCGCACAGAGGAAGGACCGCAAGAACAGGAAGCTGCCAATTCCAGCAGGGTCAAGAGGCGGCAAGAAGAGGTCCGGTCGGACCATTCCGTAAGCTGGGAGCGATGGGCCGAAGCAAGCAGGGCTCTGCGGAGGCAACAGGCTGTCAAGGTGGATGGAGTCTAAGGCCGGCATGGATGGACCAAGACCGGAGAAGCCATAGGCGAAGGTGGAGAAGCCCATTCAGCAAGGGCTTTGTGGCGGCATGGTGCTGCCAGTGGTCACAAAGTCCAGAAGTGGTATAGCAAAGCCTGGCCTGACCATGCTGTAAGCCGACAGCAACTCACCCAACCGAGCAAAGCAAGTGAGAAAGAGAGAGCTTCCGGGATGAACAAAGTCAGAGGCAAGCAGGGGTGGGCCCAAGCAAGTCATGCCAAAAGCAGGCAGCATCAGGTCAGGCTTGATGCAGCTGTGCGGCGGCGTCGAAGGCTCCAGCTGAACAAAATCCGGCACCGACATGCTGGGACCCAAGCAAGTCATGCCAAAGGCGGAAAGCAACAAGTCCGTGCAGCATGGGCTCTGCGGGGAAAGCAGCGGTCCTGAGTGCAAGAAGTCCGACACGGGGAGAGGCAGCTCTGGTCAGGTACAACCGGACACTGACATGGACAGGCCCGGACGACATGAGCTGTGTAGGGATGGCGGGAATCCCAAATGGAAGGAATCCGATGCCGAAAGCGATGGATCTAAGCAGGTCATACCAGACGCTGATAGCAAGAAGCCAGATCAGGCGAGACCTTGGAGCAAAGGCAGCGGCCCAACGTTAACGTGATCCAAAAGCAGTAGTGAAAGGTCAGGCCTGCTTAGGCCATAAGCCGACACGAAGGACCCCGGACACAAGAGAGTTTTGGGTGGAGTGGACGAGCCCAGGTGCAAGTGGTCCAGAATCAGCATTGAGGGGCCTGACCAGGTCAGACCGTAAGCTGGCATCGAAGGCTCCATGCATAAGTGGCTGTGCGGAGACATGCTCAGGTCCAGATGGATGAAGTCAGGCAAGAGTGGAAGAGAGCCCAGGCGCGTCATGCCAAAGGCAGACGATAGCAGCCCTGATTGGGCAAGCCCCCTCAGCGGCAAGAGCAGGCCCAGGCTAATGAGGTCCAACATTAGCAAAAAGGGACCAGGCCTCACGATCCCATAGGCAAGCGTTGAGAGGTCGAAACATGCAAGTGCCCGGAGCGGCAAGGAGAAATCCAGGTGTGCGGGGTCAGGGGCTGGCAGCAGAAACCCCAAGCGCACCATCCCGTACACGGAAGGTGAGCTCTCTGGCTAAGCAGAGGAGTGCAGCAGAGAGGAGGAGCCAAAGGTTGCAGGGTCCGATGCCAGCAGAGGCAGCCCGAGAAGAGAGCAGCCGGAAGCAAGCAAGAAAGAGCCTGTGCAAGCAGACGCTCGAAGCGAAGTCAAACTGCCGGAGGACACGTGGTCTAGAACAAACAAGGAAAGGTCCAGCCTTGAACAGCCATAGACGAGAAGTGAAAGTCCTGGCCACACAAGGCCTTTGACCAACAGCAGCAAGCCGATGTGAACAAAGTCCAGGGCCAGGGACGAAGGATCGGGGCGAGAAAGGCCGTATGCCAGAAGTGCGCTTCCCGTTCAGCAGAAAGCTTTCAAAAACATTGAGCTGCCAGAGCTGATAAAGTCCAGAACCAACAAGAAACTTTCGAGCTGGGTCAGGCCATACGCCGGGAGAGACGGATCTGAACACGCGGGGCTCCGGAGTGGTGTCGTCAGGCCCAGGTTCACATGGTCCAAAACCAAAGGCGAGAAATCGAGACAGGACAGGCCGTACACAAACAGAGCACTTCCGATTCACACGTGGCTGCGTGACAGCGCCGCCGAGCCAGCAGCACAGAAGTCAAGCAGGAAAAGCGAAGATTCAGGGCATGACATGCCGTATATCAGCACGGTGGGCTCTGAGCGCGCAAGGCTCCTCAAAGGCAGCATGGAACCTATCAAGACGGAGTCCGAGGTAAGCATGGGAAGGCCGGGGCAAGAGATCCCATAGACCGGCGCACTCGAACCGATACGCACAAGGCCCTTCAAGAATGGTGCGCTCCCGAATGTCACATGGTCCGACACAAACAAGGGTGAGTCCAGTCGACTCACGCCGTAAAGGAGCAGAATGGGTTCTGAGCACATGAAGCCATGCAGCAAGGACGAGCTGTCAATAGTCACAGGATCAAGGGCAAACAACAAAAACGCCGGCCTTGCTGTGCCGTACACGAAGAGAGTGAGGCCTAGCCAGGCGAAGCTTTGCAAAGGCGCTGAAGGGCCCATGTGCACGAAGTCCAATGCAAACAACAAGCTTTCCAAGCAACTGAAGCCATAAGTAGGGGCCGAGAAGCCCATCCTCGTGCAACTTCGCAGCAGTGCTGGTGAGCCGACCGTTATGTGGTCGAGAGCTGGCATCGGAGGGCCCGATCAAACAATGCCAAACATGGGTGCCAAAGGCTCCGATCAAGCGAGGCTACGCAAGGGCAGCACGCTCCCAGGGTGAATGAAGTCTGGTACTGAACAGCTCGGACCGAGTCGGAAGCTTCCGTACACCGGCGTGGCGCTGCCAGGCTGCGCAGGTGCTCGCGAAGGCATGGTGGGGTCTGGAACCACGTGGTCCAGCACGGATGGTGGTGGGCCGGTTTTGCTGATTCCATAGAGAAGAGTCAACGGGCCGGGACAAGCAAAGCTTTGAAGGAGCAGCAGAAGGTCGATCTGTACAAAGTCCAAGGTCAAAGTCGATGGGTCCAAACGGGCCAAGCCGTAGGCAGATGGGGGGCTTCCTAACCTTGCAAAGCTTCGAAGTGGCGTCGCCGATGCAGAACGGCAGCTGTCAAAGGCCAGGGGTATGAGGCCAAAGCAAACGTAAGAACGTGCAAGCAACAGTGAACCTGGTGAGACATAATCCAGCACCAACAGTGGGAAATCTGGTCAAGCCAGCCCATATGCAGACGTGAGTGAGCCTAAACAGCCAGGAGTTCGAAGGGATATTGGCAGGCCCAGGTGTAGAAGGTCCGGAGTGGACAGCAAGAAGCCCAGCCACGTCATGCCATAAGTTGGGAGAGCTGGACCAAGGCAAGCGAAGCTGCTTGTGGGCATGAAGCTTTCGAAGTGAACAAGATTCAGCACGGACGTCACGCTGTCAAGGCGCACAAGCCCATAGGCAGGCATGGCTGGGCCGTATCATGACAAGCCACGCGAGAGTGTGGCCGAGCCCAATGTCACGAAGTCGGGAGCGAACAGCGCGGACTCCAACCATGCCATGCCATAAGGAGGCGACAAGAAGTCCGCTCTCGAGGAGGTTCGCAGGGACAGGAATGATCCCGGATGCAAGTAGTCTGAGGCCGAAAGAGAGGACCCAAGTCAGGCCATTCCGTAGGCTGACAAAGGAAAACCCGGCCGTGAGAGACTGTGCAGTAACAGAGCGGAGCCAAGAGTCACATGGTCGAGCGCAAGCAAGAAGGAGTCTAAGCGAGCCATGGAGTATGCCAACAACACAGACCCAAGCTGGGCGAAGCTCCTCAAGAACATCGTCAAGCCAACATGAATAAGGTCCAAAGCAAGCAACATCAGCTCAAGACGTGTAGCCCCATACGTGGGCAATGGCAATTCCGGCCGTGCATAGCTGCGTGACGGAAGCAAGGATCCCATGTGCAAGAAATCCAAGGTTGGAAGCAAGAATCCCAATCACTGCATGCCATAGGCAAGCAGCGAAGACCCCAAATATCCAAAGCCGCGGAGCGAGGCCGGTGAAGCCATGTGCACATAGTCCAAGGCTGGCATCATCAGCCCTGAGCAAGACAACCCAAAGACGGAAGTAAAGAATTCCATGCAGCCCATGCCATGCAGTAGCAAGAAGCTGCCAGAAGTCACGTGGTCCGGCATGGGCGGCAAGGACCCCAAACAAACCGTCCCGTAAGTCGAAAGTGCCAGGCCAAGGCACGCAAACTGCCTCAAGGATGGTGCGCTGCCCAATGACACAAGATCCAGAGCAAGCAAGAAAAGCCCAAGTCTCGCCACGCCGAACGCCAGCGAGATTGGCCCGATGCATACAAAAGTTCTTGGAAACATAAGTGGTCCAAGGCTCACAAAATCCAAGATTGGCGGCAAAGGCTCGGGTCGGCCTACTCCATACACAAGCATCACAAGCTCAAACCGAACAAGCCCATGCAACAGCAAAGGTAGGTCAGATTGGATGTGATCCAAAGCTGGCAAAGGAAGGTCTGGCTGCGTGGTGCCATAGACCAGCGTAGCAGATCCCAGGCGCACGTAAGAACGCAACAGTACGGCCGAGCCGGGGGTCACGTGATCTGGCACTGACAAGCTGAAGCCCAGCCGGATGTTCGCATAAGCCAGCATCAAGCTGCCTGGGCGCACAAAGCTTTGAGGGGGCAGCAGAAGGCCTGAGTTCACAGAGTCCGATACCAGCATCAGGGATCCAAGCCTTGTCAACCCAGATACAAAGAGTGGGAATTCGATCTTCACGAGGCTGTGGAGAGGCGCTGGGCTACCAGAGCTCATCCAATCCAGCACAGGAGGCATCAGTCCTGAGCGCATCGCCCCGTAAAGTGGTGGAGGCAGCCCAAGTCGCCCGCAAGATCTGAGCAAGGCTGGCAATTCTAATGTAATGAGGTCCGAGGCTGGCAGGGTCGGATCAAGCCTAGCAATCCCATACACGAAAGGCGCGCTTCCGCATCACACGTAGCTCTTTGGAGATGGGGCAGGATCAGGGTGTAGGGAATCCAGCACCAGCAAAGGCAATCCAAGACGGCTCATGCCAAAGGCCAACAGAGGCAAATCAACGCACAAGAAGCCATGCGAGGAAAGCATAAACCCCATGTTTCCATGGTCTGATGACAGCGGAAGCAAGCCTGGTCATGACACACCGTATGCTGGCATAACACTGCCGAGCTGAACGTGGCCTTGAAGCAACAAGGAAAAGTCCATCTGGGTAAGATCTGGAGCTAACGGCAGAGAACCCGGTCAGGCGACGCCATACGCTGGCAACATGCTACCAGTTTGTGTGGGGCCACGCAAAAGGAGCGATGAGCCAGGAGTCACGGACTGCGGTACAGGAAGTGACGGCCCGAGCCAAGCGACGCCATAGACGAGCAGCACACTCCCTGACCAAGCGTGGCTTTGCATGGGTGGTGTTGAACCTGGGACGACCATGTCGGGAGCAAGCAGTGAAGGCCCCAGACATGCCATTCCGTAGAGGAAAAGCGACAGCTCCAAGCAGGCCATGCTGCGCAGCAGCAGGAACGAGGCGAGGCTCACAAGGTCCGGCGCTGGCATCGAGAATCCGAGCCGTGCCAGGCCATAAGTCGAGGCTGAGGATCCAGGCCAGGCAAAGCTCTGGGGCAGCAACGTGGGCTCAGTTTGTATGGAGTCAGGGGCTGGCAGGGTCAGGTCAAGTCTAGACATGCCGGAGAGCAGCGCGCTGGAGCCGATGTGGCAGGGACCTCGGGGAGGCATTGTGAGCCCCGAGTGAATGTAGTCCAACACTGGCAATAACGACTCCAATCGCGACATGCCAGAAGCCAAGGGTGTGGAGCCTAAGCACAGAGATCCACGCAAGGGCATCATCAAGTCCGAATGCACGGAGTCCAGCGCCAAGAGCGTGAGGCCCAGTCAAGCCATGCCATAGGCGAATGTCATGGGGCCAACATGCAAGAGCGTGCGCAGAAGCATCAGGAAGCCCAGCTGCAGTATGTCAGGAACTGGCAAGAAGGAGTCTGGACATGTCAGCCCATAAACCAACAAAGAGAACTCAAGTTGAACGAAGCTCCTGGGAGGCAAGGTGGGTTCAGCGTGGATGCGGTCCAGTGCTGGCAGCATGGAGCCCAGCCTGCAGACACCATAGACGGGTATGACAAGGCCAGGTCAGGTGGGCCCCTGCAAAAGCAGCGTACTACCTGCAAAGCAGCTGTCAAGGATGAACAGAAGGCTCCCGTAGCGTGTCATGCCGGAGGCTGGGGTGGCCAACCCAAGACAGACGCGGCTTCGAGGAGACGAAGAAGAATCCGTGTTGATGTGGTCGAGGACAAGTATGGAGAGGCCCAAGCGCGTCATGCCGAACGCCGGCGAAGCGAAGCCGATTCACAGAAGGCTTCTCAAGAACAGAGGCGGCTCCATCATCGCAAAGTCAATCAAGAATGGTGAAGCGCCAGATCGCGTTGCTCCGAAGGTCGAGGAGGTGGAGTCCATCTGGCACAGGCTGCGCATAGGCATCGAGGGGTCTAAGTGCAGCAAGTCCAGGAGAGGCAAAAGACTACCAAAGCGAGCTCGTCCAACGGGTGAGAAGGTGAAACCTGCCCTGGTAAAACCTCGAGCAGACATGGACGGTGCCGTGAGGGCGTAATCCAATGCAGGCATAAGCAAACCGAATCACGACATGCCACACACAGACAGCATGAAGCCCACCCGGCAGTGGCTACGGATGGAGGATGTCAGCTCTAGGTGAAAGAAGTCTGAGGCCAACAGAAAGGATCCTGAACAGGCCATGCCATAAGCAAACGTTGGCAAACCGAAGCAAGACCACGCTCGCAGCAAAAGTGTGAGCCCGGGATGCAAGTAGTCTGGTGCTGATAAGAATGGGTCAAGCCGGCACATGCCATAAGCTGACAACAAGGAATCCAGGCAAGCAAAGCCACGCAAGAGCAGCAAAACCTCTGCTTGGATGAAGTCAAGTGGAAGCATTGCGGAGCCGAGCCGCAGCAAACCGTACACAAGCGAGAGTGACCCGAAACAAGAGCACGTCTGCACCAGCATCGCTGAGCCCGCGTGTACACAATCTAGAACAAGCATGCCAAAGCCCAGGCAGCTCAAGCCGAACGTAGAGGGCAATGAACCTGTGCACGCGGGGCTCCGCGAGGGAAGCAAGCTACCAAGCGCGCAAAGGTCAAGAACAGGCATGACTGGGCCAAAACAAACAAGTCCGTAGGCCAGCGATGAACTTCCGAGCCGTGAAAAGCTCTGTACGCTAATCGCGCTGCCGGATTCGGCCTTGTCACGCGCAGGGAGGCAGCTGCCCATCCTCACCTCAGAGAAGACTAGCAATGAGGAGCCCAGTTGTTGGAGGCCTCTCAACAGCATGGCAAGGCCCATGTGAACAAAGTCCAAGGCAGGCAACAAGAAGTCCAAAGTCACCATGCCGTAGGCGAACAAGGCCGAACCAAGTCAGACCAGATTGTGCAACGGAACAAGCGACCCGAAGGTAGCATAATCAGGAAGCGAAAGGGAAGGACCTAGGCAGACTACACCATAAAGAAACACTGCAGAGCCTGCTCTCGAGAAGCCTCGCAAGGGCATGGGGCTGCCAGGTGTCACGGAATCTGGGGCGGGCAAGGACAAGCTCAGCCAAGCCATGCCATAAGCTAGCAGCAGCGGCCCGGAGCATGCAAAGGATTGAATTGGTGGAGTTGGGCCTGGATGAACGAAATCTGAGGTTGGCATGGAAGATCCAAGCCATGCCATGCCGTAGGTCAAAGGTGCACTGCCCACCCTGGAGAAGCTGCACAAAGAGAAGGAAGGTCCCAACTGGACAAAATCCGGGGCGAAAGGCAGGAAGCCAAGGCTAGCCATTCCATATACTGGCATGGGGAAGCCGGGGCAACCAAGGCTGCGCAAGAGCAGCGCAGGACCTGAATGTACAAGATCGGGCGCGAGCAGCAAAGGGCCAAGCCGCTGCATGCCGTAGACAAGCGAGAACAAGCCGAAGCATGAAAATCCACGCAGGAACGGCAGCGATCCCGTGTGGACAAAATCTGATGCGAGCAGGAGTGAGCCAAAACACTGTACCCCAAATGCAGAAAACAACAGTTCCACACAGCACATGCTTTGAGGCAACAAGGATGAAGCCGTCTGCGTGTGGTCCAGAACTGGCAGCAGCGGCCCCAAGCAAGTCATGCCATAGATCAGCAGCGTGCTGCCTAATTATGCAGAACCTTGCAAGGACGAAGCCAACTCCACCACTGCAAAGTCCGGAGCTAGCAAAGGCGCGCCCGGTCACGTGACGCCGTAGGTCGGCGACAAGCTTCCCATTTATGCAAAGCTGCACGTCAGGGATGAGCTGCCGGAGTGGCCAAAGTCCAGCGCCGGTGGTGACGAACCAAGCCGAGCGAAGTCGTAGACAGATGTGGTGGAGCCGTGGCGGGCAAAGTTTGCAACAGAGAGCGAGCTTGCTAAGGTTGCAAAGTCCTTAGCGGACATGAAGGAACCGAAGCAAATGATTCCAAACACAGATGACGTGCTACCTAGCCTTGCGAAGCTCGCAACCAAGAGGGCACTGCCAAAATAGCTCTTGCCCTCCACGGAGGTTGATTCGCCAAAACGGACGAAGTCTTTAACGGACAGGCCTTTGCCGAAGTCAACTTGGTCTGCCACCGAGAGGGTGCTGCCGAAGCAGACCCTTGAATATACGGAGAGTATGCTGCCCAGGACAGTTGCGTCGAACACTGACAAGCTGCTGCCAACCCTTACATCGGACAAGACAGACAGCGTGCTGCCAAGCACTGCTGTGTCAAAGACCGAGAGGGTTGAGCCGATCTGCACTTGGTCAATGACGCTAAGGGACATGTTGAAGAAGGCCTCCTGCTCCTGACACGCGACTCCGCTAACACAGCGTATTCTATAATGGCAACAAAGGGTAGCCGTGGTCAATGTAGGGAAAATTCATTGCTGGCCTGGGTGATGACCATGTACGGAGTCTGTCCGCCAAATCTTTCAGAGAAGATCACCTTATGCAAGCCAGGGGAAACTGCGCACAGCATCTTCAAGGCGTGAATTCTCCAAATCTTGCTATGTAGGCTCACATGTCGCAGGCTTCCGAGAACATGTGACCAGAGCACTCTACCTGAGCAGGGAACTATGTCCATGGGCCTCTGAACGGTCTCCACCCCGATGCTCCATTGCCTTCCACCAAGTCACTTCAAACAAACTTGACAACCCCTGTTAGGACTCTCAGCCCACCCAGCTGGAGGGTCATCCCCGGCCACGAACCTCAAAAAAATATTAACACCTGCGGGTCATTCCCCGCCCACGAAAAAAGCAAATGTGACCACACCTTCTAGGAAAAGTCAACGAGCAATCTTGATCGGATCAAGGTTGCTCAGTAGGGAAATCCGTCGGATCAAGAATGCTCAGCAGCGAAATCCATCGGACGCAAAGGCCCAGAGTCCATACTACAGCTGAGGATGTTGTTGGTTGCCGGCGAAAAGGGCCCAGAATCCGAGCTGCATCTGCGGACGTGTTTTAGGTGACGGCGGGAAGCAAAGGCCCAGATTCCCCCCTGAAGCGTAGGATTCTTGTGGGGTGCGGCGGGAGGCAAAGGCCCAGATTCCGTACTGCAGCGTAGGATTTTTTCGGCGGCAGCGGAGTCCGCACTGCTGCTGAGGATTTTGTGGGGTGCGGCGGGAAGCAAAGGCCCAGATTCCGTACTGCAGCGTAGGATTCTTTCGGCTCCGCACTGCTGCTGAGGATTTTGTGGGGTGCGGCGGGAAGCAAGGGCCCAGATTCCGCACTGCAGCGTGGGATTCTTTCGGCGGCGGCGGAGTCCG